CGATGAGTAAGCGTATAGGAAGAGGGCATGTGACGTCCAGAGGACGCTGACTGAGCGATGAGTAACGCTGAGTAAGGGAGCATAATCGACATAAGGTCAGATAGTCCATGGCTGAGTAATGCGAGTAATCCGGACGCTGTCTAGAATAGTCCGGAACATCGTAGAACGTACCAGAATCATATGGAGGGATGGCAGGATGCCAAGTAAGTACAGAACAAAAGAATGTACGTATATGGTAAGTAGGAAAGTCCATGCTGGCGTATGGTAGACGCACAGCCACTATCACTGCCACTCCCGGTCCGGCACAGCCGTAGACACAGAAGTTCAACACTCTGTACAACGGAGCCCACGCTACTCCCAACCAATATGCGCTAGAGAGACGAGTTGTTCTATTAGGTAGCAATTCATTCTATACATATGTGCGGATTGCAGTACGTGGCCATGGACGGCCGCCAGGGCCCAAACAGAGAAGATGCAGGCCGAGGCTTGAAGTGACCAAGAAGATCAGCGCTCAGCACTAGTCGAGCAGATGGGAGGGCATGAAGGCGAACAGAGAAGGGTCGAGGACACCTAGCAAGGGAAGCAGCGCTATACGAGAGGGACGTTGTACGATCAGAGGGGATCAGCCTGAGAGGAGAGCCGTGAGACGAGAATAAGCCGCGCGCGGAGATAGGGAAATCGCGCGCAAGGATACCGCAGCGTCGCACAGGGATGGCGAAAATGCGCGTCAGGATAGCGGAGCCGCGTGCGAGTATAGCGAAGCCGCGCGAAGACGACGGACTGAGAGGGGCCACAGAGAGGAGGCACGAGAGGCGAGCTCAAAGCATTATGACTCGCGGAGGGCCAACTAATGTCAATATATGCGCATATATGCGGGTAAAAATTGTAATGTTGAAACTCACATGCCAGGACTCACCGGTATTCATCTAAGATTTGATCCTACCTTGGGAGAAGTGCGAAGGCGGGACAAGCGCTTTCGAGAGGAACTTGAGAGTGGCTGCAGCGCAGCAAGAGGGCCGGGAGAGGGCAGATGGTGGTTCGAGGAAGAGCAACGTCAAGAGGAGTAGAGGGAACCGGTGACTTTATATATAGCGCGAGAAGCATAGGGCCTAGGGTTACGGTTGAGGGGGACGATCGAGGGAGGCTCCAAGTCGACGCGACAGCAACGAGACGCGACGTTCGAGAAATTAGTCATTCCAAGGGTGTCGCCCGCCGTAGGCGGGCCGCTCAGCGGGCCAGGGGGACCGCTGACTGCCCGAAATGGACCGCCGAGGGGTACGCGCTGGCGAGCCGTGCTTGCTTCGCGACGCGAGGATCCTACTCTACCAGACTCACCGACGGGTCTTGATACATGCTTTCGGTATGCGCGGTATATGCTTTGAGGACACTATCGAGGTATATAAGTGCAAAAACGCGCAGTTTTTCCCAAAGGGCTCTCCCTATACTTACTCCTTCCCAATTGGGTGAAGATATACGCGCCTCGGCTATAGTTGTGGGCGCCGCATCAAGAACCGCCCATACCGCCCTCTGCCTTTGACCCATCGCGTTACGCGCGACCTTCTTTAAGCATCATAGATATGTATTTGAGAATGGCAGAAGGGTACTTTCTTATTGCGCGCGTAGTTGCGCGTCGCGCGCCCGCACTCTGCGGCAGCCATTAGGTCAGTGGCGTAGCCTATCTTGTCCTCCCGCTGACCTGTGCGCGAATATAGGAGTTCCGAGTTGACACTCTCTCCTCCCCGCCCACCATGCCACCGAAGCCCATCACCCTCGAAAATGCGACACAGACTATACTCGTCCCCCTCTACTTTCTCTCCATGTTCAGGCAATTTCTTGTATGCTTTGCGGTCACCGAGTATCAGCATTATGCCGGCAAACGCGAATTTCGCCGTATTTGCTGCCTTCGTCCCGACACCACAATCTTCCACCCGCGTCAAAAACGCCCAATACTATTTGAACTTGTTGGTCAAATCGCGCGCGAGGATTGTTATCTCACGGCGCGCGGAGACGAGGAGCATCAAGAACCAGACGACCCGGTCGCTTCTTGCTGGGTAACTGCGCGACCGGACCTCATTTCGCGCATCCACTGGCGCTCGGTCATACCAACCATTCAAGATATCATGGACACTATTCCGGGAGGTGTCGATTCGTCGAAGCTCGTGTACGGGCAAGTGGACGCGATTGAAAGTGTGCGGGTGCAGCTTTTGTGGCGCGCGCCTGACGGCGAGGTGAGCCAGCCATTATTGCGCCGATTTGCAGCTACCTGTGTGTCTAACGTCTGTCTCAGTCCATTGCACAATCTCTCCCAATGTACGACACGGCGGGCGCACGTTGTGTCCCCAAGACGATCGAAGAGGTTCCGTTTGACCGCGCCTTACGGTTTGTCTTCACACTCGAGTATTACCACGAGCGCGATAATCCTGCATCTCGTGTCATATACGCATACATAGTTCACATAGTCCATGCCTGAAGTGCTATGAACGTACTGAGCCTGCGAAACGGTCTTTTGCCTGATACTATACTTGTTACCTAGTCTCTGAGGTCGACTTGTACGGGTTTACCTGTCCTATTTTGTTTTGCATGTATAATAAATGTTTGAGACGAGCATTGTACACTGCGGGTGAAATGTGAAGGGCTTGGAGAGCCGCGGTAGCCGGCGTTTCAAGCTCTCTGACCTTGTCGCACGTATCGTCGGGTCGCCAAGTCGGGAATGGCGGAAGCCCCTTTTGAGAGGCACTCCCCCCCTCCCGGCCTTTCTGCTCCTCCACCATGTCTGTCTTTGAGCCTGCCACTATACGTACTCTCTGCGCGAATACGCTGGGCGATGCTAAGGAGCGTCGCGCATTTATAACGAAATGGAACAGCAATGTGAGTATTATATTCCCCCACCGGCCCGCAATCAGACCACCTGGGACTTACCGCCGTCCATCCCTCCGCGCGCCCCTCGTTGTCATACTGCGTAGGTCGAAAGTCGTTGGACGGCCTGGCTGAAGAGCCGGAAGACCCAATCAAGGCTACTCCCACAGCTGGAGTGGGAGGCACATATTTGTGAATATGTGTCTTTTGTCGCCGAGTGTACGCGGCCGTCAAAGCCTGGTGCCGCCGCACACCCCCTCCGTGTCGACGTACCCTTTCTCGGCCCCCGGTTTGTACCGCCACACTATCTGCATATTCAGAGACGTCTCGTTACGGCGGATATCACACCAGACCTCACATACCTCAAACCTCTGAACGTTGTTCACCCCTTCTACTACCCCGAGCTCGCGCGGTGCCCACAGTGCGAGTCGACTACGATTTCCTGGTGGGGCTGGAACCCAAACGGCCATCGCGAGGTTCACGGGATTGCGCGCGAGGAGACAGCGATTGGGGCACAGCTGCGGTGTACAGCATGTCAGGCCAGGTACGGGAAGGATGGAGAAGAGAAAGGTGCGGGCCAATACTGCTGGGCGACGACAAACGCCATGTTCTGGGAGCATAAAGAGCACTGGGAATTGCCAAGTACGTTCCGCTCCCTGTTGTGCTCCGAAGAATGTGATGCTTATGCCGCCGTGGTCAGTTGGAGTTCCGCACTTCTTCAAGCGATGTGCACTTACTGCAGACTTGTTTGACCTCATCATTGAGCTGCGCCCGTCGACCACTGCAGCGGGCTTGTCCGAAAATATCAAGCGTGAGTGAGGTTTCTTGGTTGTTCATAAACTCGCGGTGCGCGGCATCGCACCGCACTGAACCCGGGATATCTGCAGAATTGCATCTATTAGAATACCACAAACAGCATCGCGAGTACCTACGCTACTACAGCGCGCGCGCGGAAGTCGAAGCAACGCAGGCCACGATTGTGCCGCTTTCCGCCTTGCGAGCGTTTTCGAAGCCGGAGCACGGTGGAAAGAACCTCGCAGGATATGATGGAACGCACATTACCGATGATCTTATTTCGGATGTATACAGTAAGTTCAACGAGCAAACGCGACAGAAAGAGTCGGAAGAGAGCATGAGGACGAAGACAGGTAAGTCGTGTCGACCGCGCTTCAGAATAAGGTTTTAATTTCCCTTTATGGTAACCGCGCTTGACTTCTTCTCCCAGCGGTCACTCTCTCTCTCGACGCTACCTTCCGCACTGCATCTAAGGCGACTGTTGTCAATGACTCTAATGCCCGGACAAGACTCTTCACTGGCGGACTTCACTCAGTCATCAATGAGAACAACCTAATACTTGCTTTTGTGAGTTCTATACCCCTCGCATTGACATTACAAGAGCGATGCGCTGCTGGGCTAACTGATGACACCCCCACAGCGTTTTTGCCACACTCAACTCAACGCCGAGATAGAGGAGATGTTGACCGGCCTCAAACGTCGATTTTCCCTCCTCGGAGTTGCTGAGCCCGAGATGGCAGTGGTGGATAACTGCTGCCATGTCAAGAATGCCATACGGCGTGTCTTCCCCAACATTGCGGTCGTCCTTGATGTGTGGCATTTTCTCATGCGGTAAGCCAGTGATTTCTATCAGTTATCTTGTCGTTTATATCGGTTATTGCAGGTACATGATCTGCGTAATCGGTGGAACGAAGAATCCCCTTTGGAGCGAAGTCGCGCGAAGCATCGTGGACGCGATCCTCAAATCATCCGCTGACGAGCAGAGCCCCGCGCGGTACTGGAGTCAAGAGCATCAGGAGGCGAGGCTGATTAGAGCGTACGAGAAATGGGCCACACAGGGCGGCGTGTGGAATGGTGCCGCTGAGAAGGTGCGTCGTATCCTCGAAGCAAATGGCACGCTTGCTAACATTGCTAACTTGTGACATACATTAGACTCACGGGGAGCAGCTCGAGCACGTCAGGAAGGGTTGCCTTGCTAGGCCCCGCGATGATGTCCGCTCCGACGGAAGCCGGATCGAAGGTTCGCATAAAGGCTGGAACGGCCTCCAACGTTCGCATGCCAGCGGCCTTGAATCACTTACAGCACTCTGTTACGACTACGTCCTGCGCCGGAACCTTCGCGTAGAGTTGTCTGGAACCCGCGCGAACCCCACACCATTCGCCCTCTCATCTCACGGCTCGCACCATGTCCACCTCATACAAGCTTGCGCAAAGTTATGGAACGCGCTGCTGGTACCCCGGAAAGGTAGCAAACCGCCCCCAGCCGGCCTACGACCTCTCCCGGAGCTGCTGCCGGCAGACAGTGCGGAGACGTTCGGACTTATCAAAGCTAGTTCTGCAGTACTCAATTACCACAACCTCGCCGCTGTGAAGGACGAGCCTGTGGACCTCATCGATCTTTCTGCGCAGGACCCTGCCGACACGACAGAGCTATGCCATGAACTTGGCATCGATCCCGCACTACTCCTGGTTCCTCAACAGTCGGGAGATCCTTCGAACCTTGGGCGCGCTGCTCAAGATACGGCAGCTCCTTCTCGCGCGACTGGACGGGGCATTATACTGGATGCACCAGCGCCCAAAGCCTCGTCAAGCACTCTGCAAGGTGACATGGGCGACAGTTGTCATTCTCGCATTGCGCGCTGACATCAGCCAAACAGGAGTCGCGCACCAGTCCACTCTGTTGGCAAGCACGTCCGAGTCCGGTAAGGCCCTCACCGCGGGGCTTAGCATGGTTACGAACATGGTCAAGTCGGCCACCGCCATCATCATCGATGTCGATGCCATCTCCAACTCTAACGCGCACGCTGGCGAGACTCGAAGTATGGTAAGTGAACTGATACTCATTGATAGTGTGGTGCATGACGATATTGCGCAGGTGAAGCAGCAGAAACGTCGCGCATCAGATGCGGATATCGCACTCGAGACCAGCGCGTCCGCTCGCGAGGCCACACCTTCGTCGTCTTACATGCCCGCCGGACCTCTGGCAAAGAAACCCCGCATCGCCACCACCACCCCGCCCGCCGGACAACCCCGCGTCACCGACACGCCCGCCGGACAACCCCGCGTCACTGACACGCCCGCCGGACCTCTGGCAAACAAACCCTGCATCACCACCACCGCCCCGAGACCTGCTAGCAGCGAACCATCTACCTCTACGCTTAGCAGTTCAGCAAGTGCCCGCAGACTGCATCCATTCTTCTTGCCAGCAACTTCATCCACGTCTGATGCGACTTCCACATGTCTCCCCGGCCTCTCTATCTCAGGACTGACACGCTCGCAGCGCATCCTATCGGTGCACAGTGGCCTGGACCCGCGTTCGCTTGCGTTTACGAGTACAGAGTCGGACGGATTCTTCTTGTTCATGCGTCTCCGTGCGGAGAACAAGTGGGCATCATACGGTATGTCCCCCAGCAAGTGGGTTGCCGCCGCATCGCTCTACAACGCCGAGGTCGACCGCCTCAACACGCAGAAGGGCAAGAACATGGTGCGGAAGACCCCGCGGGCCCTCATGGATAAGCTGGGAGACATCGAGGGTCGAATCCTCGGTCGTATTGCTGCGAATGACTACCGTTGTAAGCTATTTCTCTGCGTACACCCTCGCCGACGGGTTACTCATATATTTATTCCCTTATCATGTAGCGAAGCGATCCGGGGATGAGCGGTTCTGGCGCGAGCATTGCCACGCTGTCCCGCTGACCAAGGGCGACAACACAAGCACCGGAACTCCTGTAAGTACTGACATGCATGCGTCCCCGATCATTAGTATTGATGTGATCTCTACAGCGCCGTAAGGTCCACACATGCACACGCTGCAAGAGCATCATGTGGGCACATCCCGAGGGTGCGCACGCAAACCACAAGAAGGGCTACTGCTCCGACGGAGTGAAGCAGAAGCCTCCGAAGTTCGAGAAGGCGCTCCCCGGCGGACAGAAGATCAGCGCCATCGAGCGGCTTCCCCCATGGCCACAGCCCAGCGGTATCTTCTCGACAGGAGCGACCTTCAATGCGCGCCGGTTTTACGAAGCTGTTCATGAGCTCTACGAAAAGGCCGTCGTGCAGAACGACGTTGGCGGCGAACACGCGATGGAATACCTCGCTCTCTCAGCAATGCTTCAAGAGCGTCTCCTCGTTATCCCGGAGTCCGCGACTGAGTCGTTTATGGTCCTCTTCGAACTCTTCGCCACCTTGGAGCTCCGCGATTGCCCCCCTGAGAGTGTCGTCGAGCGCGACGGGACGCGCTTTCTTCGTATCAACTATCTCGATGACAACAAGGGCATCGCCGCGCAGGCGGTCTCCCATATCTAACCGCCCCACCTCGCCTCGCTGCATCTCCGTCACCACCTCGCGCCCCCGCATTTGAAGCTTGCGGCGTTCATTGTCTCCCCGCGGACCCGCGGCCTTCACGCGGACAGTCTATGTGCGGCGCGCATACAGGGACCCATTGTGTACGCGAAGGACGGTGCAGAGGGTATATTTGCGGCGCAGTTGTGCTCTTAACCTATTAGTTGGCTGGTTATTTCACTACCGTATCTTCTGATAGTTTCCTCCTCATGTATACACTATCCCGTCGCGTAATGATATACGAATTCGCGCCTTACCCCGCCGCACGCAACACCGTCGTCGAGAAACGAATGGCGAAGGGAGAAGCGCCGGTAGGACTCGCCTCACGTGCATTCTAGGACCAATACCATTGAGCGCCTACCACGTAGTACTAGGTTAGGGTTCCTTTGGTCGATTGTTCGTTTGGCGCCTTGGACCAAAGTCAGACCAATCCCCTCCCCCCCTTGGAATCGCGGAGTATTCCGACGTTCTGCTCAAAACTCAGTCACGTGCACCGTGTCGACATGGGTAGCGTGGGCGCGCGGCCTTGAAGTTGTTTTTCGGCAGATACACGTTATTTTGTGTAGCGCTATATACATTGGTGGCATACGGCTAGAAGACGTAGTAGTCTCCATCAACATGGTCTCGCGCGACCATAGACTCGAGAGTCCGCGGCACACGACCATCGCCGCGGGCGCTACGCATAGCGATGCAGAAAGCCAGCGTCGCGCGGCCATCTGACGCGTACCTCCACGTCATCCGTGTCGTTCCTCGTCGTGCTGGACAAAACCTGCACGTTTGCTGATGCGCCTGTCGCCGACGAGCTGACGCGTCGCCACCATCGTGCAGAGAAGGACGTTGTTCTCGCGCACGAACGTACTGCTTTTCTAGTCGTGGTTTTGTATTGGCCTTGCTTTATTCTGATCACCTCGTAACAGAGCGTGTGTGATGGAGGTTGTCCGCGATCTGGGAAGATTCCACAACTCACTTTGTCGCGCAAGATAGGAAGGGCCCTCACCTAGACGCATCATCGAAACACTCAATCTAGTGCAAGCGGTATCCAATAGGAGACATTCGAGAGTGGGAATCGTAGAAGAAACATGGCGGTACGAATGAGAGTTCGGCAAGGTATTCGCGCGCGATTCTGATGCCACATTGGCACAAATCTCTCCCCATTCCCTCGGCGTGAGCGCGGGGCGCTCGCTGGCACACGATGCCTTTATACCGTTTTCCTCACTCCCATCCTCGCACTTCTTCCGCGCTCTCGAGGTCTCTGTAAGCCCGGTTCTGTGTGATAGCTATTTGAACGCTGTAGTTAGATACGGCTCGCGAGCTCAATCAAACACACTTCGCGCACGTACCGGGCCCAGGACAACGCCGCGTCCGCGCGACAGGACCCCTGATACTAGGGCAACCGCTCTTTTCGACACGAACTGGTCAATCCCCTGTCCCGCTATCCCCCGTCGAAGACTGAGAGAGCGAGCGCCGGGATTTGACGGGAATGAATCCTTGTCTAGTCCATTTACCACCGCAAATCAGAAGACTCGCGCCACTACGTCTTTGGACTCTCCGGGGGCTCGCGCCAAGCTACGTGTGTGCCGTTGTTGGTCCATATGAGTCTTGCGACGATTGCCAGCAGCTACCAGCATGATCGCGAGGCATCCTCCTCCAACCACTGCACCGAGATTCTGCTTCTGTTCAATCGTCTATCGCAGCGACTCTTTGTGTTGGGAAGGTATCTTGCTTTCCCCGGCAAAGGTGCCTTGGGCGTCCTCCATCACAGCATACAACACAGTGTACGAGCGTCGAAAAAAGGGTCCTGGAGCGCAGCTGACCACTTTGTGTAGGTCCCGATTCATGCTAAATTGCGTCAGATACACTCTGCATGATGGCAAAAGCACGTTTGAAGATACTCTGCGTTCGCCAAAGTGTGGGCGCGAGCCACGTGGCCTTGTGTAGGGCGACCGAACTGAAAGCGCTCCGGCGCGCGAGCGTATGCCCTACGACTCGGAGGGCGTCTGGCGTGCTTGGAAAATTCGGTGAGCTGACTATCCCTCTATTGACTGGACGGACGAGATGGCTACGAACGAGTGAAAAGTTCTTTGTGCGTTGTGCGCCCCGGTACGAGATATGGTCTTGCTTCTGAAAGTTGAGCGCCCTCGCCCGACTCTGTTGTGACCAGGAGGCGACGACGCTCACCTTCAAGCGAAAACTGCATGGTGGAAAAACTTCGCTGAACGTGTTGTACATCGCGTTCAGGTTATGCTTCATCTCGGCGCATGTTTCGAGTATAAACAGGTTTAGAGCCTCTATGTTTACGCTGCTAACCGTATTCGATGTACGTATAAAAGATGGCTTCGAAGGAAAGAGGTGTCGAGACCTAGCTCCCGATTGGCGGGAAGATGTGAGCAGATGGTCTATGTCCGAGGCGGGGAGCAACAGGCCAACGGCGGCTTACAAGAACAATCCATGGTGGGGATTGTGCTGGCAACCGTCTTGACAAGTCATCTGCATATTAAAGTGAGCGTTCTGATCCACGAGAGCCCGTCTTCCCGGACGTACCTCACTGCACGCCAATTCCCGACGTCTCGTTCCCCCTCGTCAAGGTGGTAGGACATTCCGACCATGGCGCGCCTCCATGATCGTCTCGATGCGCCGTCCACGCCGAGCTCAGGAAGGGCAGCTGGTGGGTATCATCGGCATAGCTTGCAAGATGGTGTTCGCAACGACGCGGCAGGAGTGTGGAGGTACGCTCGCGTGGTTTCGGCTGCGGAATGTGTGGCATCTGCTTATTATTATGTCAGACGAGTACAGCCGCGCTCGAGACAATGGGCTTGTCGCGGTCACGCGAAAAACGCGTCGAGCGCGTCGATGTTCATTAAGTATGCGCGCCTAGGTATCCCGAATTTGGGTCGCCCGTGTGGCTGGTTAAAACCCCGCGCTCGTGCGTCGCTCCCCCCTCATCTTTCCTCTACCCACTACTTCCATTGCGACAACTTTTCCCTCCCATTCCTGCCCTATAATCTCTCCGGACCACCGTCATGAACATGTACACGACTTCATCGGCCTCCCTCCAGCAGTACGACGACGTGCTCGCGGCGCATGCGACGCACTCCGCCATGGTCCCCGGATTCCCCCCTACGCAGACAAATGAATACGGGCAGAAGAGCTGGTTCCACGCCCCGAGGGAGATGGTAAACTGGGTGAGTAAGGAAAATTTGCCGGCCTCTGCCAGGACTTACCTCTCCCGTCAAGCTCCCGCAATACTTGACCGAGCCCGACCCGGTGGAAAACGACGCCGATATTCTGGAATCCATGCTGTCGTACATTGCCGCCGAGGAAACGTCTCCGCGGACCTCGGCCAACGGGAACCCTACGTCCTCGCATAATCCTTCCCCTGTCCCATCATCGACTAAAAGCATCCCAACACTGGAGGCTAAGGAGGATCACGCGGGTGCCTATGTGCTCGAACTCGATCCGGAGTTGGACGACGAGGAGCTAGAGCAGTACATAAGCCGTCCTGGAGCCCAGACTATGCTGAAAGAGGTACGTTTTCCCTCGCTGTATTGACAATCTCGTGTTACAACGATAGCAGTTACAGGCACCTGTGGCCGTCAAGTCTGCTCGGCCGACGACTACAGTTAGCGCGCCAGAAGGCCGCACCTCCCGCCCCAGCGCAAGCTACGCCCTCAGCCCCCGCACGAGCACCACTCTTTCCAGCGGCGAGCTTTCGAAGGCCAAGATTCCAGAAGCTCTTGGTGATACTCAGGACTTCCGAGGCGTGTACCCATCGACCACCGCTATTCCTCGGATCTCCCAAGCTGGCCCATCTTCGGCTCGAAACGACGCTCAATCCGTACTGAAGCGGAAGCGGGAGGCCGATGGCGAAGAAGACAAGGAGAACCTGCCAGTGGAAGACGACTTCGATGAGGACTCAGACGAGGACTCAGACGAGAACTCAGATGAAGACTCCGACGACGACTACACATCCTCCAGTCCGCTACCCTCCCCCCCTCAGAAGCGCGTCAAGATAGACCACGAGTCTGAGTCTGAGGAGGAGGAGGAGGAGGAGGAGGAGGAGGAGGAGGAGGAGGAGGAGGAGGAGGAGGAGGAGGAGGAGGAGGAGGAGGAGGAGGAGGAGCAGGAGCAGGAGGAGCAGGAGCAGGAGCAGGAGGAGCAGGAGCAGGAGCAGGAGGAGCAGGAGCAGGAGCAGGAGCAGGAACCGTCCCAGCCCGCGGCGGATCCCTCAAACACGACGCTGGCGATTTGTCGCTTGGACGACAGTGGCACGGGGCCCTGTCAGCACGAGCTCACGGGGATATACGACCTGGACTGGGAGCACTTTACGAAGAAGCATGGCGGCCGAGTGGGACGGCGTTTTCCATGCGCGTACCCGAGGTGTACCGAGACCTTTGCGTATAAGTCCAGCCTTAGCAAACACGTCGTGTCTTTCCACTGGCGCGTGCACGGCACCCAGGTGTATTGCACCGAACCCAATTGCGGCAAGCCGTTCGCTCGGAAAGATACGCTAACGGTTCATAAGAGGAAGATCCATGGGATATGATCGAACGATACAGAGGTGAGTCCACTCTATGTTGCACGTCCTGCCCTTCGTTGACTGACCTCAGGGCCTTATGACAGGAAAGGCGAAGCTACAATGCGGGACTCCCGGTGCGAAGGGCGACTCATGCATCCCAAGGCGCCTGGATGGTATACCAAAGAGGACGCGCGGGTGCCACATGGCGAACAAACCAGCATACCTTTAATGCAGCACAAACAGATGGCGCCACTGGGCGTAATGCAAGAAGCATGGCGTGTCGTCAGTGGTCCTCGGGGATGTCGAAGCTGGCGATCGCTGTGGACCAGAGGCCTCCATGCGAATAACGGACGACCTTTCGAGCGGAACGAGAACATCTTCGCGATCGCCTGGCCCCTCTTTGGCTTTGGACAGCGACGCTTTCGTGCGGTGTAGCTCTTATGGTCAGCCTACCAGGTTAACCTATACCAGCCCATTTCCCTCAAGGTTGCCCGTCCTCAATCACCGGAGGCTCCTCCGCGTCCTATCACCCTATGCCCCTTTATGTACACCTCAAACATGTATTTCGTTTATCTTCGCTAATGAGATTGCGTTCCCGATATGTGAACCTATCTTGCGAAGTACGGAGTGCTATAGTCACAACGTTCAAGCACAATCTCAGTCATGCCGTGTACTCCCGACACAGGTGCTTCATCCCGATTAACGCCGAAACTGTTCTTTGCTTCACATCCTCGCGCGCGAACAAGTCCCTTTGTCATTTGTACCGGCATTTTGAGCATCTTGCGCGCAAATACTTGTGGGATACCGGACCAACATCAGCTATATCGAGGCTCTGCATGCCCGAGTTCAAGGAGACTTCGGGTTCGATTCGTTGCATAGTAGACATCGAATGCCAGTATGGCACGTTCTCAACCTGACATGACCTTGGCGTAAATCATCTGTGCTGCAGCGACGAGTGGGACACATAGCGGTCATGTCTGAGTACCATACTGGATCATCTTGAATGTTGGGAAGCACTGCCATGGCGAGTGAGTGGATTATGACGGTGCTCGTAGCGTGGCGGGCCGTGCGCTTGAGTTACGACGGGGCCCAAGAAACCAGATGTGCGCGGACATCCTGGACGATAGGAGTATAATGGATGTTTTACGCAAAATGTTATACGGTACAGTGTACATGAAAAGAGCCATCTGCATAAGTTGGCCTATATACATCAGCCAGAGAGATCGATCCGCCGTCGACTACGTAAAAGGTATACTCATACACGCATATACCCTCCGCCGTTTATAGAGAGCTCGTACCTCCCGACGTGCGGTAGCGTTGCTTGAATACGCCTGCTCTGAAGCCTCAGAGCGCTACATTGAACTGTCGCGGTCGCTTGCGCAGCTGATTTCACAGTGGTCGCGCATATGTGGTGGATAGACGACGCTGCCCCTCTAGAAGACTGGAGAGGGTCCCATGTTCGACGAGTGACACAGATGGAATGGTCGAGTAAAAGTGTGGATGTCCGGGTAGTGCTCTTCGGCGTAAAAAAAAGTCTTCTGACGCGCGAACGCTTAGGAGAAGGGCATCATTGCGACCACATCAGTAAAAGCTCAAACAGGGGGACGAATCACGACATTACACTCACAATACTACAGCCTCCTTCTCTTGATAGGCCGGTTCTCTTCTTCCTTAACTCCTCCATCTCCCTCGCGCACTCCTGCATCCTGCGGAACATTCGCAGCAGCCGCGCCGGTGTGCTTGTCTGCCCTGTGCTTTTGAAGGGCACGCTGAGAGCTGAACGGGCGACGCGGAGTACACTCATCGCATCCCCACTTCCGCCCCCAGTGGATCTCCTCCACATGGCGCGCGAGGCCAGCCTGCGCAGTAGTCCCATAGCACACGGACCCGCAAAGCTCATCCCCGGACGCAGCAGCCCACGTACCTGCGAGCGCGCCCTTCGCGACAAGGTCCCGGATCTGTTCGTCGGTCTGGAGCACTCCATGGTGATACAGCGGGCCTGTTGTTGAGGCAGCGGTACCGGCGGTGGGCGGGATGAGTGAGGGATGCGCCTTCTTGATGTGCGCCTTGTTCTCCGTAGGTTTCCCAAGCTTGTGCTTGCAGTCTGCGCCGTCGAGACCGCATACGGACGCCTTACAAGGGATAATCTCCATGGAGTTGACCTCGGCCTTCGTGCTCCTGTGACGTTTGGTAGGAGCCGCCAGTTCTTGATCTGAGTCAGGCCCCGTCGACTCGTCCGACGCCGGACTGTCCAGGGTGACAGAAGAGGGCCCTGCCACTGGTTGTTGCTCGCGGACACGAAGGCTACGGCGAGGCGCGACCGCAGGCAGGACGGAGTGAGCCGCGGTAGCCTCACGTCTGGCGACTACAGGCCTGAGAGGAGGCACGTTCTCCTTGTTATTCCGTTTCCTTTCCGTAGCATCCGTCAAAAGGAGAGACTGCTGGTGACCTTGAGAGCACTTGACGTAGGTGGGCTGCGAGGTGGAGGGCGTTGGTTGCGGAAGCGACTGGTCATCATCGCTCTGAGAGGCTGCAGAGCTCTGATCCGTTTCCTATGTAAGACCATAAGTCGTTGGAATGTGGCGACGGTGGGCTACATTGGATACACGCACCTCAGAGGACTCTATTCCATCACCCTCGGCTTCGCCCCGTGCCACCACGTAGATGGCCACCTTATTCGCGTATCCCGGCGCATTGACCTGCAGGGAGAGTACGGTCTCGCCTCCAGTCGCTTCTTGAGGAGCATTGATTTCATCCTCGAACGGCGCGGTAGGAAACTGCGGGGCTTCGAAGAGGTATGGGTCTTGGGCTCGTTGCATAGGCTGATGAAATGACTCGGGGTTGGTGCTGAGGATGTCGGTCTCCGGGGATGTGCGGCTTTCAACATCGCACTCGGTCTGAGAATCAATTAGGCGATCAACAAGGAATCGAACTCGACATGCACTCTATACTTACCGCTCGCAGAGATCCCCTCGCCTCAGCGTCCTCAGAGACGTCGTCTTCGAACGTGTCCGGATTGAGGTAGTCGGAAAAATCGATTTGTTCGAAAACGTTCATGTTTACGTAGTCGGAAATATCGAATCCGGTAGAGAACATATTGAGTGAGGGATTTGGTAAGGGGAGAATGAGTTGGGGTGGAAGAGAGGTTGTAGGGGGAAGGTAGAGTGGACGAGATGGAAAGAATGAGTGCGAGCCACAGCCGCGCTCTGTGCGCCTTTTGTGCAGCTGGAAAGTCGGAATTCTAACCTGTTGACCATCGACGCACGCGACCGTGTCGCGAAAACGTGACAACAATGGGGGTTTCATTTGTCGCCCGACATGTCGCGATTTGGGAACTCCCTTTGTTCAGCTGTTCAGCGCCTCGATCCATAACAAGTAATATGGAATTGCACTCACCATCCGTCTCGTACAGACCTCAAGACGAGCAACGAGCGAGCAAGTGATTAGAGACCCGTATTTGTGAGGAGAAGCCCTCGGACGAGGATTCAGCCCGCAGTCCAGAGGTATTTCGCTCTGGCATGTTTCTGCGCGCGGATAACTCGGCTTCGACAGCGATAATCGCCTGCAACGCCCAACCACCCAACCGGGGGCCGGGCGACAGTGCCCATTCCTACCACTCAGACACAGCATCTGATCTCCCATATTCTCTGTCCTAGGAGTTTGCGCATGAAGCAAGCGCGAAGACCGCGGCAGGGATCCCCGGGAGGAAGTATGGACAGTCAAGGATTTGGTGCGTTCGTCCCTCGATCCCCACGAGCGAGGCTGCTATTAAACTCCACGGAATCCGCATAAACGATATCGTTCACGGTTGCGCACAATACCGCCACCCGAAACCAAGAGGAGAAGGGAAAGCACAACATCACACTGTACACCCGCAAAGGCGGATTCGCGGCTGAAACAAATGATGGTGTGTTATAACTTCGCTTCGCTGTGCAGACCTCTCAAGCAATAGCTGATAAGACCTGATGTGCGTAACAGAGACCGCTAGAGGACATTATCCTGGCACACAACGGGGTCATAGCGCCTTCCACAGCAATCGGGTCCTATGGGAAACAAATGCTCCCCAAGTACGTTCGCGACGCCTACATATAACGCTCATTCAGAGCCTGAGTGAGATCTGTGGCACAGATTTTTGCCTCGGCGCCTCGTTCATTGCCAAACACAAGCTCGAAACCTCTGCTCCCCGAGACTCCCCAGAGCGAGATCCGCTCCGAGGAGGACCGCGGAGTTGGGGATGTTGCCTAGCGCCCGCCAACGCGTCACCACCATCGCGCTGAGCTGGACGCTGTTCTCGTCTGCGAACAAACTGCTTTTTCTATCGTTCTTTGGGGTTGATCCTACTTTACGTTTGTCACTCAGAACGGCGGAGGCCTGAAGGAGGATGTCCGCGATCTAAGAAGATTACACACATCACTTCGTGGCGCAGCCGCTGCATCAGCAAAAAGGGCGATTCGATGCAGCGGGCGAGAGAGCGAGATGGAGGCGCCAAAGCGGATGGAAGCGCCCGCCGCCTGCGCCGAGGGATGGCAAGACCTTCCAAGACGCTCTCGCCATTAGGCGCATACGACGGGGCATTGCATTTTCAAATCGGTCGATACTGTATTTTGTAGGACTTTATAGCACAGGGTCGTAGACCACAATACACTTGTACTCAGAGCTTCAAGTCGAGTCTCTTAGCCCGACCTGTCACGTGACTGAAATTGGCATGACGCGGTCGCGTCCAAGTCGCGTCTCCATTGGACTCTCCCTCGATCGGGCCCCCTGCAAACTTGTTGCCCTACGCCCTGCGCTCTGCGCTATATAAAGACCACTTGAGCCCTCGACCCTGCTCGTCGCTTCTTTCCCTCGTACCACCATCTGCGCCCCGGGCCCCCCATCTTTCCTCACCCTTGCGTCTCCTTCGAAATCAACACCCGGCCCCCCTTCGCCCTTCCTCGGCCGCCATTTATTTGCTATGGTACATCATATATGGGAGAATAGAACCATAAGGTGAGCACCGGTAGGCCTCAATGCACCTTACAGTGTGGTGAGGTGATATATTCGCATATATGCGCATATATGGACATATTTTCCTTGTATGCTCTCGCTGTCCCTCTCGCGCGTGCTCGCAAAGTCAAGCTACGGTCCTGCACTTACCGGAAACCCTCTCTTTCGTATACATCTATCCACACCGTACGTGTTTTTACTGCTGTTCTTTGACAGGCTCTGGCTGAGGTCCCATGGGCGTTGTTGAGGTGCGTCACCCCTTCTTTCCTTCCGTTCGGTCTTATCCTCATCTGTGCTCACACGGTTACGCTCTCGCGCGAACAAGGTGCGATGACAGAGCACAGATACACGAAAGCTGGCATCGCGGACCGCGTGCGCGTACAACTGCGCAACGGCCACCAGCTCGAGCTCCCACCCTCTTTCGAGCACACGTTCGATGCGCGCGTTGCATGCGAGATGGTTGAGGTTTGCCCCCCTTCTCGCCCCTGCCGCTCGCTTACTCGTCTGTGGGTCGTCTCCGGTGCCCGCCCTGTTGCGTACTCTCCCGCTCCCCCTTGCACACTAGTACTGACGTCCGGCTGCGTGCGGTGCACTTCATCTATCGTGTAGTTCATTCGTTTCAAATATATATGATCTTCTTTATACTTTCGCGAGCGCCCGCACATTTTTCGATTGCGCGATGAGAGCAAATAATATCTGTATGATTGCGCGAGAGGCTTTATAATGTACTGTAAGCATGGTCGGCCACTGCAAGACCCTGTGCGGGCTATTGTATCGCACTGGAGCTGTCCGCGCGGCATCTGACAATACGCTGCCGCCTGCGATGGATGCCACTAGACTTCGTGGATTCACTGTAATAATTAGACGTACACTACTTGTGCGACAGGGAGATATTTATGATCCAGCGTTATCCAGAGGGCTGCAGACTGTATACCCTGTTTTGTGATGTGGACGTGTGGCCCTCACCTTGGTGCATTATATCGGCACACTCAATCTAGTGCAAGTCGGATACGCAACAGGAGACCTTCAAGCTTCAGAGCGTCAAGAGCGGAAGCCATAGCGGAAATAGCATAATTGAGGTACGAATCAGAGTGAGTGCGAGGCATTCCCGCGCGATTCTGATGTCACATTCGCGCAAATATTTCCTCTTTCCCCTCAAGCGCAGGGCGCTTGTTTGCACACGACGCGATCATATCCCTAGCCTCTGCCTCGCGGTTCTTCCAAAATGTCGAAGTTGTTACAAGCCCTGCTCCGGCCAACAGCCATCCACAAAGTGCTGTAACTAATCACAACTCTGGACTCAATTATATACGTCGCGCACATACCAAGAATAACGCGTGCCAGGACCCTTGATACCAGAGCAGCCCCTACGACTCGGAGATGGTCTGGCGTGTTGGCAAACTCTGGTGAGCTCAGTATCCCTCGTTTGGCCTGCACGTTTAAATCGGCTACCACGGGCTGAAGCCTTCCTTGAATCTGACCTTCACAGTCACTGCCATCCGTCCGAGGATACGCCGACATGCGGAGCCCCTGCGAGCAACGACGACGATCTACTTTCGCAAGCCACCCCTCCACCTCCGAACCCATGCTCTCCCCCATTGCGTGCTCTTAAGACTTTCAACAGTTCGGTTCTCCAGATGAAGCTGCGACGAGTTGGAGCAACAAGGAGAACGCGCCCCTGGCGCATTCACTCGTCGACGAACGTAGCGCACCTGCCGTTCAGCCCATCCGAACACGAGCCACAGCCAGATGTCAGCACGAGGATGGGCAGCCTCTTGCGAGGCCTTTGTCCATCACCTTGGACGGCATAGACTCCTACGAGTCGACAGGTTCCGACTCAGAGGAGGAAGCAGCAAGGAAGTCATCGCTCTGCAGACGGCTGCTTGCAAGGTATCCGTGTGCGCCCTGGAGGGCGTAAACCGCGACCACAAGTATATCGGTGTGCCTGAGAAGAACAAGCGGCACATCAAGGACGCACATTCATCTCTAATCCTGTCCGCCGCAGGTACGCAGGCCTCAACAACGGGGCCACTCTATCGCAAAATGGTGCCCCAGACGGACACGAAAATCCAGGAGCTTGTCGCTCAAGGGGCGCCCGCATGTACGTGGGCTTCTGCATCCTGGGTCAAGCGGTAGGGGTTTGTCGTGGGGACGTCCGCGCAGGGGCCGCGCGCAGCATATGGAGGAGATCCACTGGGGGCGGATGCTCGGGGCTATGCGACGAGTGCACTTTGCATCGCTCGTTTAGCTCTTTTCGTGCTTTTAAGAAGCACAATGCAGATAAAAAGAACGGCGCGGCTGAAGCTGATGCCTCAGAGCATTCTGAGGTGGGCCAGGAAGACAGAGACGCGGAGGACGAAGAAGAGGAGCCGCCGACTAAGCGAGGGAGGCTAGAGTAATGTGAGTGAAACATCTTGGTTCGTTCCCCGTTTGAGTCTTCAGTAACGTCGTCGCAGGACTTCCATCCTGACGAGGGGCCGTGTACTATCCTCAAGCGATGATTACTGGAACTAGCACCACCAGGAGTTCACACTGTTACTCGGCCAGGCTGCCTACATCATCCACCGAAGATGGAACCCTCTCCATCCTTTCTCCTCATCGAGGGGCCGCCGGACATAGCCACCACGTGTACACCAATCTATAGGTACGTCAACCATACCTCCGACCACTATAAATTCGGCGGTATTGCAGCGACCGCGACTTTCCCATGCAGCGTTCGGGGGCTCTAGACGAGGCGTATGCAAGCGATGCGAACGCATGCCGAGACATACGAGCTCTATGAATGGCAGCGGGTAGATTCACCTAGTCGATGGCGGCTCGATCGCGCTGGCAGATGCGCTCAGTAGTCCTCTACATGTACATTTACCGTATAACATCGTGTATAAACATTCACTCTATCTCTACCATGGTTCCTGGTGCTCGCACACAGAGGAATTCTACCGCTCCGTCGCAGACCGGGTGCATGGCTCGCCCAGTATCATCATGATCCTCTCACTTGCTGTGTTGATGATGTTCAACATCTAGACCAACTATCATCGTACTCAGCAATGTGCGCCATGTATCTCATAAATCAATGCTCGCATAGTATAAGTACTAGTGCTCAAGAAGCTCAAAATTCGGGTGAAATCGACTGGGGGACGTGTTCGCGCGCGAGGATGTAAACCAAAGGACAGCTTCGGCGTTAATCGGGATATGTCACCTGCGTCGGGAGTACACGGGATGACTGGAATCGTGCTTGAACGCTGCGGGTCGAGTCCTGCATACTTAGCAAGATGGGTTCTGACATCGGGAACGCAATATTATTGGCGAATATAAACGAAACATATAAATGGAGTGTACATAGTAGGTCAACACCGGAGAGGAGCCTCCGGTACTGGAGGGAGGACGAGGGGAGCGGCCCGGAAAAGGTTGACGTCGTAGGCTGGCTAAAACAGCCACCCCACCTAATGAGGTTGCTATCCAACTCTCAAGAGGAGTGAGGCGAACGCGAAGAGGTTCTTGTTTCGCTCGGAAGGCCGTCCAACATTGGCTCAATGGCCTGTGGTCCACAGCGAATGCCAGCTTCGATATCCACGAAGACCGCTGATGATACGCCTCGACAGTACCATGCTCCGGGGGATACGCTAGCGGTGTATGTTCGCGCCAGACTAAGCGTTTATTGCCAGTTCGTGCACCTTGTGTTTTTTTCGTCCTGTGATAAGTCGCGACCGTCTCCGGTATATCGAGAATGCGCCTCGGGATTCAAGAGTAGCTCTTCGTATCCGCAGATACGACACCGTGTCTTCGTCGCTTCTATGGTAGTATTCGAGGTGAGTGAACAAAGATGACGATGAGCAAGATGACATGGACTCACCATGGCCTCGTCCCGCTTCCTGGCATCTAGTTCCCGTGGGCCATCCTCCTATGGACCGCAAGTACGTCTTTGCGAGGGTATGCTTTGTCACAACCTGGCTCAGGGCAATAAACCTTGATGCCATACGGCTTCCAGTGGACCGTTACGATGTGCTTGGTGCGGTCACACTTATGCGCGTAAATCTTGCCACATCTTGGGAACGTACAAGGCCATTTTCCCGCTACGGAGCGATCGTGGGACACCGTGAGGTGCTTCCAGTCGATGTCGTAGTTTTTGGTGAGCTCGTGTGGACATCGACCCCTGCCATCATTCACCCCACAGAGTGCGCGTGGCTCCGCGTTGGAGGAACCTGCGGCGGGCGGTGTCGGGGCTTCCTCTACCTCTTCCTCTTCCTCTTCCTCTTCTTCGGGATCTTCCTCGATCTTGACGCGTTTCGAAGGCGGGGAGGGAAGCGGACTGGATGGAATGTACTCATCGTCTATGTCCTCGTGCGTGTCCTCGTCGAGGTCGCTGTCCACCGGCAAGTTCTCCTTGTCCTCTTCTTCCTCAACATCCCGCTTCCGTTTGAGCGAAGAGTGGGTCATGTCGCGTGGTACGGACTCTTGGCGCGCTTCCTGTGAACAGTTGACCTGGACAGCACACAACATCGGGAGAGATTGAGCTGGGGAGACGGTAGAATATACGGTAGCCAACGCACCTCTGCAGGCTCGCCGTGGGCACCCGCGTCGTGAGATGCGTTCTCTTTTTCGTCTTGGGTAACATTCCCCCGCGCGGTGGGGGTAGCCTCGCGTCCATGGGCCGCTTGAGGGGCATTGGTTGCGTCCTGGAAAAATATACCGTCGTACGGCATGGTGGCTTGGAGATGTGCGTCCACGGCTCGCTGGATCACTGTCTCTCGTTGAGACAACAACGAGCGATCGACGTGGAGAACGTCGGTAGCCAGGAGGGTGTGGCTCCAAATATCTTGCCCAGACTTGCGAGCGGGGAGAGGTTGAACATGGGATTGAACTGGGAATATACTAGATAGTACTCACCGTCTGTGATGCCTCCACTGTCTCTTCGAGATCCTCCGGGACGTCCTCCTCGAACATTTCGATGTTGACATAGTCGCAGATGTCGAATGATTCGGTGGAAGACATTTTGAGTGACTTGGGCGTGTAGAGAGAGCGCGTTGGGGAGATGTGGGGTCGGGGCCGGGTTCGGGTGGACGGATGGGAAAGAGTGAGTTGGAGCCACAACCAAGCGCGGCGCGCCTTTTGAGGAACGGGAGAGTCTGAACTCTAATATGTTGACCATCGACGCACGCGACCGTGTCGCGGAAACGTGACAACAATGGCGGTTTCATTTGTCGCGCGGTATGTCGCGATTTGGAAACTCCTTCCTGTTCTTTGTTCAGCGCCCCGCATCTCGCAGCAAGAATTGTACTCACCTTCCGCACGCAAGCTCTCATGCGAGCCGCTTCAGGGCTAGTTGACAGAGCGCCGAATGGGTAGCCCGGTGCGAGACCTATTCGCGCAGGAAACGAGTCCTCGTTTTGCGCTTGGCCGTCTCGCCGCGCGCGCATAGCTCGGCCTCGACGCCGACCATTGTCTGCGGCAAAACACCACCCGCTCACAGTCCGAGTGGGATAGATCGTTCCGACCATAACGGGCTCACGTCTTGGTGCACAGACCCTCTGCTCTCCGCGGCAGTGCATGAAGGAAAGCCAGTCGCCCACGGTAGCGGAAGGAGTTCCAGCCAGGCGAGGTGTTCGGATAGTCGAGAGTGCGCCGTGCGTAGGATTCGTATGTGCCGCTCTCTGTCTCGACAGCATGCCTCTTATATTGTACAGCGACCGACATACAAGACGTTTCGAGGCGTATAATGGGCGACGCTCCGCCCATCAGTATCAACGACACCATTGCTATAGTCACTGCTATCCTTTGAGACTAACATCATTAAAATATGCGTACCACAACGCTGTTGCACTTCAGCTCCCAAACCTCGAAGGGATGGGTGCGTACAACGCCACATCGCCGCGAAAGCAGTTTCACGGCTGGCGATGCGATAGTGCTTTCGTCGCTTTGCTTCCGGTATACGGTGCATTAACACGCTCGTTGATACCGCTTCTCATCCAAAACCCTCCACACGAAATTCATAATATGAGCGCATCCGTTTGCAAGGAGATATACCACGCGCGTTCTCGAGTGCCGTAGGGAAAGGCTCCTTTGCTTCGCCTGCTGGCAAAGCGTGGCCAAAATTGCACAAAACCCCATGAATACGCCCGCAGAGCCTAATGAGTGCTGCGTCGTGTCTTTATGCCATTTCACGTTTCATGCTCTTTCTCTAAAGACTTTGGATAAAACAAAAAGTCGAATGCTTGCGCCCCCTGGCACCTCTGAAAGCGAGATTTGCTTCCGGGGGTACCATGGGGTTAGGGCCAGCGGCCAGCGCATACGTGTCGTCGCAGCCGAGATGAACGTCGTTCAGAAACATACCATTCCTCGAATCGTCGCCCCATGCTTGCTCTGCCTATGTGTCACCGCTATGCATGAGAGCGTGCCAGACCGTGGATGTCTGCGATCTAAGATTGCTTGACAAATCGCTCCGAGCGGCCGCCAGGATGGACCGTGGACTCATCTGTCCTGTAGAACCTCGGCCAAGTTGATCATAGACGCATGCAAGCAAGTACAGAGAAGAGGTTCGGTAAGAGCTTTGAAATCCTTTGCTTTCCGTGCTGGAATGGAGCCATGGAGGTACGAACGAGGGGTTCCTCGACTTTCTCGCGCGCGCCGTCTTCTCACATTTCGCACGAATAATTCGGGCCCATCACCCATGGCAAGTGCCGAGTGCGCGACGCGATCTCGCTTTTCTCTCTCTCTCCTCACTACAACAGTAACTATTCTTTGTGGGCGTAGCAGTCGTTCTGGGCCCCGAGTTGTTTGACACCGTTACTATCGACAAACTCCACGGGATAGACAGGTACCACGCATCTCGTACTTTACAAACCACAAAGCCGTACCCTCAGAATGCAACATTACGGGTCCATCATGGATGTAGACACGGCGATCATGATTAGTACGCCCACAACGCGGGAAACAGATGTGGAAGGCACGATGGGGATGAGCAGAGGCGTCGCAATATGGTTGCGCCTGGTGGCGGGGACATGAAGCGGTAGATTGAGGACCCCTGGCACTAGTACCGGCAGTATTTCGGCACACTGCGCCCAATAAAGGGAAATTCCTCCTTTAGCTGACTTGCTGGCACAAACAGGCAGGATCACGACGCTACTCCCTGGACTCCGGCTCTCCGGGGGGCTTGCGACGCCAAGCTTTGTGGTGTTGTTGGTCCACGAGAAAATTTGCCACGGTTCTCGCGAGACGAGCTCTTCCACAGCCCTTTGCGCTAGCACTTTATTCCTCTTCAATCGATTTAAGATTAGTGTCATACATGCATCAAGAAGTCCTCCGGAAGCACCATCACCGCGTACCACAGCGTACGAGCGTCGAAAGCAGGAGTCTTGGAACACGGCTGACTGCTTTCTGTAGATGCGACACCTTGCACCGATACGCCTAATGCGAGAGTCCTTGGTGCAGAATATGTATCATCTTCTGCCACGTGGACTCACGAAAGGCCACTCACACCGAGAGCGTTACAGCGCACGACTCGCGTGTGCTCAGCGACGTCATGCGTGTTGGCAAAGCTAGGTGAACCGGAAGAGCATCCACCGCCTTAGACAGTCGAGAAGGTTACTTTAGAAGAAAAGCTCTTTTGCCGGCCGTACGACTAGGATGTGTTCTGGAGTTCGTAAAGGCGAGATGAGTGGGGTCTCATGAAGAAGAGATGGACGTCCTCCCCGAACTTCATTGTTCGGCGGTGATGCTCACCTTGGACAACAGCCCTGTACTATCAAGATACCGCTGGGCGTCGAACACCTTGCGTTCCGGTTACGCTTCATCCGGACATGTAATTGGACTAAAAACGTGTTTGAGAGCTGCTCTGTGAGGGGTTTGACCTTTCAACCCGAATAGCGAACATGCGAAAGGTATCTTCCAGATAATGTCACAATCTATATGAAAATAGGTAAGCAGGCCGTCTACCATCGGGGAGAAACAGGGCAAACATGACTAACGACCACAATCCCTCGTAGAACCTCTGCTCGTAACGGTATTCTCAGGACGTCTGGATACATAAACGAGTGTACTGATATTTCAGTGCCTATCTGTTCTGGTCGGCGAACGACACTCTCCACAACGACCCTCGCGCTCTTGTACTCCCTCAGTGTACGGCTGAGACGTCTCTGCGATGGCACGTTCGTGGTTTCAAGGAATTTTCTGGGTTCTATCCGCGCAGAGATCTAAAGGAAATGCACCATGTGGCTCCTCGTCCCAGAGGTCGCAGAAGGGTGCTCCATCGGAATCGGACCGGAGGAAGAGGTACGTGCATCTGGTATCGACTGCGGGATATATCGCAGCTGCTCATGCTTATGTCAGACGACGCGGTTCGCGTTCAGGACAATGGGCTTGTCGCGGTCACGCGACAAACACCGCGTCGAGCGCGTCGATGGTCTATCACAATGAGCGCCCAGGGATTCCGGTTTGGCTACCGTTGTGGCTGGTTATAACCCCTCACGCGCTCGTCCGTCCCTTCTCACTCACATCCTCCTCCCTGCGTACCTCCAACCGTTCTCTCTCATCGCGCTACAACCCCATTCCACAAGTCTTTCTACTCTTCCACACCACGAATAGGATGTCTTCCATCTCTGCACTCCTTGACAAGTTCGACAACATGTCTCCTCCGCCGCGCTCATCGTACACTCCTCCTCCCTACCTCGACGACGAGTACAGGGACGCCGAAGCTATACTGCAGGACAGGTTCGACTGGGTGAGTACATCTGTATTATTCTCCATACGAAGAAGCTAATAACGCTCTTGACACTGTGATAGTCGACTCTAGTCCTCAACCCGCCGTCCGTGGAAGAAGGACGCAAACACGTCGTGAAGCGCGATTCGTGCACGATTCACCCTCCTCCCTGTGTCGAAAAAGAAGCAATGCAGCCATCCCCGACCGCTTATACCACACCTATTCCGGGTCCTTCCAGCGTGGCCAGACCCACAGACAGCGCGGACGCTGCATCGTCTCCTACGCGCGAGACCGATACTGAGGATGACGACGGCTTCGACTTCAATTTCGACTTCAATCTCGATTTCATGTGGAGGTCGGACAGCGAGGAGAGCGACGATGGGCTTACTGACGCTGAGGATGATGAACCCGAGGTGAGTACGAGTTTTCATAGGGCAGGTCTTCGGGGTTAGCTAATAGAGCTTCAGGAGGACGTAGGCATCGACACAACCACCTCAACGCCCTCGCGGTCGTGGCGCCTTTCAACCCCGGAGGTGCTCAGCCCAAGCTCCAGTTCCACAAGGTCACACTCTTCCTCCGTTGAATCTGAGCAGGACGACTTCTCTCGAGGATCATCTCAGCCCGTGGCTCTTGCACCAGTCGCTTCGCACTTCAACGCATCTGTGCCCATCCTAGGACCTCCATCCAACCTTCGATCATCCGCACGCCTTAGGGAGAAGAGGAAGCGGGAGAAGATTGAAGACGAATACGAGAAGGAGAATGTTCCCGTAGGCGAGCATGCTTACGACGTGGACGAAAACGCCGATTCGTCCGAGCCTGGTCCTTCACGTCCTGCCAAACGGCGCAGAGTTGTGTTCAACCAAGCAGAGGAAGAAGTCGAGAACGAGGGCGAAGAAGAGGAAGACGTCGATGCTCAAAGCTACCAAGAGGACGCAGCCCATGGCGAGGAGCCCACGCAAGCCTCGGCTACCACGGCACAGAAGTGTCTGCTCGACGGGTGCCAGTACGAATTGTCGGGGAACTACTACGAGGACTGGGACCACATGTTGGATGCGGATCATTTCAACCAAAACGCCGATGGTCGATATCCGTGCACGTATCGCCACTGCCCTGGCTTTAAGAAAGTCTCGGGATGCAAACAGAAGCAAGCCGTCCAAAGGCATGTCATGTCTGAACATTGGTTCGACAAGGTCTGGTGTACCTGGCCGGATTGCACCAAGTTCTATTACAGGGATGACTTGCTAAAGAAGCACATGAAGAAGCACACGACGTAGGCGGTGTCAACGAGAAGGCAGCGATGGTGAGTCTTTGGTGTGTCTCAAATACTGTCCGGTCGCTCACCTCCGAATCTGTTGTCGCAGCCCTGACGGATCGCACATACATCGCAGACTGTCGAACGCAGATCATACACTGGGCTTGAAGTACGTGCTCCCACTTCTCCTCGGTGCCCTCGTGATTGACCAATACATCTATAGATGTTCCCTATGGTCGACGTTGCACCGCAAACGCTGCTGCTCAACCTTCTCCGAACATGAAAGTCCAGTGGTCAGGTCTATCGCGCTCCTGGTTATCGTTCTCCTAGTACGACCCGCTGTGTCAAAAACTTGACACATCCCTCCGATGTGCTCTGGGACTTAGTCGGATACATCAAGGTCGCACCCAGAACCGCTACCAGCCACAATGCCCTCCTCCGCTTCCCTACGGACCTACCTCCCCTGTTCAGTAGTCTCGTGCTTCCCATCCGAGAATCCTCGCATCTTTACGATCCTCACGTGTATATACCCTCAATCTTTGGTCGCCTGTAGCGGTAAAATACCATGGAGCTCTATCGTAACCCACTTCTAAGCCCGTACATATACGCACGGTATGAGTGACCAGCTCGAACCGCGGCATTCAAGAACGACTTCAGCTATGCCGTGTACTCCCGACGCGATTGTCTCAACCCGATTAGCGCCGATCTCGTCTCCGCGTTCAAATCCTAGCTCTTCATCCGCATTGATTCCTATTGTGAGCCACCTGAGTTTGTCGATTTATGGGACGCCAAGCCCCGACCCAGTGTGTGCCCGCCATACCGAGTTCAGCGGGACTACGGATCACGATATGTCGCACAGTAGCGTCGACATAAGTACCACGACGCATGAATCGATGACGAAGCTTGTCAAAGCGAAGCGTCGTATGCTGTGCCTGGGCGGCAGAGAAGCGTTCTGTGCACGACAGCTGATAGTCTCACGAAAAATATAGTGACTATCTTTTACACAATAATAGTTTACATGGAGGGCAAACGGAGACACCAACGGCTCTCGTATCGTCGAGAATCTTGTCGTTGTCGAGATCAATGTGGTGACTCCGCAGAGTCGAGCCGCTGACCACTAGGTCAAAGGTGTACTCCTTCAAAGGCCGCAGACCAGACGCCGCGTACAGGGCTTCGCACTCGCTGCTTGCATGCGCCTTCTACAAAGCTCCCAGACGCTGAATTGGGTCGCCGAGGTTAAGACTACATCGCTGGTTGGGCCAGGGTAGAGAAAGATATGTTCTCCAAACGCTCGCAGCGGGATCTTCCCAGTTCCTGGAGCGTCTGCACCGGAAAGACGACGCGCCATCTCGTTAAGAAGGGAGGAGGTTGAATGTTCGGTGGGTCGGGAGAGCGGCATGGCGGCGCCAGGAGGTGCAGGGCTACCCGGTGACGGCCTGCGTAGTCGACACTTGATAATACCCAGCAAATCAGGAGGATCGCACTGTTGAAACGCTAGTCAGTAAAGACTCAAACGGTGGGCTATCTACGACAGGTCACTCACTTCACTTCACCCTCCGTCGCTTCGTCGGCCGCATTCCTTTCCCTTCATCGCCGTCTCCGTCTCCATTATCCCGGCGAGCTTTCTTGCCCTTCGGTACATCAGCACACCCAGCGCCGTCGTGCTTCTTCATGTGGGCTTGGAGCGCACGAAGAGAGCCAAACCGGCGACGCGGAGTGCACTTGTCGCACGCGAACTCCCGGCCCCAGTGGTTCTCCTCCACATGCCGCGCCAAGCTCGCCTCTGGCGTGTCACCAGAGAACACGTGTCCGCACCGCGCAGCCCCAGGCGTACCCCACGTACAAGCAAGTGAGCCCTTCGTGACGTGACCCCGCACGTCTTCGTCGGACAGAGCTTTTTTGCCTTTGTAATAGATAGTTCCCGTGGTGGCTGCCGGCGTTCCTGCGTCAGACGGGATCTTGCAGGGGTGGTTGTCCTTGATGTGCTGCTTATTCTCCGTCGTGTCGTCCGTGAGCGCGTGTTTGCACTCGCCTCCATCGAGCCCGCACTTTTTTGCCTTGCGAGCAGCCGCCTGCATGGCGGAGACATCATCGTGTGTGCTGCGAGGACGCTTAGTGCGGGGTCGCTCCGGCGCCGCATCAGAACCTTGCGACTCTGCGGACGCTAGGTCGTCCAACGTGACGGAAGAGGGCCCCGCGATAGGCCGCTCTTGTTGCGCGCGGCGACGAGGTCGAGTGACGACTGGAGAAGCGAGGGGTTGAAGTGCAGCAGGATGTCCATCGACTGGAGGATGGGCGAGCGGTGCATTCTCCTTGTCCCTTTGTCGGCTGGTAGAAGCCTGCGCGGAGGGATAGTCTTGCTGTGATGGCTGGTTTCCTACGACGAGTGGGAGCTCCGCAGCGTTTGAGGCCGGCGGCGGAGGCGCGCGAATGTTGTCGCTCGGTACGACGGGTGGCTGCGTGTTGTACGCACAGTGTCGCGGAATTAGATTACAAGGCACCTACGATACAATGCACGAGTATACACGCACCTCGAAAGACTTCGTCTCATGTTCCTCTTCTCCATCCTGGGCTTGCGAACTAATAGCCACACGGTCCCTGACCCCGACGAGTGCAGTCGGCACAGCGAAATTTTCGAATATAGTTACCGTCCGTGGTGGATAACTGGCTTCAAGGTCTGATAAAGGTGCGTACACGGAATTGGTGGTGTCTTGCAAGAGTGTAAAGGGCGAGTTCGGTGGGAGGAGGTGCAGCACGTCTTGGGGGAACGAGGGCAGAGATCCTGCGTTTGGGAAGTCGACGTCGTTGGCCTTGTTGCGTTCGGAATCATGCTCATGCTAGTGAACATATGAGCGTTGGAGTTGGGAGTAGTACCGCAACCTGAATTGAACTCACCGCCTGCGAATCCTCGGTGGTATCCGTATCCATCTCCGGGACGTCATCCTCGAACATGTCAACGTTGATAAACTCGTTGATGTCGAAGGAGTTGCTGTAAGGCATGTTGAATAGGTAGAGAAGTGTGTAGGGAGAGTGAATGCGGGGGATGTGGAGTGCAGGTGTGGTTGGAAAGTCGAAGAGCGCGAATGCAGCCACAACCGAGCGCTTCGCGCGTTTTATGTCGCGGGGAGTCCGAATTTTGATTTGTTGACCATCGACGCACGCGACTATGTCGCGGAAACGTGACTACAATGGAGGTTTCATTTATTGCACAGGGCGTCGCAATTAGGAAATCCCTTTCTGCTCTTTTGTTTAGCACAGGGAAGCCCGCAGCAAGAGTCGCACTCACCATTCACCTGCAAGATTAGAGACGAACCTTTTGGATGCTGGTTACCATATAATTGTATCCACGGCCCAGGACCAGACGTGCGCCTGCAGGCAATGAATCCAAGTTGTCCGCTTTGTTGTCTTCCCGTTAACGCGTAGTTCGGCCTCGACGCCGTCCACTGTCCACAGGGGCGCACCAGGTGATCGTGGTTGTGTAACAGCACGTCCGCTTCACCACGAGCTGGTGTCCTTGTATGCAGATAGTACGCCATCCACTAACCTGCATGAGGGAACGGTGAACACCCACGGTAGCGGCAGGAGTTCTGTCCAGGGAGGTGTCAGGGTAGTCGAGAGTGCACCGTGCGCGCGCCGCGGAACTCGTATCTACGACCCTCCATCACCTCTCTCTTATACCCTTCCGCCGCAGACATGAAAGACGTTCAGACGGTGATCAGCCCATTGGTATTGGCGACAACATGTGTGCATTCCAAGGCCGACACCTTTTATCCAGCACCATGAAGCGAAGCATGCGTTCAACGTCGCATCACAGCGAAAGCAGTTTCACGGCCGCCAAGATACGATAGCGCGTTCATCGCCGCGCCATAAGACCTTCGCTGAAACCGCATCTCATTTATGCCCAGTTCGAACGAAGTCCATAGCGTCAGCGCATTTGCATGCAAGGCAAGGCACCATGCACATTATCCAGCCACGCAGAGAAAAGCCCTTTCGATCCGCGTGCTAGAAAATTTGGACAATATTCCACGAATGGGATACCAAGGGATCCAGAAAGCACTACGTCTTGTCTCAATGGTTTCTCATCTGTAACGTTCACCGAAAAGTTATACAACGCCTAATGCCTGCGCCGCGGCCGGGACCTCTCGGAGCGAGCTCTCGCTTCGAGGGGTCCCCGGGGGCTTAGGGTCAGCGGCCAGCGCAGAATACACGTTACCACGCCTGACATAAACTTCGTTCTGTTCTTGTCCTACGTACATATTTTGCTTGAATGCTAGCTTCGTGCTTGCTTGTATTTGACATCTCTACGGCCTGGGAGAACGTGTATTGTGGCCGGTGTCTGCGATCTAAAGGGATGGGACAAATCGCCTTCGTCGCCGTCAGCATCGATCTGAGATCCTTGTAGAACCCACCAAGGTTGGTCGTCGACACACGTCATCAAGCGCATAAGAGACGAGAGATGGCCTGCAACAGACATTTGGTAGTTGCCTCGGAATGGAGTCATAGAGTGATGATACTAAGCTTGCTCGACTTTCTCGCGCTTTTTTGCGAACTCATTCGCGCGAATTATATACTCTTTTTTCCCACAGCATCCGCGGAATGTGCGATGCTGAATATCTTCCATTCTCTTTCCTTATTTCTCTTCTCTGTTACAAAGTAACGTCTGCAACTCCTAGAGGCTTCGCGGTTGTTGTCGTTCCAGGCTTTCCGAAGCGTTACAGCTACTTAAAGACGACAAAACTTCGTTACGTAGCATGCATATCGTACTTTATGATACAACACCCTTGCGCTTAGTGTGCATTCTGCCATAACCGTCGTATACCTCAGCAAAAATCATGAAACAACATACAGCAAGTCTATAGCACCAGAAACAGGTGTGCAAGACACGATGAAGTGAATGAAAGGGACCGCATGGCCGAATACTGGGGCACGACGGACGTATAGAATGAGGACCCCTGGCACTAGTGCTCCCGGCATTTTGTCGATAACTGAGCCCCGCAAAGGAAAGGGATTCTCCTTTGGTCGATCTTCTGTCATAAACAGCGGCCTCACGCCGCCATGGCCGTCGAGTGGGGCTCTCCGGGGGCTTTCTGCGCCAAGCTACGTGCTGTTGTTGGTCCACGAGAAAATGCCACGATTCTCGCGAGGCGCCCTCATCCTCAATCCTATGCGCTGGCATCCTATTCCTCCTCGATCTATCCATGGTTTGTGTTAATCATGCACCAAGAAGTCTCCATGGAAGACACTCGTATCCGTGCCACGGTAAACCACAGCGTACGAGCGTCGAAAGCAGGGTTCCTGGAACGCGGCTGACGACTTTCCGCAGGTGCAATCATATGGCTTAGATTGATACGAGAGATGGGATCCTTGTTCCAGGATGCACGCCAAAAGACATTCTGCCTATCGAAGAATCAACTTCAAGCGCGTGAAACTGGAAAACCGGCCACCCGCACCGAGTGTGCTACGGCAACGGCGCATGCCCCGCTAAACCATCCTGCTAGCGACGTCGGGTAAGCAATTTACGAGCGCACTCGTGGCCTTGGTGTGCCGAGAAGACTACGAAGAATGCGGCGCTCCTTCGTGTGGTATGCTCCCTAGCACGTGGTGATATATGCATCTTGTAAAGGAGAGATGAGCGTCCTCGCCAAACCACGTCGTTAGGCGATGAAGCTCACCTTGAGGGGATCTCGCATGCTGGCAGGGCTGCGTTGAATTCCCAGTAGATCTTCTTCCGATGTACATCGTGTTCATGCACGAGATTAAACGCGTTTGGAGGATATCGGAACCGTTTGGCCGCGGCAGGACGGGGCTTTGACGGGTCAAACATACATGGCCTCATGTGCAAGATCCTTACGAGCAAGAATTGTGCAGCCTGGACGCCAATCGGTGAGTAGATGGTCTCTGTTGGCGGGGACAGCCAGAGAAAATTTGACTTACTGCTGCAATCGCCCATGGAGGACTTTCTCGCAACCATCTTCGTAGACCGACGGGGTATTTAAACGAGTGGAGCGAGATCTGCCAGTGAGAATTCGCCTTCTCTTCCCGTGAGAGAACCTAACTCACTGCATTAACCCTAGCGCTCGTTTCCTCCCTCAGCGCCGTGTAGCGCAGACGTCTCTGCCATGCCGCGGTTACAGCTCCTGGGTCTTCTCTGTGCGCTGTACGCGCAGAGCTTTTCAAGGGCGCCCCATGGCTTCTCGTTCCACACGTCGCAGACAGGTGCTCACAGGAAACCAGCCGGAATGCGGACAAGGTACGTGTATCTGGTCTCGACGCCGGGATAAGCCGCAGCTGCTCACGATTATGTCAGACGACGCGGTTCGCGTTCAGGACAATGGGCTTGTCGCGGTCACGGGACAAACACCGCGTCGAGTGCGTCGATGGTCGATCACAATGAGCGCCCAGGGATTCCGGATTGGCTGCTGTTGTGGCTGGTTATAACCCCGCACGCGCTCGTACGTCCCTCCTCACTCACCTCACCTCTCTCGCGTACCCCCGCTGAACTACCCCACCGCTATATACACCTGTCGACACCTTCTCAGCGCCGCTATAATCATGCAATCTACGTCTTCATTCTCGACTCCCCTCGCCCAGCTCGATGCTCCCTCCGCCGCGTGCAGTCCCGACGCCCCCTCGGTAAATGGCGGACGACCAGTCCCGGGCCCTTCCAGTCTTTCTCCACCTGCCACGGAGTACGTTTGGCCGTCAAAGCTTGCCATCGACACTGAGGACGACTATTTCGAGTACGCCTTCGATTTCGTCTGGAGGGAGGATTACGAAGAGACCGCCGACGATACCACTGAGGAAGAGGAGGAGGAGGATGCGATACTCTATGAATCCGAGGTGTGTCCGAGTACTCACACGACGGGTTCTTGTGATTAACGAGGCGGGTAGCAGGAAGACTCTGACATGGAGGAGTCTATTCAAACCCTTTCGCCCCCGTCGCGCGCAAATACCCCAGTGATATACAACCCCAGCCCGAGTTCGACAAGGTCTAGCTCTGTTGAACCCGAGTCGGACGATCTTCCGACACCTCAAGCCCCCTCTCGTTCTCGCGTGCTTGTTTCATCCAATTCGCAACTCAACACCTCTATGCCTGTCCCCAGACTTGAACGGTCCAACCTCCGGTCATCTGCTCGGCTCATGGAGAAGAGGAAACGGGCTACTGGAGATGAAGATAAAGAGAACGTTGTTGAACGTGAGCCTTCTGAGGCCTCTAACGACACCATGTTCGACCTGCCCGAGCCTGGCCCATCCCGACCGTCAAAGCGGCGCAAGATCAGTCACGATCACTCTGAGGATTCTGAAGAGTCTGAAGACTCGGAGGACTCAGACATCGGTGAAAGCAATGAAGAAGACGACACCGCGGGTGAGGCAGAGCCGGCGCCAGGCCCATCGAACTCGGCGCAGGAGTGTCGGATCGGCGGGTGTAGGTACAAGCTGTCCAAGATCTACAAGGTGGATTGGGCCCACACGAAGATCAAAGGACACCTCCCCGGGCGCAACGCTGACAACCGCTTCCCTTGCACGTACCCCGGATGTCCTGGCCTTGAAGACGTCTCGGGATACAGGGACAAGTCAGACCTCCGAAGGCATATCCTGTCCGACCACTGGGGGGAAAAGATCGAGTGCTCCTGGCCGGGCTGCACAGCGTCTTATAGTAGAGAGGATACGCTGGCGCGTCATAGGAAGACGCACACGGAGTAGGCGGCTTAACGAGGAGGCGGAGATGGTGAGTGTTTGGTATGCCTATACGTACTTTCCGGTCGCTAATCTCCGAACCCGTTGGGGCAGCCCTGTCGCATTGTTCATGCATGGCAGACTCTCGCACATAAGCAGTTCATCAGGAAGTGCGTAAATTCACTTTGCATTGGTGCTCTCATAATTGACTAACGCACTCTCAGACACACGCCGCAATCGATGATACATCTCCTTGGACGCTATCTATCGACCTGCGCTGAACCTCAGTGCCCTTTGGCCAACGGCTTCTTATTCCAGAATCTCTCAGGGAGAACGACTTCGAATCCGTCTCCACAACAATCGACGAACACGGCAACACGCTCGCTGTTCCCAGCATCACGACCAACTACAAGCCCTTCGATAATACCTAGCTCTACGAGGACGACCATGACAGCACGGTCGATTTTTCGAAGATGTGCACCTCGCGCTGCTATACTCGGCAAGGAGTTACCTCTGCACTCAGCCATCCCATGCTTTCCTACAAGGATTCGAATCGTATCGCCCACAAGCCTCGCTACACCCAACCCATGTCATATGATCCCGCTTCTACACCATGCTCCCGTGTATATATCCCTCAGCCTTTCGAACGTCCGTAGTCGTAACAATGCTATGTAGCCCCCTCGTTGCCCACCGCTAAGTTCGTGCCGGAATGGATTGTCGTAGTTGGAGTTGTGAGTTGTGCACCTTCTTCGTCAGCCGGGCCATCTAGACATGGGCAACCGGCAAGCGTCCCTGAGGGCGCAGGAGTCCGCCGCGTTGGAGCGCTCCTCCCCCATCACACCTACTATCTTGAACAAGTTGTTTACCACGGCGTGCTGACCTATCAAGATCGCATTGCACCCGGTAAACTCCCTCGAGAACCACGGCTCATAAGAGCCTAGTCGTTCATCATTCCTGAGTCTCATGTATAGATTACAAGCGCACTGCTAGATCGAAGTCTTGAGTACCTGACGCAACACGTCCGACATTCCCAGAGGAACAGCACGCAGGAACGAGCCACACCATACGTAGACAAGCGAGGAAGCGCATCGTCATCAACGAGCCCCGCGTCATCTTCACGACAAAACACCCCGAATAACCAGGGGTCCCGGCCGAGTCCCGGGCGCGCCTCAGCGCTCCGTGCGCGGGCCCCTCGGTCTTCACGCCCGCGGATACACCGGCACCAACCAACGCGACTGCGGAGGGCGACTGCACGGAAATGCATGCACCATGCTGCACACACGAAGAGAAACTCTACGTCAGCAGGATGTCCCATCAACAAACGCAGGCGCGCAAGAACGTACCTCTCGTCCCGCCCAAAGCGCACCTCGAGCCGTCCGAGCGCGGCCGCGCGCGGCATGTGCAGGCGCGCACCCCAGTCGGTGTCCACGCGCTCTGCCTTGCTCAAGGAATCGCTCCTGAGAAGGACTACGCACAGCTGCGTAAGCGCCTCGAAGCGCTGGGTCTCCCGTGCGCCACCGGTCGCGTCCGCGGTATTGAACTTGGCTATGGTCTCCGCAGGGCCGGCGCCGAAAAGGATGTCATCCACGCGTGCAAGGCAGTCGAGCGGCCCGGAGATGACAGTCGCGGCCTCGTACGGGACATGGATCTCGAGCTCGCGGAGGAGCGCGGGCGCCGGAAGGGTCGCGATGACCTCTGGCAGGCGCTCGTAGCTGCGCATGAGGATGTCGTCAACGCGCACAAAGAGCGTGAGCGAGGTGAGCGCAGTGTAATCCTTCATCGTAACGAGCGCTGCGTGAGACGATTGTGATGAGTTTAATGCGCTACGCCCGGGCCGGGGGAGCGTGGTGCGACTTACGTTGCAGGCCGCGGAGGGGGACGCTCAAATGGTGCACGGAGGGCCCGAAGTGCGACAGCGCGTCAGGGCCGATACGAGCGGTGAAGGGCACGTCGAGCGCGCGCAGGGCGCGTGCAGTAGGCGTGCGTGCGAGCCACGCGAGGAGCGGGAGCATGCAGTTCGGGTATACCGGGGACACGCGGAGCGTCTTGAGCGCGGGGCGCGCAAGGAACTCGCTGTCGTCGCCGCAGTCGTTGAACTCCGTGCTTGCCCAGGTAATGGCGTTCAGATGCAGGTGCGCAAGATGCGGGAGGGCGTTGACGAGGAGCTGCACGTCGCGCATGTTACGATGGTAAGTCTCGTTGAGGTGCAGTGTTGTCAGCATCGAGAGGTCCTTGAGAGTGTCGCCCAGGGTGTTGAGATACACCATCCCGTCTGCCCCGATGCCTCGTATGGTCAGTTTGCGCAAGCGCGGGGTAGCCTCCGCAGATAGATGGGGCGCTAGGAATCGCGCGAGGACGTTCGCATCCTTCGCGCCATGCATGTCCGGCCTCCAGCCAATTCGAAGTTCGCTGAGATATACGAGGAATGGCTTCAAGTAGGGAGTACCAAGTGCGCGGAAGTCCCGGACAGAGAAGAGGATAGGATAGGACACCGCGTGTAGAGCATGACTGGAGACGCACAGGCTTCGAAGAGTAGTGCGGTCGTCTCCTAGGTAAGAGGTGATGTGAGCGAGCAGCTCGACGGGGAGACGTGCGGTGACGGGCATTACGTCGGGTGAGGAGGTTTGGACAGAGCACAGCCGGGTGTTATATGTTCTCCACTCCCGGGTCCCGACGGGAAGGGCGTAGGAATGATGATCATTGCGAACAGGTCGAAGCTGTCCTGCAGTCAGCTGCGCCCTCGGACGCTTCCGACACGAGGAAGGGGTCCAGCATCAGTCGTGCGCGACGTCTGCGCTCCAGTCACCGGTATCTGGCCCGATCACGCCTCGATTGCGCTGGCTCCTCACCATCGTCAACGTCAGCACCGCCGATGTCACCCTCGGCGCCCATTCCCGGCAGCAGATGGCTGTCAAAGAAGCCGCTGCGAGCGAAGCTGGCCTGCCAACGTGCCCCGAAAATTGCCCGGTCTCTCCGCCTGGGTTTGTTCCACCCTGTGCTTCAATGCTGTGCAGCAATGCAGTCGAGCAAATAAGTAGGATCCGTAGATCGAACTGCTGTCTTTGATTCCGTCGTCGCCGGTTTCAGCACTGCTTTGGGGGGAACCTGGCCGGAAGCGGGCATTGCAGACGCAATATCAAACATGCCCACGATACGGCATCGAAGTGTCGTTGGCGGCGAAGGGAAGCAGTCGGTACGGTTATATATGATCCGGTCCGTCCCTGCGTCCGGTGACCTTCACCATCTTACAGCAGTCACGACACGGGGATCGGCGATGCGACATTGGCCCCGAGCGCCACACTCGAATCTACATGTAGACTCCTTGTGGACGACTCCAGGGGGACTGGTAGGGATGCTACTCTCGGATTGGCAGTGGAATTGCGGGGAGCACCTCTGTGCAAATATCCACTCACCAGGAATAAGGAAACAGCGCACAATGAGCGAGAAGTAATGAGTACGATTGATAGCATTAATCGCCGCTCTACTCCCATGCACTGCTCATACGTTATGACATTGCTGCTCGACCCCGGGCCCCGTCCCGTGTACTCGCAAGTTCGGGGGGAGTGGCGTTCCTTCATTCAACGAGGCAGCGAAGGTGCTTACCTGAGGCCCACCATACGTCGTCGATGTTTGGACGTATGCCATAGAGAGCCGAGGAGAGGCCCGACTTGGGGAAACCACGTCCTGGGGAGTATTGCCATCCGTGAAGAGGTCCGGAGATTCGGATGTCTGGAACGCAAAAACTCCATTGGAGCCGCCGCGGTATCTTGCGACAGACGAGAGCTGTAGCCTTGGGGGTCGCCACAGGGGTATGGAGGAGGCGGCATGACCGGTGACGTGGCGGAAGTCGACATACAGCGAGCAGATGATCTGGATGAGGCCAGGTCAGGGACAAGAAACAACACTTAGGCGAGAAGGTCCACGCAGGCGTTCAGAGAAGGTGCTGAAGACCGGAGGCCTGAGGAGACTGAGAGCGTCGGCATGGTGGCAGGAGAACAAGAGCATCGGAGAGACGCGCGTTGATCTCCGTCCCCTGCCGTGACAGCGGCACCGCTCATCGAACGACGAGCCAGCTTTCCTTCTCACTCTCATCTGCATAACTCTGAGGCACCCTTCATCTGGCTGGTCTCGCTATGCACGCCCGGTTTTCAGGTACGGTGAACGCGCAAATGGGCCACTGGTACATATGGTGTGAGACACGTAGAAAAAGTCGAGAGCTGACTCGATCCCCACGCATCGCGTAGCCTCTAGGTTGACAATGCGCTAGCATGTTCAGCTTGTTGCTGTGAGCACCTCTAATCTGCAGACAGATGTATAATCGGTGGGTGCTTTACCGTCTTGGATGTAGTGGACGTGTAGAGGTAAGTCAGCGGCGAGCGCTAACCCGCCCGGCTACGCGCTATGGGCGTCTGCGATGTACGCGGTACGAGACTCGCGCGATATGCAGTATGCGCAAAGAACAGCAGATTCTGAATGGTGGTTCCAGGAAAAAAAGTGTCGCAGTTCCACTGAAAGGTACGCTTGCATGACTGAGCTCCTGGTGTATTTTTCGCGCTGCGTTGATGTCGGTTCGGAAGGCGTCCCTCGGGCGTCTTCCGAATCGTCACCGAGGACAAAGGCACTGGAATAGTGCGTGCGAATGAAAAAGGCTGCTTACCTTGAAATCAGGGGCATCAAGGCCCTCTCCATGACGCTCTTTACGCGTTGTGGTTAGAGTAATCCTTGTTACTGGGGTGAACTAATTGATTGGTTTGTCGTACACGCTGAATTTGAGCCCATCGGTTAGCTTCTTCGGCCTCAATGCTTTCTTTCCGAGCGAAACGTCTTCTGCGATGCCCATTCCATGCTTTCTTTTCTGATCGCGTCGGTTTGAAGTATGGTCGCTTACAGGAGATGATGAGTCGGCCGTGGTGACGAATGTGCGAAGACGGGACACGCACCCTTCTCAGGTGTTCCAAACACGCCCTTTCCTCCTTGAAAGGGTAGAGTGTGTCAATCTGATGCACTACGGTGTTGAATACAAGGGTGATCAGAACGGAGACGAGCTGGTGGCTTATATAGCTCACCGCGCAGCCAGGTGGAGCTCGCCGACCCACATCCCCCTGGCTCAACGCTTGCTTCAGCATTGGGGGCTGAGTAGGCTCGCCCCGTGCACGATTCTAGGCGACATTTTTCCGCCGCCAATATGCGTTGCGGCCCCAGGCTGATAGCCCGGAAAGCTGGCGATGAGCTACGCGTTTGCGATCGCCCCTTGTGTCGTCTCACCGCACAGACGGCGGCTAGCGGCGCGAGACCTCCTGGTGAGTGATAAATCAAGTCAAAGTGACATGTATACTTATCTGAAGTAGGTCTTCTGCTCAAGAGCAACGTTCTGGATCTGAGAACGCGGTCGGAGAGAGGGTCGGGTGCGTCGATGGTCATGTTTGCGCCAGGGCGTCAAAACGGTCGCCGCGTACAACGCCTGGCGCTTGCTTGCTCCCTCCCAAACCCACTCACTCACCCTCCACCACTCGCCTTCGCTCTCCTGATTCCCTGCACTCTCGTGTCTACAACTACTGCCGCGAAAATTCGCCAATCTACACACACCCATATACACTTCCGCACCCTCAAAACCGACCCAGACCTCGACATGATCTCTACGAACTTCGCCGTTTCCACTTCCTCCAGCGCTCCCCACTCGTCGCAATCCCGTTCAACTCGCGATGAACGCGACTCGCTCCACCGCCCGAGGTTCTCGGTGAGTCTCCTGCAGCGCTCCGCAGGCTTGCTCTGGACAGGGTACCGACACTCACCCACGGTAGGACTGGATGGGGGAAGGGTCGCTGGATCAGCCCGAAAGTCACTTGCTCGACGCGTCGTTCAGTGACCAAGCAGAACACGACGAAGGGTATAGTTCCTCTGCATCACTTTCCACCCTATCAGAGCAGTACGGGACGCAGGGCGACGAAGGAGGGAGTATCATCCAGGTGAGTGGGTGGCTAAAGATCTAGACGACATCCCCGTAGCTCATATGTTCGGTTCGTTCAGTCGTCCGCTTTCGATGCCGATGGAAGTGGCTATACGCACTACCGCCATCTCAGTCTCACCGATGGCGTTGGGGACGAGCCCGACTGGAGCGCATACGGCGCAGACTTTTGGACCCTCGACGCGGGGATCCCCAGCTACGACCTACCTGGCTACGAGGAGAACAACTTCGTGCTCGAGACAGGAGCCGTCGTCGACCATCTCTTGCACGGGTATCTACCTGAACACCAGCAGGAGGGTCCGGACTTACTGCCTCTCCCGTTCGAGTACGACTACTCCACCCGGCCCGCAGAGGTTGTCGCGCGAATCAACAGTCATCCTTCCACGTCCTTTCCCTTCCCCTCGTCTACTACTGGACGCGGCCCCCAGTCCCCACTCGCACACGCGTTCGACACCGCGCCTCGAACGATCATGTCGGCTCCTCTTCCCCAAGCGGGACCGTCCGGTCTGATAGAGGATGCACCGCCTATGGTCAACCCCGCTCAGCCGACGATGCAACTGGGCGGCGGCAAACGTCTTCGATCGGAAGAGGACACGCCGAGGACACCCCCTCGACCATCCAAGAAGTCCAAGGGCCCCAGATCAATGAGCCGAACGACACCTACCCGCCCGGTCGTGGAGGCGAATCGCGCGTCCAGAGCTGTCGCTGCACCGCGCCCCGCATCACCAGTTGCGGGTCCCTCGAACTTCCGTGGGTCAGCAGCGGAAACGGACGAATCTGCGGTGGACGACTCGGACGCTGACTCGGAGGTCGACGACGACAGTGATCACGCCGACGATGAGACTGCCGCGACGGGGATGTGTACGAAGCGGGCTCGGCGAACCAAGGCCCAGGTCGCAGCAGTCACGCGCACGGACCTGCAAAAGGTCCACTGCCCCGTCGATGGTTGCACGACGATGTTTGACCCATTGACGCACGACGCGAACCGCAACCACCTCAAGCTGCACTATCCGGAGGGGGCACTCGACAACAATGCGTCTCTGCCGTGCCTTTGGGCAGGGTGCATGATGCGGAAGGGGAAGGGTAAGCCGTGGACGCAGACGCGGAAGCCGGGGACTACCATGATCACCCACCTCCACAAGGACCATGTGGGCCAGGCGTACACCTGCCCCGTTGAGGGCTGCACTACGTGGGCATCGAGCCGTAGCGGGGATCTACCGCAACATCTGGCCAGGAATCACAAGGGATGGCGACCGCCGTGAGTAACGTTATGACGTTCCTCTCGTGCAATGTGCTGACCGGCTTGGTTTCGTCGCGCAGGGCGTAATCATGAGGCGTTCTCGGTCTCGATGTTATATCACCGTAGTCGCGCGACGGGAGGACTATAGCGCTTTGTATATTCGTGTACCATGTACCTATAACTTGTAATATAACATGTAGTTTATGAAACGTCCACCTCATCGCGCGCGGGTTCCGTATATATCTCAACGTCAGGCCTCGAAAGTACTCCCTATTCGGCGTGTCGTACTCACTGTGCCCGAGGCGGAGACGGGGAGTAGGGGTCGGGCAATCGCCTTGGCGCAGATATGTAGGGTGCTACATCACGCAAGCGGAGGTCAAGAGTTCAGCTTCATCGACGAAGTCGACGTGTGCCACCTGATCGCTCACATCTTCATGGCGAAAGGACACCAAAAACGATTTCATGGTGCCTTGAAATGTGCTGCTCGCCAGGGAGTCGTCTGAACGAGTGTCTCTGCCTACACGCCCAAAACACGCCTCACTCGCGGAAAGATATGTTTGAACATAGACCTTGGTTCTCTTTCGCGATACCATCGCTGCAGGTCTCTTGCAGTGTCCTGATAGAGAGCCGAAGGATCTTTCGTTCTCAATGTACGGAGGCCTGCATTCATTCTGAATGGTTCTTGCTTTCGTGAGAGAGCGTTGTATGGTGACGCGTATTGGGACGTTTTGGTGGGGCGGAGCTCGCCGTAGCAGTCGGATGTGTATGTAGTCACTAAGCTGATCATGGTGACCTTTGTGCCTTTGTGAGAGAGAAAGGGTACGTACAGTGTTTGTCGTATTCGTTTCAAGTCGTGAATCGAACCAATTGCAAGAGCGAAAGACTCGGACGACGTGCAACTCCATTGCGAGTGTAGGCTGCGTATATAGCTGAACACGATGGAGATGAATACGACGATGGAACCCACCGCACAGACTGTCGATACTTGGCTTCTACAATCTCTGCACACACCACTGCGCTCTTGGGCCGTACTAGATTGCATGTTACTCCCAAGCCGTCGATAACCCACCATTGCTCTTCAAGGGACATATTTTTCTGAGATCTCTGTATGAATCGTTCTCTGGATGGCCCGCTCGCCGCGCATCCGTCACCCTTGATACCACAGGACGACTCTGCCAATACGAGGGAGAAATGTGGAAAGCTAGCTTCCGGAAGTGTGAGAGCACGAGTGTCTCTTTCCAATACTCGTTCGCGCATCGCTTCGCGGGTTGTGGTCGTACATCATGCCTTTTGGTTCACGGTCAGAACTACGGGGCGCACGTCTGGGGCCGCGGCCGATCCAGTAGCACACTTTTGGTGAGTCGCAAACAATCGCACGGTCTCGTGTGCTGATATTTGGTCAGGAAACGTGCCGGAATATGTCAGGCCAATCGATGCACGGCGTCAATGTACACAATGGGATTCGAGTGCGTCGATGTTCATGTGATGGCGCCCAACTCCCTAAAGTGGTAGGTGTATAAATTCGCTCTCTCCTCCCCAGACCAACCCTCACACATCTTACCCACTACCCACCATCCTCGTCGCCTCACTCCCCTCTCAGCGCATTACCTCGCAACATCCACCCTATACTTTCCATCCACACACCAGCTTCTATCTGACAACATGCACTCCGTATCGAACAACGCCTCCTCCGCCTCCTCCGCCGCCGCATCTACCTCGTCGAACGCGTTGTCGCCCGCACACCTTCAAGGAAAAGGGGGAGTTGCAGCAGGATTTCTGCTCCCAGCGGCACTCCACGAGAAGGGAGATATGGGAAATGGACAGGACCAGTCCATCGCTCAGGTATGTGGCTATAGTTATTACGTGCCCTGTTATATCGTCTCACACGCCCTCAAGTCTTCCTGGAGCGTGGAGAACGCAGTCGCAGTGTTTGAGTCCACCCAAGCTCTTTCTCGCCTGCTTTCGGAGGCCATATTCGGCACAAACATTGAGCGTCCCGCGTCAGAGGTTGTTGACGTCGCAGAACACGAGCTGGGGTGCTGGGGTGCTGCCGCTTCTAGCGACCTCGCAGACCGCCTCGTGTCGATCTACGCGTCGACACGCAAACCATTTGACGGCCCAGTGGGTCCGGATACCTGGCTGGATGAGAGGAACAATGTTCTGTTTCGCACCCGGCCAGACGAAGAGTTCGAAACGTTCGCGTTCCCACCTCCGACCAGCAAGCCCATCTCCCGGGAACCCCCCGTACGTCGTCGCAGGCGTCTGGCGCGCTCTGCCCGTGCCGCTTCATCTTCGGTTCCCACAAATGCTCCAAGCCTGACATCGGGGCCTCTTCAAACTCGGCATGCCGTCTCTGATGCTGACGTCGCCCTACCCCCGCCATCGCCTCACCGGTCCAACAAGCGCTCTCCGACGAGCGACATGGACCAAGACCTTGAGGCCACGCATCCTCACAAGCGGACAAGGACGGATGGAGGGGAGGTCGTAGTTCTGCAAGGGGACACCACGGAGATGGAAACGCAAGAGGGAGAGCCCGAGCAACTTCAAACGGCGGAAGCCTACGAATCCACCCGCACGATGGTTGTCGTCGCGGATCACCTAGGGCCTGTCGACGTCGCGATTAGTTCGTCCAACCCTACGTCGGGGAAGTACAGTGTTGGCACAGAAGAAGCCAGAGAAGGTGCCGAGGCATACACAGAGGCCGCGGAAGAGGCCGGCGACGCCCAAACCCCTGGCAGCGTCCCCGTTCCTGCGCCTCCTCCCGCCCCCGTTCCTGCTCCTCCCGCCCCCGCCCCCGCCCCCGTTCTCGCCCCCGCACCACGCGTAAAGCGCGCGCGCCGTACAAACGCAGAGATCGCCACCACCCTCGTCCCCGGGCTCACGGCGAGTACCTGTGGCTTCCCTAACTGCGGCTTCCTGCACCGCCCCACCTCGGGCGACAACAACCGCAACCACATAAAGGCGAAGCACTACGCGATCGCGTTGCTCTCGAGTGCGAACCCGCTGGTCTGCGGCTGGGGAAACTGCGGGCTGCCCTTCGCGGGGACGCAGATGATGGCGCACATAGAGCGGGACCATATCAAGTATGGGTACCTGTGCCCCATCTTCGGGGAAGACTGTCCGGACCATTGGAGGGGGAGCCGGGCGAAGGACCAGACTACGCACGCGAGAAGGGATCACTGAGGGTAAGTGCTTTCTCTTCGATCCGGAACCTCGAGCGCTCGCTGACTTGTACATGTTCTCGCGATGACAGTAGCATATCACCTCTGCCTTGTCTGACCTTCACGAACGCCGCTCTCTCGGGGCCGCCTTCTCGCCCCGGCGTGCCGAGCGTATTTGGTCGTGTTGTAGATTATTGCACCACATGTAACTTCTAGATGTATATATAAAACTGGACATCTTTTGTACGATACACGATGCGTATATATGGGTTATCTGAAGTCCAGTCTTCTCATCTCTGTACAACGTTCGTACTCGTGCCACTATACCACCCCCCTCGACGCGAGCGAACACGGAGTGCACACGTAGGCCGCCTACAAAGGGTGTGCGATGGCGACCTTCAATTGCATACCGCCCAGGTCTACACATCCGAGGCTACGGCGACATCCCGTGGACCCCACTGCACGTAGGTCCACACTTCCAACCCAGGCTCGACGCTGGTCAAGTATGCACGAGCCCAGGCGCACGCGACGAGTGGGGAGGAAAAGAGAACACGCTGTTAACGTTGCTTTGCCTGCAGTGCGATCGCTCACGCGGGCATCTCAAGCGGTCTTAACACTCGAGTTCTAGGAGCTTTGTCGGCCATGAGCAGGGTCCACGATATCCAGTTACTGCGAGGGTCCTTGGGCACCGGACGATGCCCAGTGCGTCTTCAACATCCAAGGGTCGTGCCTGGCCATAGCCGTGATCCATGACCAAGGCCCCTCAGACGCTTGCATATCCGCCTGGAGCGCAGCCTCCCGTGTACGTTTAGCTCATCTGACGTTGCTGCGCGAGTCGAACGTATTCACGAGGGCTTTCCCGGGTGCTGAGGTGCACGCTGCTGCAGGGGTCGACAGACCGCGGAGGTCATTTGACGTCGGCGACGGCGGTATGTCGCAGCCCAACAAAGGGACTTCCGAGTTAGCACGCTCCGTTCGTCAAAAATGAGGTCATGCTTACTGGTGTGGGCCCCGTAGAAATCCCGGGGCGCCAGACGCTCTACAGTCGGCACTTACGATCAGAATGTTGGCCAGCTTGTATGGACCCAGAGCGAGCCGCGGTCGGGCATGACGCCTACCCGCGCCTATCAGCGTTGTGTGAGACAATAAGCATGAATTGACGCGTTCGAGGTGGACCTCGAACTCCACAACAAGAGTGAAATATAGGGAGTCGTAGCATGAAGTCTCACCTCTATTGTCTCGTCTTCTTACCCAGCATCCTATGAGACCCACGAGTGTGCATGGCGATGGCGCAAACTGGCCCGGCGGCCGCAGAGGCGCACGGGCAGTTGCAGAGAAGGGATAAGGAGAGAGGTCGAAGTGCTCACCGACCAAGAAAAGCTGCCACCTCAATCCTGATAGTCGTATCTCAGACAGGCTCCGTGAAGGTGCTGTCGTCGATGACGATCTGCTGGAGAGCAGAGAGGGGAAGACGTACGATGTGCCTAGTATGATGAACTCGGCGTTCTTGCTCTGTTGTAGCAACCTAAGACGAGAGCAAGATGAGACCTCGACACTCAGCTCAGGAGGTTGAAGACGGGGAGCCAGTCCCAGCAACGAAGACTGTTGAGAAGTGGAAGCGCAACGGGCCATAGGCGAAAGAGAGTATCTCGCGGACGGGTTCAGGATGCGCTGAGAGCGACTGGTCAAGAGGGAGAGGGGCGAGCGAGCGGGGAGATGGAGGTAGGAGGACAAAGGATTTCCTCCGAGGTTCCAATCCCCGGCGCATATATACCCTGTCACCCCCTGGCACAGGCGCATCCAGGCAACGCGCCCGAGCCGTCCAATCACATCGCGTAAATGCATGTGAAGGATGTGGCTAAGATCAGCGTCTAACAACGCTCGCCTCTTGACCATGCCACACTCATTCGAATCTCAGCTCTCTCGGAAACTCTCTAGCATGCTCTCGACGGCCGCGAAAATGTGCTAATGACCGGAACACACGATGGCATGATCTGCGAGACCATCGCAAGCGAAGACGACTCGATCTAGCAGATCCTGACGGCGTGGTAGCGAGATACAACCGTACGTCTGCCTCTCATGACAATGTTCATCCTGAGCACACCGACAACGAGCTCAGGAGAGATAGCCATATATATGAATTTGCCACACTTTGAGCGACACGTATGCGCGATCGCCCACTCCGCGGTCCACGCGAGAACACGCGTCGTGGGCGTCTATAATTCCAACCGTACATGGGCGCCTATCCGTGATTCTGTGGTGGTAGAGCCACACGCCTTCCGCGCCCAAGAGAAAGAGAAATATCTGGGGAACTCACCGGGCAGGCGTGCCCACGTTACGTAGGAATGTTTATCCAGCGTAACGTGCTGTACCCTGAGCTTTGAGCGAAACGTGCGATTCCTGCGCGTTCACGTCCTCGGTTCACGCTTCGGCGTTGTCGCGGTCGCGACGCGTCTCCCGCTTTGCGAAAGGAGTCGCAGGTGTTGTTTGAGTTGCGCGTCAGCGCGACTGTCGACGGAAGGCGCTACATATGTTGCAGGCGGCGTTTCGGAACGCGCTCCTTTCCTGAGCATTGTCCGAAACTTCGCCTCTTTGTGTAAAGAGCACGATGAGTCTTGTCGCTGACGCACATATCATCAAAGAGACTCGCCTCGCGTCAGAGTATATTGCAGCATTCTTTGCATGCCCTGTTTGAGCCACGATTGGAGATGCGGGAGGTGTTCGGTGGCTGGAGTCATGCGCGCCGACCATGCGACTGCTGAAGCTCGCTCCGCACCATCCAGGACTTTATCTGTAGCACAGATGAAATGGATGCAAGCATTAACAACGAAACAAGAAGTGTACGCACTATTCCATAACGCGAGAGCCAAAGACGGATTATGGTTTGGGGCCCTCAACGATGACCACCGCGGTGGCGGCGATAATGGGAATACACTGCTGTCGTGCTCTGGAGCTTGCAGGTTGCGTACTCCACGCGCGCGGCGACACCTAGACGTCGACGAGATTTAGCACGAATTAACGAGCAAATTCCAGCCACAACCTACCGCCGCGATCCTCCCATTCGCCCATCGACACTGCGCGTTTGAGCTCGCCATGGACGAATTCAACATGACTCCTCTGAACAGCGGATACGCCGGACTCGCGGCTGCGCGTTGGCGCGCGATCCGTCCGTGGGCTGCGTCGCGGTTAGCGGGGAGAGTCCGGGGTAGCGGGCCAAGGGTCGCACTTCACCTCGGAGGATCGTTCTTGTGCGTACGTTTGCTCCTGAAATCTTGCACTCGCTCACCCATGATCAGGGAATTTGACGTAGGGTGGTCGGCGAAAGCATCATCGATGTGGTTGGTGTCAGAGTCGAGTGCGTCGAAAGGTCAATGCGGGCGCCAAGACGTTTGACGCTGGGCCGCACCCCGCATAGCCGCATTAGGCAGAGTGTTGGTTTGTTTGTTTTCCGCTACTCATGAGCTCAGCCACACGACGTCCCGTTCACTACTTTTCTTGCTCTCACTACACCCTTGACCACATCCTCCGCTCTTCCACCCCTCCCAATTTTGCAATATGGCATTCAACACCCAATTCGACGGCCTTCACCTCAGTCCGGCCTTCATATTCCCGGAGTCGCAATCCTACGGAATCATTAACTATCCCCTCAATCCTGTCGAGGAACCCCTGCCATGGCAGCCGGTAAGTCTCCGACGTTCCCAATATATGGATTTGAGCGACCATGCTCATTGTTCGCAGTACAACCGGTGGGTGTTTCCCTCGGCAATGGTCGGAGATCAGTCGGGAGCATCTCAGCTGCCCGCAGAGGGGCGACGAGGGCCGCTCGATGAGGTATACGCGTCCAGCTCCGTTTCAAGTTCTCCTGCCTCAGACCTTCTCCTGGGCGACAACCCTTCTCCCCTGGCGACGTTCGCGGGGTCGTCGAGTTCCATGGCCCAGAACAACCACGAAGGCCCGGAGGTATGTGGCTAGCATAGTTCTAACATTCGCACGACTGACATGGATTGGACTGTGTAGCTTTATGAGTCCGGTCTTCCTGCGCAAGATGCTCCCGCGTCCTCGTGGGACTACTTCGCTCGTCCCACAGAACATTTCCCTCAGTCCCTGCCCAACGATGCACTCTATGGGAGAGCCTACATCGACGACTATACGCCCCATAGGGTCGTTCAAGAGAACACCGCGCCAATTCCGGGCCGCGAGACGATTGACGAGGACCCTTTCAAGATGCGCTTCCACCTCTCTCCCGGGGCCGGAGCGCAGGATTGGCCTGGAACAATTTCTGGCTTGCATGGCGACGTTGAGTTCCTGCAGGTCACGCAGATCGTCGGGGCGCTGCCTGAGCCCCCTCGTGGATATGTCTCAAACCTTGCCGGTCCTTCTTCTCACCCTCCTAGCCAACCGGCCGTCCACGACACCGCACGCGAACCAACCGCACTCATGCGTACGCGTACGAAGGGTCGTGCCGCTCTCACTGGGCCGTCATATTTCGTGCCAATCGCTCCGAGAGAGGCGACAGTCCAGGCCGAAGCTCCCGCTGCGACACAGTTGCGGAGGAGCAGCCGGAAGCGGGCCTCCCCAACCACGAGCTACGCCGAGAGCGCCACGCTTCCCCTACCCCCTCCGAAGAAGCGAAAGGGCTCAAACGGCAAGGCTTCTGTAACGCGGCGACATGATGCTTCCGCAGTCTCATACCCCACGGAACAGGAGGGTCCAGTCGCGGGGCCGTCTCGTCAGGCCGCAGGAGTGCACGTAGCGTCGCCTCAAGCTGGTGCGGCGCTTTCAGCGAGGAAGGCGCGCCCTGAAAAGGCATCTCCGAAGAACTTGCGCACCAAGCCGAAGAGGGCGCGACGTACCCGCGAGGAGGTCAACAAGTACAAGGTGACCGGTATGCTGTCGCAAGCCTGCGACGTCGAAGGCTGTGAGGAGGAGTGGAATCCCTACACGCACGACGAGAACCGCACCCATCTCGAGGAGCACTTCGACGTCGGGGATTTGAAGAGCTCTGCGGATCTGGTATGCGTCTTTGATGCGTGTCAGGAGGTCGTCCCGGGGAAGGGGCTGCTGAAGCATATGGAGGAGAATCACCTCGGCCGCCCATACCTGTGCCCAATCGGGTGTGGCTGGCAGTCGTCTCGTTCGAGTTGGCAGACGCAGCATATGAGAGAGTCTCACAGGGGGGTTCACTGGGTGCCGTGATTGGTGAGTTGTCTCGATTATTCTTGGTATACTTCATACTCACCTTTCCGTCTAGTGTTACCTCGCGCGACATGCATGGCAGGTCATATGTACTTCAACAATGCATATTCTACTGTAGATCCCATGCTGGACATTACTTGGACTTGCACCCATATATAGGGCCCTCGTGATATTTGCTGTATCGGCTCGCTTGTGTACTCGCCTCGAATGCTATCAACGTTGTTAACCGCCGCGTATATATTGCATGCATTCGCTACAATAATCCATACTGGGGCCGAAATCAAGCCTCGCAGACGAAGCTGGACCCCCGAGGCCACAGAGCGCCTCGTTAACTACGCGCTCTGGGATGCGTACTGATCGAGGCTCGACTACATGTCGTAGCGAGGCACCGGCGGATGTTCACGACGCTCAGAAAAAGTGTTTGACTACTTCGCGGGGTCCACGCGCTACGCGCTACGTATGAACGGTGGTCGTGAGGAGACCATGGGCTGCGGGCTGCCCGGCAGGGCCAACCGGGGACCTCCGATGCCTCCCATTCTCTCCCCGCATGCTAGCCTCGTCTTAGGAAATATATATGGATGCGTTTAACTGGAAGTAACGCTGTTGAAGGATGTCGTGTGCATCGATGTTAGCCACGGGGTGACGGCGTCTGCCGAACCGCGTTGCCATAAATGTCTTCACCCACGGGCGGCACTCACCTCACCACTTCAACCACAACCCCCTCAATACTTTCCGCACATATCCCCCACCCACCCACCCAGACATCACTTTCCCTCTCCATACTCTGTCTTCAAATGTCTTTTGTCGGCTACTTCCCGTTCGTCTCCGATGTCGCCTACCTGTCCCCCCTAGTCTCGGAAGAGTCGCCTGCCAGTGCCGCGCCCGAGACCCCTCCTCTCGACATGGACCTCGTCGATTTCGCTCAATTCAAGGCAAACCCAGTCAGTGCCAACTCTTAGCTATGATGTACCTATACTTACGACGCTCCGAAGTTCCCGCAAGCCAGCGCGGGCGCAGGCACTGGTGGCTACGATTCACGTGGGCTGCGCGGGATAGTCGGGGATGTGTTTTCTTACCCGTATGACTCGCGCCTCCACCCAAAAGCCCACCTCCGAGTCTCCCCCATTACACTGGAGGATGATCTGACTTTATCTGAAGTTCAATCCCCGGTGTCGCGGTGGGTGAGGACCCAAGGGCGGGGGCGGGCCCACGTAACTCCTGTTACCCCAGTAACTGCGCCAGAAGGGATCAAGGACGTGAGTCGGTCACTGATCATAACAGCATACACAGCAACTCACCACCATTTTCAGGCCTTCATACGTGGTCCCGAAGCCTGCAACATCACGTTCCACGGATACGGCAAGGAGAACGTCCCAGCAGTTGGACCAAACCCCGGGCAAGTATCGTCTCACCCCCGGAATGCAGAACGTTTCTTTCTCCCAGATGTCGGACCGACCGAGGCCGCCGACCCCTGGCTGGATGCCGCATTCGATGCCATACCCGACCAGCTCATATGTCTGAGCGACGACGGTCCTGCGACAGATACCTGGTGTGGGTTGAAGCGAGTTCGGGCCCCTAGCTTTACGTTAGAGGATTCCTACTTGCCTCCACCTAAGAAGGCGAAGATTATGGATCAAGCGGCGACCCACCCTACAGCAGGGCCGAGCACGGCGCCCGCCGTCAAATTGCGTAAACGCAGATCGAACTCGAAGTCTGCGGCAAAGCACAAGCGTGCGCGTCGTCGGTCTCGCGAGGATGTCGACGCGCTGCTCGTCCCGGACTGCCCGAACGTCGGCTGTCCTGTAGAGGGATGCACCGGGATCCTCAACGCGTCCCGGCGTACAGACAACTTGACGCACCTCAAAACCCACTACGTCGAAGGTGCTCTTCATTCGCCCACGGGGGTCAAGTGTCTCTGGTGCCCCGCGCAGAAGAAGCTTGTTCCTGGTAACGCGCTTGTGGATCACGTCGGGCAGAAGCACCTCCATGCCAAGTACCGCTGTCCCTACTGGGACAAGGAGGGCGTGCTTTGCACGAAGACGTTCAAGAAGCCGGGGTACACAAACACCCACATGCTGAAAGTCCACAGCGCGCCCCACTGGAGCTCGTGAGTACAAGCGTATTATTCCCTATACACTGTGCTGATAGACCCTTCGCATTTCCAGCGAGTTCCGCTCAATTCTAGGAGGGTCCACGCCGCAATGAACGCCATGAATACTGGGCCTGCCGCGTATGCATGGAACCCGGGCCCAAGTCAGCAAGCGTATGCCAAGGCCGTCACTCGAACCTTTTCACAGCCGCAACCTGTCTTGTGTGCACTCTACCTCATCCACTTGCCAGTCACAGGCGTTATCCAACACTGCAGTTCCCGAGACCTACCGGCCCTATACGCATTGCCAAAAGGCGAAGACTCTGGAGCTGGCTCAATCCATGGAGAAAACGATTCCGTCGCAGGAGTCAACGATGTATCGGATATGTCATGCCTCTCGCAAGCGACGTCGCGGGACTTGCATTTAAAGACGACCAGTGTGAGGAACGACAATGGTATTCGACACATCCAGAAGCGCAGACGCGACAGTAGAGGAAACTGAAGGAAAGGCCATCATGGAAGCGATCCCAGAGCAGTAGGCGGGATATGCAGAGCCGCTGCTGCACAGGAGAACCAACGCGACAATCTTCAACGCGACACTGCGCGTACCAACATGCTCCACGAGGATACGGGCTTGGGCTTATTACGCATAATTGCGCCGACACCCAGACTAATCCGAACGTATACCCCCTGGAAGCAATGGGAGAGGACGACGCGGGACTCTCGCTGGCATCTTGGGGGCAAAGATATCCTCGATGTATTTCTTGAAGTCATGGGGTAGTCAAGCTCCCATACGTATGCCCGCCCGGCTGCAAATGGGCCACGACGAGGTTGGGAAGGCCGATTATTTCGTCGCATCATCGTAATATTCAAATTATGGGATCTGTAAATAGCGGAGGACAATTCACTCTGGTGTTACGTCCAGGCTGCAATACAGCGTGCGAATGTATTCTCTATCTAGTGGACCCCTTCGACGACCCCTGCACAAACTCGTCTCTCTCGTGGTAAGCGTGGTCGTTGCCGTCCCCGCAACTGGGTAGCTCGCTGTAGTCCTCATCCCACTCCTCGTATACCTGATCTTCACACCGGCCGTCCGGCGCCGGGCCGAAAAATCCCCTCTCTTCCATCTCCTTGTAGACTGCGTTCACGTAGTCCCTTTGGTCGAGAAGCTTCTGGTATTGTACCAAAGATATGGCTCGTCGTCGTTCCACCTCCTTGGCTTCTTCTTCCTTCCTCTTGCGACGAAGTGCCCTTTCGCTGAGGACGGGAGCGGAGGCGTCGGTTTTGGGACCACGCTCGCTACGTAGTCGGGCGTACTCGCGAGCAACTTCTTCGACAAATCCCATAGGCTCGTTGATCTGATCCTCTATCGACGCAGACACGTCGCGAAGCTCGGACTGAGCGAGTTTCTCGGGAGAGGGGATTGGCTCTGGGAGCGGCTCTCCGGTGGGGATAGTTGGATCGAATCCCGGCGAGTAGTAGAACACTTTATTGCGCCTTGCGGCATATTTGTGAAGGCTGTTCACAGATCTGAGGGATCAGTATGAGTACATCCAACTCTGGGAACGGGGTCACGTACGAGGTCATGGAGGGACAGCGACGCTAGGATGGTAGTCTCAGAATCTGGAGGCGTGCGGCGATGATAGATAGTTTGGAAGTCAGTCTAGCCAGCAGGGCGGGTTTATGTACTTAACTCATTTTCCCAGATTTGACCACAGCAAGTGTGCTTTGTGCAACAAAGCTGCACTCAAGTGCCACTCAGCTTTGTTCGACAGCCGACTGCGCGGCGGATGAACGAAGATGAGCGTGAGAACAGCTTGGGCGCTACCGCGATCAACGCGAGTGGCACACAACTGCCAAATAGAGCCAAAGAACGCGAACGCGTGGCGTGGCAATAGACGCGCGGCGACGCGACTTTACAACAACACTGTCGTCCATCCCCGAGGAGCGCGTCGTTCGCATCGTAGCTCGCCGCAATGGACTCTGCAACCACGAAGAAGACATCCGAGCAGGAGAAGCAGGCAGAAATCCGACGACAGATAGCTCTTCTCCAAGCACAGCTGGACACGAGGTCGTCGAGCGTGCACACCCCTCCCTCCTCTCCCAAACGCAAGAGGTCGAATTCGCATCTCTTGGCACCAGCTACGCCTTCGCCGAGTGAGTGAAGCAACGCATAGACACCCAAAAGTACTGACATCCCGATCTAGAGAAGAAGAAACCTGCAGACAAAGCGTCTCATCGCCAGGGCGGTCGCCGTTCTGTGCCCGGGGGTGCGGGAGCAGTGTCGTCCCACTCGCGACCCATCGCAGGGCCTTCCTTTCCATTGAAGTCAAACAAACCAGCTCCGCCTCCTGCACCCTCCGCTGTCCTACAGAAGCTCGCACAAGCGCACAAGGCGAGAGAGAAGGCGCCCGAAACGGACGCAGTGACACGGTCAACCGCTTTTACCGCCAAAGCGGCGGTCATACCCACCCCAACAGATGCAGATGGAGGAACCAGTCATGCGCGCGACGAGGACCTGGCTCTCATCGAAGACCTGACGCTTGGGCCGTCTGAGCACAAACCTCCGTTCGACGACTCTCACTTCGAGAAGCTTGAGCCCAACTCTGGCATTCGACTGTCGTGCGTACATTTCAAAATTTTCCTTTCCCTTTTGCTCACCAGCGCACATTAGGTCACGTGTAATACCCTACGACGACTTCCAGAACTACCTCGAAGGACGATACTACATCTCTCCCTCGCAGCTGTACTCAGTCGTCCGCCTCCTACCCAGCAAGCAGGGGTACGACGTTCCCGTATCTGGTGACTGGCTTACGATCGCTGTCATCGCGGAGCGTGGTCCAATGAAGTACACCCAAGCACCGGTGGGCGTCACACGCGATGACAAGCTGCTGAACGAGGGCGAGGATCAGATGGATGCGCTCCCCTCGCTCGACGGTGCTGCTCAGTCGGGGCCTTCGGCACGTCCTCCTCCGTTTCGGAATAAACCGAAGGAAGAAGCTTCCAAAGCAAGCGGGAAGAAGTACGTCAACCTGAAGCTGATCGACTTCGGGTGCCGGTCGCAAGGGAGCTCCGCGGACAGCGGAAAGGCAAAGATCCGTGGCGATGCGTTTCTTTCGCTCCTTCTCTTTGAATCAGACACATGCGACGTCGTGATGAAGGAGGGTGGTAAGAAGGAGAAGGTGTATCGTGGAGGCAGTCGCGGCGCGTTTGAGCGAATGTCGAAACTGCGGGAAGGCGCCGTAGTCGCGTTCCTCAACCCGAAGATCCTCAAGCCGTTTCAGGTACGTCCCGCCCTTCAGCATCCCGCATCCCCCAAAACTCATGATTCCCTCACGATAGCGATCCTCCGACAGACCCCATCCCACCGACAACATCCTTGCCCTGACGCCGGAATCCGACGCATCCATCGCAGTGATCGGTTACGCACAAGACCTTGGCACCTGCAGAGCGACGAAGCGAGACGGCTCTCGGTGCTCGGGGTGGTGCGACAAGCGCGTCAGCGATGTTTGCGACTACCACATCCAACACGCCGTGGAGAGGAAGCGCGCCGCGCGGCCGGAGTTCTCGATAGGGTACGCCGTTTGTCTACTCGTCCCTCATTGTGGCTCACATAGTAATCATCACAGAACGAGCGGCATGTCGATGGCGGCGAAGAAGAAGGCCGCGTACGATCCTGCGCGACAGTGGGGACTGAAGCCCGAGCGCGAAGCCACAGGGGCAACCTATGTCGTGCAGGGTCACGTCATATCCGGGGCAGACTCGCGCTCAATGTACGTCGGCGAGAATGTCGGGCGCGATGCGCAAGCCAAGGCTGCGCGTAAGCTCTCCGCGGTCGACTCGGAGAAGGCGCTTCAACGGCTCCTCAAGCGCGATCGCGAGGGTACAAAGATACTGGCCTCTGCGCGCGAGTTCTCCAAGAAGCAGGCGGCGGAGCTGAAGCTGCAGGAAGGTCCGTCGAAGAAGAGGAGACGGAAGGCGGCCAAGGATCCCGAGAGCGACGAGGAGGGCGAGGACGACGCTGCGAGCGACGAGGCCGGTCAGAAACCGCGGGGCAACGCGTACTCGGCGACGCTCATCAAGCAGTTGGGGTTCGACCCCACAGCGAAGAACGGCCAGAAGGTGAAGGACGACAACGTCCAGAGCAAGGTGAGCCCCGATGTCCTTCGGCATCACCTCCTCTCCATTGACCAAACCACCTTCGCTAGCTCGACGCCCTCGCATCCCTGCAAGCAAGTCGCAAGATTGAGCTCGGACCACGGCCTGGAAAGAGGAATACGTGCGTGTGGAAACCAAAGCCATCCGACGTGCCTGGAACATCTGCCTCAGGGTCGTCTACACCCGCCACCCACGACGATTTGGAGTACGCTGACGAGCCGGACTCGCCGCTCCGGATTCCTGATAGCGACGACGACGAGTTAGAGAAAGCCGAGGTCTCGGCATTCGGGCGCCCCATAGGACTGTCTGCGGAGAAGCTGGTTGACCTCGACGACAGCGATGAGGAGGCTGGGCCTAGCAAGTCCAAGTGAGGCTTAGGGATACAGATGGGGTGAAGCGACGGGTTCTTGCACTGTCTATCGCACTTGGATTACATGACCCTATCGTTATGGATCGATGCCGTTCAGCGGTCCTGGACCTTGTGGTGCGCTAGCTATGCGACGTGTGCGAAGTCCGCAACCGTACATAATTGCAACCCCTTGCGTGATACCTACGTGCTGCGACGAAACTTCGTGGTCGACATTCGAGACAGCGACCATAGGAGTTCTCGTAGAATGAGGTTATTCGCGAAGATACGATTTCAATATGACTGTACAGTAGTAAGGTGCTATGTTAATACATCGCCATGTAAGGCTATACGATCACAGTCCTGTACAAGAAATACAACATGAGACAGAGGAAAAGGATGCACTATGCTACAGTTGTCCTTTCGTCGAAGCCGGGCTTGCTACCTGCTAGACGAGACAAGGTTATCACCCGTCGCGGCTTCGAGAAACAGAGACCACTCACGATATCACTGTCACACGGGCCTGTACTTGCAGTCCCTTTGCATGTGTTGGGTCTGCCACTGCGACTTCGTGGACCCCCAGGTGCACCTATCGTCGAGCAAACATATGTACGGAAACCCAATGTGAACGTCCGTGATGTGGTGGATCATAAGGTTCTGCGAGTCCCGCGTATCCTCGCACACCGGCCAAGGGCATTCAATCACGGCCGCCCGTTCGAGGTGCGTCACGATATGGTTTCGGTTCCCAACGCGGTCGTATGGGTTAAAGGCCGCTTTGGTGCAGCCGTGAACGGGGCATGGGACTCCCCTTGGCAGGCGGCGGGTCGTCTCGAGCACCTTGTCCTTGGTCCTCCGGCTTCGTTTGGGGCGCGGTGCGGGCTGCGCCTCTTCTCCATCCGCTTCCGAGCCGTCGTCAGCCTCGACCGCAGCGGATTCCTCTTCCTCGACTTCTTCCGCCTGTGTGCTCTGGCCATCGTCGTCGACAACCTCCTCGACCTCGGGTTCTTCCTCCTGCAGGTATTCGTCTTCCTCTCCCGGGACCTCGCCCGAGGCAGAGACAGCCTCTTCATCAAATGCGCTGTGAAGCGCGATAACCTCACCCCCTTCCGATTCCCGCATCTTCTTCCACAGAGGAAGATCATCTTCATCCTCCTCCTCATCGTCGACCCGAGCGCGCTTCTGTCCGCTTGTCGCTGAGGTCATCGGGGAGCCGGAAGTGGTCGTGGAGGACGTGGCATGCTCGTAGACCGTCGCCGCAGAAAGGTAGGATGGGCCGAGGACCTGGGGGATGTATGCTGTGAAGGAGGTGGAAGGCGGGAAGGGGTATGGATCCTCGGTCGTCGGCGACGCATGGATACCTGACACCGCGGTGACCTGGGTGGCTAGAAGGGGTATCTCATACGTGGTCGATATGTTCGTATGATTGATAGGATATTCCGCCAAGTGAGCGTCGTCGGCAAATGGAGGGATATCATCGTCGGCGCACTCCTCGAGGTTGAGGAACTGCTCCTCCAGCTCGTGCAACTGCGCCTCGACGTCGTCGTAGCCACACGACTCGTGACAGCGATGCTGCTGATGTTGAGAAGACAGGCCAAAGATGTTGAGAGGCGAGCCGAAGACGCGAACGACCAACTGGGACATACCTGCGGTGTAGCCACACCCCACATCTCCTGGTCGTACAAAGAGCCCATGCTCGATCTGTGGCGAAGAACCGCCTCCTGCGCGTGCTGATCGCGAGCAGGGTTGGTATGCGGGCTCAAAGCCTGTGAGCGGAATGGACGTACCTGTGACTGGACATGATCGCCCACCGCGACGAGAGTCGCATCCGAGGGTACGTCGCCTGGGACGGTGAAGGGCGCAGCGAGGGAGTAGGAAGATTCCGCGATGGTGTTGTAGGACATGTTTTCAAGACAGTGATAAAGTATTGGAGTGGAGGACTGGAAAAGATTGCGGAAGGGTGGGTTCGGCGCCGGCGGATGGACGGAGTAGTGGTTGTGGGGAAAAGAGAGTGGTTGTGGAAAGGGACGCGCCGCGCCGCAGGTTTAAAAGTGCTCGGGTAATTGCCCCGATACCATAAAAGGACCATCGACGCAATCAACACAGTTCCACTCATTGTACGCCAGATGAGACTGTCCAATCGCGCTACTATAGCTGTGTATCAGCACACGAAAAGCAAAGAGGAGGTACAACGTACACCAGCATTGCTCCAGGGATGATCATCCTTCGTACCTCTCCTCTGAGTCCTGACCATCAACCGCCCTGTGGCTCGTTTGCGAAGCATGCGACAACGAAAAATCCCTGTGCTCTCCCGCGCGGAAGCATATATTCCGTGGTCACACCCGTCCGCGGGAGTCTAGAGAGGCTCACGTCCGCGAAATGGCTAATGGGTCGCGCAGATTCCACCACAACGATTGCGGGCGAGCACAGCGAGAATACAGCGATAGGCTTCCAGAGACCGTAGCGGCGCGCCGTATGAGATGCATATCGGTAGCTTATTCGCTCTCCATCTTATATATTGCTCAGGGCGGTGAGGTAGCCCCTGCCAACAGGGCCCATTGGAGACCCAATCGCGCACGATGAACCTCATAGCAAATGTCCTATGCACGGCCGACGTTCCTTTACGCAGGTGGTCATGGCTTTATTCCACATAATACGGTACGCGGTTTTGATGTGTTTGCTTGTTCGCTAATCCTCAGGTTGTTTGATACCTCGGGCACTGGCATACGGCTTGGAAAAGCAAGCAATCACGCCGCCATCGTGAGCGAGCGTTTTCGGACTCATTGTCAAGAACGCGAGTGGCTGAGCCTACGCTGCCAAACAAAGTGATCCTTCAATGCGTCTATGTTTGATGTGAGTGCTGTCGCCCCATACGCAAGAGAGGCAGCACTCAAACCGCCCTTTTAACTCAGCCCGATGATGGTTCGAGCGACTCCCAATGAGGGGTACCTCGGAAACGGCATATCGTTGATGACGCATGATCCTAGTGAGGATATCCTCTCATCGTCGCGAGATCAAGGCCCTTTGGATTACGAGACGACTCGGAGCCCTGCCGCAACAACTCGTCCCCACGCGCGCGTGAGCGACCAGATGCACCACAAAACATCTGCGTCTATTCATTCGTCTTCAAAGAAGTGACGCTCGACACGAGTAGCCTCCGATACCCAATGAGTGCATGCTTAGCGCTCTATTCTTTCTATCACGTTGCTGCATGTTGCATCGAATGCGTGAGCGAGCGCGTCGAGCCCTGTCGAGCCTGGGCTCCTGGGCACCTCGTTTTCGTACTTCGAGAGTTCTAGGCGCACCACTCGCAAAGACCACATACCTCCGTTTCGACATCGTGGGCATCCGTTTACGCAGTCCGCGAGGAGCCTGCGGATTTCTGAGGAGCTGGTGTATTTGCCATAGCATTTTGAAAGATTTTACGCTACGACGTAACAATCTGCGAGCTCAGGTCAGTTCCGCTAGTAACGGCGTCTACGAGTCTCGCAGATCGTACCTTCGTGCGCTCATGATATCTGGGTTCCTTCGGAGCTACGCGAAAGAGAAAGCGTTGTGGCAAGGCTCTCCTGGACAGAAGCGATATGAATAGGACCGAACTTGGTATGCGATCGCCCCAAACTATGTGCGTGCGACGAGGGAGGCCGTGCAACGTATCGCTACGAGCACTCCCAACACGTATATCGACACGTCCCGAGTGCGACGCACAGCCCGGACGGACCAGGGCACTTGCGGGACGAGGAATCAAAATTGAGAAAATGCTGTTACTTGACCTATAGTATGACCACTCGGTACTCAAAACACGCGACTGGGTGTACACCTGTCAGGTACACACGCAATGAGCAAGGGACGGGTGACAGCTATCGCATTATTCTCCGCCATACTTTCAACCAGAATATGTAGAGTGATGTATAAGTCGAATCCTATGTTCCGTGGGGGTTTCCACATCGCTCTTCGGCCCGTCAGTCCCCCTAGATGGATGTAAATCGCTCGACCGTCCCATATGCTTGCATGTGTCGAGGAAACGGGAGTCGTCGTTCGAAAGCGTCGGCGAAGGTGCTTACCTGAGGCCCCAAGGGCCATACCCTGCAAAGATATGGATGAATTCATCCCGAGTCTTGTGGAGAACCAGGCGCAAGGCGAACTTTTGACGGCGTGAGTTGCGGAGTGCCATTCGTCATGAGTCCAGGGATCCGGGCGGCCTGACAGCGAGAGCTGCGTCGAGACTGCCGCGGTAGCTTGTTATAGGCCATAGCTGTCGGCGATATGTGATCGCAGCCCACCGCTAGGGCTTGGAGAGGGTGCAATGACCGATGAGGTGGCAGAAGTGGCCCATGCCGGCGAATGGTCTGGATGAAACAAAGTCAAGCTGGCGAGAGGAAACGCTCAGGTCAAGTTCCAGATCGTGGCGAATGGTCCTCGCAAGCGTGAAGAGGGAGTACTGAAGAGCTGGAGGTAGCTGAGAGCGTCGGCATGGTGGCAGGAGAACAAGCTCGGCGGAGAGACGCGCGTCTCCTGCCGTGACAGCAGCATTGATTATCGAACCACCGGTACCATCCAGCTCTCTTCCTCCTCTCATCTGCCCTGAGGCACTCTCCGTCTGCCTGGTCTCTGTATGCGTGTCTGCTCTTTGACGAAAAGCGCAAATGGGCCACGGCCCACCGTACAAGTATATGATTTCAAACACATGGAAAACGCCGAGAGCTGACTGGATCCTCATACTTGGATCGCGTAGCCCACTGGTCGGCGATGTGCTGACCTGACAGATTATTTCTGTGAGGTGCACGTCTATATCTCAGACAGGTACGTGACAAATATGCGCTCTGCGGCCTAAGGCGTCGCGGGGTTCACGGAGAGGTGCGTCGTCAGCGAGCGCTAACCTACATCCCATGGGCGTCTGTGCGCACTGCGGCTACGAGACTCGCGTACTTGCAGTATGCGCGGAGAATAGCAAACGTGGACTGGGAGGACCCAGGAGTAAAGCCCAGTTGTCTCCATGAAGGGTATGTCCGCAAAACCGCGCGCAAGGTTGATTTTGTACTGCATTGGTGACGATTCGGAAAGTGTTTCTTGCGACGTCTTCCGAATCGGCACGCTGGACAAAGGCCCAGGAGGTACGCTCCTTGTGTGTGAACCAGGAGAGCTGCTCACCTTGGAATCAGGAATTCTGTTTCCTTGTGCGCGATGGTATCCATGCGTCGCGGATGGAACAATCCGAGTTATCGTGGTGAGCGAGTTGACCGATATATCGTGGGTGTTGAAGACGGGCCCATCGATTCGAACCCTTCAAGCCTTGATGTTCTCTGTCTGGACGAAACGTCTTCCGCCATGCGCATTCTGAGTTGCCTTGGAAGATTCCGCTCGTTTGCAGTTCATGTTTGCTGAGAAGAGGCGATTAGTGTTGGCCGCAGTGAGGACTCGAGACAGGACACGTACCCTTTTCATTTCTTCCTAACACGCCTCCCTTTTCCCTAGAAGGGTAGAGCTTGTTTAAAGCGCATGCGCTATGGTAATGAATGAGACGTAATAGTGGCCAGAACAGAAACAAAACGGTGGCCTATATAGCTCACCAATCAGCCAGGTGAAGCTCGCAGCTCTACGTTCTCCGGGCTCGACATTTGCATCAGCACTGAGGCCGGACAGGCCCACTCCTCGCGCGATTCTGGGGGACATGATCTCAGTCATAGAGGTGTGTTGCAGCGCCAGGCTTGTAGCTCTGCAAGAGAGCCGTGAGCTACGAGTTTACGAGCACCCCATGCGTCGTCCATCGCACATACCATGGTTGACCGCAGGGAACTCTCTGGTGAGTGATCGATCAAGTCGAAGTGTGATGCATACTGATCCAAAGTAGGAGTCTCGCTTGATGAATTCCCTTCTGGGTCTGATAACGCGGTCGGAGAGAGCGTCGAGTGCGTCGGTGTTCATTGTTTGCGTGAGGGCGTCAAAACACTCGCCGTGCGCAACACTGGGCGCTTGCATTCTTCCGGAGTCGCTCTCTCGCTCTCCACTATCTACATCTGCTCCCCTTCTCCCCTGCTTACACATATTCCCAAATCCCGTCTCTGGCTTCCGCCCATATACGTACTATTGTACCCCTCCCCCACAGATATCGAAGACCAACGTCAAACATGTCCGCTACTAACTCTGCCATTTCCTCTCCCTCGCGCCCTTCGCAGTCGCCGTCCCGACAGCAGGCGACATCCCAAGACGTGTACGATCTTATTAGGGGAATTTTGTATCAGGTAAGCTGTATGCGCTTCACGTCTATCCACCGGAACGTGTATCGACTCTCGTGCACAGCAGAGCCCGGCCAAAGGCGACGCGTTCGACGCGCCTTCCTTCCCCGGCACGCGGACCGCTGCGCAGGATGGACAAGGGGGGTACCCTTCTGCGTCACGCCCTACTATTGTGTTCTCCGGTCTTTTGGAGGGCGCTATGACGGAGGGCAGCGAAGGCGGGAGACTACTGGAGGTATGTGGCTAGCGACGTGGTTGATGTTCCCTCGGCTCATCGGTTCTCTCAGTCTCCCGCTTGCGACGTGGATCAACAGCGCTGTATTGGTTTGGGGCAACCCTCTGACTCCTGGAACTCTTGGAACGAGCCCGGCGGGAGCGGCCTAGACATGAGGAGTCTCGAGGCGAAGATGCTTGATTTCCAGGGACCAGACAACGCGAGCCGCTTCGATCCCGCGCTGGTCGATTTCGACTTGCCTCTCTCGCGGGACCCTCTTCGCGTCGAGCATGAGCAAGAACACGCAGAGGCTATACCACAGCCATACACGTTCGACTATTCTTACCTGCCTGCGGAGGTTCCTGTGCAGGCCACTGATCATGCGCTCCCGTCCTCTCGCCTCGAAGTCCCCGATACGAACTCGCGCACGGCTCGTTTCTGGCCAGTCCCTCCGTTTGGCATGGCACTTACTACGGGAATGGCACCTTCTACGGGCATGGCATACCCTGCGGAGATGTCGTATCCCCTCCTGGAAGCGGGACCGTCCGGTCTCCCAGAGGATGTACTGGTACCATCCACACCACCGCCGCAGACGGTCGACCTCGTTCAGCAATCATGGCTGATGGGCGATCGCAAGCGCCTCCTGACGGAGGAGCAGGACACCTCAGACGCACCTCGGCTGGCCAAGAAGCACAAGGGCCCTAGAGTGGAGACCCAGTCGACTCCCCCGCGGCGGACCTCCGCAAGGAAGAACCGCGCGCGCAAACTTGTCGCTGCTCCTTCACTGCCTGTCGCGGGTCCCTCGAACCTTCGCAGCGCCGCGGCGGACCAGGATGCAGCGTCTGTCTACGAGTCGGACCCAAATGAGGATACCGACCGCGACAGGAAAGATTACGCCCCCGATGGAACGGGAACGGCCACGACGCGTACGAAGCGGGCGCGGCGCACCAAGGACCAGATCAAGGCGGTCACACGCACAGACCTCCCAAAGATCCACTGTCCTGTCGAGGGTTGTGAGACTATGTTCGACCCCTTAACGCACGACGCGAACCGCGATCATCTCGAGCGGCACTACGAGACGGGTGCGCTGGACGGCAAAGCGTCTCTGTCTTGTCTCTGGACGGAGTGCGAGAAGACGCCGATCGGGACAAAGATGATCACACACCTCCACGAGCATCATGTGGGCCGGGCCTTTATCTGTTCTGTTAAGAATTGCAAGTGGGGGTGGGCGTCGAGTCGGAGCGGGGATCTGCCGCTGCACTTGGCGAGGAGGCACAAGAGTTAGTGGACGTCGTGAGTGCGTGATCTGTGGATACTTTCCTCGTAGTGTACCGTACGCTGACAGACTCTGTTTTGTCGTGTAGGATTTCATGATGAACAATTTGATGTGTATTGTTGTGTTAGTGCGGAGGGAGGATGATGACGCTCCGTAGACTAATGTAACGTGTATTCACAACCTGTAGTAGTACATGTAGTTGTATAAAACGTTTGCTCCATCGTGCCCAGGTCCTATATCTTCCCCGGGGTCGGGTACTTGAGCATATCCCCTGTTCGTCATTTCGGGCTCGATGAGGGGACAGAACTCGATTGTAAGAACGCACAGCGACACCGACGGCTACCACTGCCACGAACGGGAGAGTAAGCCAGCCCACGCGGACGTATCAATCTTGACACGCGTCAGCGTACACCACCTCCCCACAGCATAGAATGGAATGCTCGGCACAGCGAATCTCACTAGCGGGTGTTGCACACGTGCAGACGTAACGCTCTTGGTCTCTCCGCCACAGACCGAGAGCGCGGGACACCGACGACCACTCCCTCGTAAGGCTGCAAGGGCTTGTCGAACGAGATATACAATATACTGTGCGAGTGACCAATACACGGACAACTGTGTAATGTGTCGTCAACGCTGCTCCCTACCCGTAACCTCAGGAGCGTCTGCTTTTCTGTGAAGGTATTCACTAAGGCGCACATACGGTTACAAAGCTGGCAACGCAGCTCCGCCGCATAGCATAAGCATCTTTGTTGCGATTACATCCGGCAGCATACAAAGTGAGCGGTGACCTTGGTACCTGTTTCGCCGTCCATGTACGTCGAATTTTGCATGATTGTCCCTGGGCGTCCGAACTTCCAATGACAACAATCCTGGTATCAAATCAGTCACCCAGATTTTATCACGTTCGCACTCAGTTGCACGCCGACTTTGGCTCACGTAGATTCTGTTTACTAGCACTCTCCCTTTGGGACCTTTTTGGACCTTTTAAAACGTGTTTATCCAGAGATGACCGGACGAGTCAGAGGGTGGTTGACGGTATTGTATGTAAAGCATACTACACCACGACCGATAGAGGCGGCACAGAGGAAAGCAATAGAGCTTGTCCGTTCTCTTACACGGCGTTGCAAGTAATCTATGTACCATGAACAGTATGAACGAGAACCACTCAATGTCTGTGCTGAAGGGGTATATATTGGGATGGCCGGGAGGTCGAGCAGTACCTCACTTTCCAACCTCCCCAACCTTGGGATCGATCACTGTGCTCATCCCTCAGGCGGACGGGCTCTTGAACTTTGTTTAACCGGAATGTTCTGGTCTACACTCATTACGGCGCACTGGTGAGTGAATCGGACGTCCGCTAGTAGGGATCAGCCCTCCACACTGCGCTTCACCGCTACTCTACCAGAGAAGGGCGACTCCAATACGACTAGGGGAGAAACTGCAGGCTACGATATACTAGCTCTCCAAAAAAGAAGAGGGAATTCTCGCGGCGTTAAATCACTCTGCAGGCCGCGACTTGCGACTGAAACGTCCAAGCACGGATAGAGAATCGCCGCTATACCCCGCAGGACTCTCCAAGTGAGTCGTAAATCATTATAGATCTGCTCGCATATTAATCCATCTACAGGGGATGTTTCTCAATGAGTTTAGGATAGAATTATGTCCGGGATCATGGCGGTTGGGGAAAAAGAGAGTCGAGCGCGTCGATGTTCAAGTATCGGCGCCAAATCACCGGTCATGTATAAATTCGCGGTCTCCGCAGTGCCCACTTAACCTCTTCCCCCCATCTACACCACATCCACCACGCTACCTTCCTCTCTCCCCAAGACCGGCCATTCATCCCCCATTCATTTTCGAGCTCTGATCAGTACTCGACTGCCCCCTACTTCGCTTCACTCTCGCTAGCCACACACATATCGACTAACATGAGCTCCAACATTTACAACGCCACCTCAAACCTCCCTTCCCGCTTCATGACATTCTATCCATCAGATACCTCATCCCCCGCTCTAGGACGTCAGGTACGTTGCTCGCAGCGCCATTACTGTGTTCCCTCTGACGATCGTCGTGCTCGCTCATCGCAGAACGAACGTCAGCCGTCGGGAACCCCGTTCATGGCTCCCCAGTCCCCCTGGGAATCTGCCTATGGACTCACTGAAGACGAGGGATACGCATCCGCAAGTCTGTCGCCTGCCCCTGAGGAGCAAATTGGAAGCGTAGTGCATTATGTCCCGGAAACGAATCAGGTATGTGGCTAACTGCGACGCCATTGCGTATCATATCCACGTTGAGCCAATGCTTTCTAGCAGCTCCAGAACGATGTCAAAAAAACGGAAGCCCGCAACGAGGAAGACCATCACTCTGTTGGCGCAGCGGATGCAAGCGGGGAGGAGCCGTCGCTCGATGGGCCGTGCGACTGGAGTGAAGAGGAGTTTTCAACTCTCGTCAATCTCCTAGCCGAAACTGCAGGCATCATGTTCCCCGAACAAAGTCTTGCGATGCCATTGATCCCCGACATTCCCGTGCCAAGCAGCGCGGAGTTTCTGCCGAGCTATAACCTCCCTGCTGGCTTTCCGTCCACATCTGTCACCAGTCCAGGGGCGGGGACATCTAATATTCCTCAAGACGCGTTTACAATTTCCGCAGACCAAGACCTCACGCATCAACAGTCTTCCAAGAAGCGTTCGCGATCCGAGGATACTTATGAAGCTCCACTTCACCCTCCTCTCAAGAAGACAAGGGCCGCCGCGTACGTAGGAGAGGTCTTGGCTCAGCAGACACCGGTTAATTGGAGCGATGCCACGCTGGTTATGGTCCCATATTATGTTCAATATCCCATCGCCGGCCCATCGAACTTCATGCCATGGCCGCAAAGCGTGATGGCAGAAGACGCCGACAACCGCGAGGCCCTGGAGCAGAGTCTGGAATACCAGGACATCCAACCAGAGACGAACGGCGGCCAGGCCCCAGACCCATTTCCCAACACCCCGCAGGTCACGAAGCGTTTCCGTCGGACAAATGCTGAGATTGCCCCTACTCTTATCCCCGGGATCAAGAAAAAGGCATGTGGCTTCCCCGGCTGCCAGAAGACGCTGCACCCCAAGTCCGGCGAAAACAACCGGAATCACTTCAAGGGCGTTCACTACACGGTGGATACTCTGAATAGCGAAGACCTGCTGGTCTGCCGCTGGGCCGCATGCGGGAAGTCGATAAAGGGGAAAACGATGATGGCCCATATCGAGGCAAACCACATCGGTTTTGGGTACAGGTGCTTGGTTCCGGACTGTCGCCTCGATTGGAAGGGGTGCCGCGCGAAGGACCACTCGCAACACATGAAAGAGGAACACGCTGGCTGGCGAGGGTGAGTCGTTTGTTCTTCATGCGCAGCCTCCCGCACCAGTTGACATTCTTGTTTGTCCGCTCCCGCGTTAACAGCTAGATTCGCCTGTGCGCATAGACTGGTATCACATCTCGTCCTTCGACATGCGACATCCAGCAACGCCCTCTCACCAACGCCTACCAACGCCTACAGTTTGCCCTCCCGTTCCATCGCGGCGGGATCCCGGAAGCACCATCGACATCGCTCACATTTTGAGTTCAAGGTGTCAGGACCGATATTATTACGCCAACGTCGGTGCCAGCAGGGGATTCGAAGGTCGACGATCTACTCAACGCGCGGAGAGCTCAACGTTTCCGACGACCTCCTGCACATTTCGATGTCGCCGAGCTTACCCGCATTCGTTCTTGGTATCTTTGCCATGCGCGTTCCCATCTATGTCCACATCAAGCTCATATGGAATTCCTCGGACGCCGATATCTGCCCCGGGTCCTACGCGACGCGGCCGGTTGACCCTCCGAGTTACCTCTTCCCCGCATATGCTGTCCGCCTTTCTCCTTGACAGCTTCTTATGTCTCCACCGCATGCCCCTACTCTTTATCTCGTCTGCATTCACTGCACATATCCATCTATGCCCGTTTTTCTCGCTGCTCCAGACCCCTCATGCGTACTGTGTACGCTTCGTACTGGTATAGCATATTGTACTCCCCTCTGTAACGTTTAGGAATGTATATCGTTGGATCACTTTCATTCAAATGCCTGACGGGTCGCTGCAAGCTGGACGCCATGCTCGCTGTCGTGACGACTAGTTGTACCCGAGGCGAAGTGCAGGCCAGCGATGGTCGAGTTGCCCATATGCACGCCTCACACGCTGTGTCCAGTCTCGCATCCATGATCAAAAGCATATATTGCGGGGATACACAACGCGTACGGAGGGACAGGTTGCTGCATTGACGAGAAGCGTGACCTTCGGACTCCCAACCCTCGAAAGCAGCTGTCGAACCCGTACCGCGGGGCCCCCCCACACGAAGCCGCGACACCTTACGCCGTCTACGGAGTGTTCTCGACGGCCGTTCCCAAACACTACTCGTTCTTGTTGAGACTCGGAAGCCCCCAAAGACGAGTCGCACCGCACCCCCAGGTCGTAGCTGGCCCACAGTTCCGACGCGAGACTGCCCTCGGCGAGACGTCTGTCTCCAACGGACCACATGTATTCCGCGCGACGCGACACTATTGCTGTTTTCACGGCGCTTGTCGCGGGGCCTGACGCGCGAATTTCGCGCCGCGCGCCCGTCTGGAGGGTGTCGACGCGGATCGTCGATAGCTCGCTCAATACTCCATGAAATTTACTATTCCTTTCAGATTCGGATTCTCCTTATCAACGCGGAGGGCATGGTACACAAATCAGCGCGAAATACGAAGGTTGAGTGAAGGCCTCCTCGGGCACCTCCCCCAAAGTAGAACCAGCACAGCGGGCGACATCGTCCCTTGCTCTCGCTGGAATGCACTTTTACAGAGGCTACTAATGTATATAGAGGGCATGAAGGTAGTTTCGTCGTGATCGTCGGGATGTACGCGAGTGTCTGTCAATCTGGCTTGAGGGGGTGAACAGGCATAGTATTGCTCCTACATTTTGGGGCAGCTATATATCCTGTATAGCACCCTATGTATCCTCCCTACCTGGACGTCTCATTCGCAATGTCAGCGCCAATATTAACAGGTGCAGCAGCGCAGTGCGGGCGCCACGTCCGCCAACAGGAATCAGCCGCCATTCACACTGCGCTTCACCGCTTCCCTGCCTGAGAAGGGCGACTCCAATACGACTCGCGCGTTAATTAAAGGCTATAGTATACGGTTCATCCATACAAGCCGAGTGGATTTTCCGGGCGTCGAACCACCCTGTAGGCCGCACTTTGTGACTGGAACGTCCGAGCACGGGTAAGAATCGCCGTTGTACCCCGCAGGACTTCCCAAGTGAGTCGAAAATCGTTATTGATCTGTTCATATATTAATCCATATCCAGGGAAAGTGCTTCAGTGAATCTGGGTTGGAATTATATCTGGGATCATGGCGGTCTGGGAAAGAGAGAGTCGAGCGCGTCAATGTTCAAATATCAGCGCTAAATCACTGCCCATGTATAAATTCGCGGTCACCGCAGTGCGCACTCAACCTCTTCCCCCCATCTTCACCACATTCAACGCACAGTTTTCCAAGCTTTTTACTCTCCCCCCACCCAGATATCTGGCTACCATCATCGTCCGAGCTCTAAACAGTACTCAAACGTCGCCTACTTCGCCTCCACTTCCCTAGCCACCGTCACATCGATCAGCATGAACTCGAACATCCAGAACACTGCCTCATCTTCTTCTTCCACCTTCACGGCACTCTCTACATTCGATGCTTCATCCATGGGACGTCAGGTACGTTGTCTGCAGCCCTGTTCTTGTGTTCCCCATGCCGATGACCCTGCACGCTCGTCGCAGAACGAACATCAACAAGCGGGAACGCAGATCATGTCCCCACAGAACGTCTGGAGATTCCTCACGGCACCCCATGAAGATGAAGGCTACGCATCTGAGAGTTTGTCGCCCGCCCCGGAGGAGCACCCGGCCGGTATAGACGGCTCTGTGCCGGAAATGTATCAGGTATGTGGCTAGCAGTAACACTACGGCGTATGGCCTCTCTGTTTAGACCATACTTTCCAGCGATTCCAGTCCGGATTCTACGGAACGGGAGTACCCTACGACCAGGACCTTCACTCGATTGGCGTGGGGGACGTGCCTCCGCTCGATGGCCCATGCTACTGGAGCGAGGAGAATTTTACGGTTCTCGTCAACCTTCTCTCCCCAAGGACCGATATCCTACTCCCAACACAACCTCTTGCGATGCCATTACTCCCGGCCACGCTCACATCAGGCAGTGCGGCATTTCCGCCGAGTTATAATTGCCCTTCTATCTTCCCGTCCACAACTCTGATCAGCCCAGAAGCGGAACCATCCAGCATTCCTCAAGATGCATTGGCAATTCCCACGACCTCAGAACCCACGCATCGACATTCTTCCAAGAAGCGTTCTCGATCTGATGAGACATGTGGGACGTTCATTCCGCCACTACTCAAGAAGACGAGGGCGCACGAAGGAGCGGTCCCGGATTCACAGACGATGCATATTTGGAGCGCATCCGCGCTGGTAACGCCCCCAAGTTACGTTGAACCCTCCGTCGCCGGCCCGTCCAGCTACACGTCATGGTCACAGAGTGTCGGTACCAACGATTACCAGAGCAGCGGTGCCCTGGAGCAGAGTTCAAGCATCCCACCACAGGCCAACGGCGGCCAAGCCTCAGACGAACCCTTGCCAGGCATTCCGCAAAAGACCAAACGATTCCGTCGCACAAATGATCAGATCGCGCCTACGCTTATGCCCGGAATCCGGAAAATGGCATGTGGCTTCCCAGGCTGCCAGAAGACAGTTCACCCGAAGTCCGGGGAGACCAACCGGGGACACATCAAGGCCGATCACTACACGGCGGCTCAATTGAAAAGCAAAGACCAGCTAGTCTGCGGTTGGGCCGCATGTGGCAAGCCGATGGAAGGCCACCTGATAATGGCGCATATCGAGGAGAATCACATCGGGTTTGGGTACAAGTGCTTGTTCCGCGACTGTCCCATCAAATGGAAAGGGTGCCGCGCGAAGGACTATTCGCAACATATGGACCAGAAGCACGCTGGCTGGCGAGAGTGAGTCGTTCGTTCTTTATGGGCAGCCTCCCGCACCCGTTGACGACCTTACCTTTCTGCTCCCGTGGTTCACAGTTGAATTCGTTTCCGCCCCTAAGCTGGTATCGCCTCTCGTCCTACGAGACGGACGACATACTTCAACCAGCAACACTCCCTCAGCCACGCCTACCATTTCCCCCCGCCTTCCAGATTGGCGGAGGGTCCTGGAATCACCATCGAAGCCGCTCACATTTTGAGCTCAAGGTATCAGATATCGCCGACATCGGTTCCAGTCAGGGATTCGAAGGTTGACGATCTACTCAACGAGCGGAGAGCTCAACGTTTCCGACGACCTCCTGCACAACTCGATGTCGCCGAGCCTACCCGCGTTCGTTCTTGGTATCTTTGCCATGCGCGTTCCCATCTATGTCCACATCAAGCTCATATGGAATTCCTCGGACGCCGATATCTGCCCCGGGTCCTACACGACGCGGCCGGCTGACCGCATGAAGAAATCGCCACCATACCTCGGAGCTCCGCGTTACCCATCCCCTCATATGCTTTCCACCTTTCTTCTTGATTGCTTCTTATGCTGCTCCACATGCCCATACCGCCTATGCTCTCGTCCGCATTCACTGCACATATCCTTTTATATCCGTTTGCCTCACTGCTCCAAACCCCCCATGCGAACGGTGTACGCTTCGTATCCATGTAGCTTGTTGTACTCCCCTCTGTAACGTTCAGGAATGTATATCGCTGTATAACTTTTATTCACTCGCCTGACGGGTCCCCGCAAGCTGGAGGTCATGCTCGTTGTTCTGATGGTCACGCCTGAGGGGGGACAGAGAGTGCGCGTTACGCAACAGCCTTGCCACACACGTACGGTTCGCGCTTCGTGGCTTCCTACGCCGCGTCAAGACTCGCGTCCGTGATCAAAAGTTTCTATTGTGGAGCTACACAACGCGTACAGAGGGAAACGGGTCGCTGCATTGATGAAGTAGATGTGTGTCGTGAGCAAGTCGTGAGGTTCGGAATCTTGACGCTCGACCGCACTGCGGTGTCCCCCACGCAAAGCCGCGATACTTTAGGCCGTCTACGGGGTGTCCTTTACCGCCGTTCTCAGAAACAGCTCTCTTCTGGTCGAGCTTCAGGAATCAGGACTCAAGCCTCAGGCCTCAGGACGCACCCGCCCGCGTGAGACGGGTGGTACCGCTCCTCTCCAGGACATAGATCGACATTTCCAACGCGACACTCCACTCTCAACGAAACGGCCTCTTCAAGGAGCCGACATGCACTCGGGCGACGCGAGGCTAGGAGCTTGATAAGCTGGCGTCCGACTCGGCGTAGAAAGAGGCGCACTTGCATGCACCGCACACGCGCCGCGCGGGTGTCTACGTTCGCGAAATGTCGCCTACGACGCCCGGGTCCCAGAGTGTTCATAGCTATTGTGATGCCCGACAGCTCGCAAGCCATGGTTCCTCCAAATCGATATCGGGACACGCCGAATGCCTAATCCACGTGCGAGCGTCGTGCTTCGCCATTGCCGCAGTCCACGACGGAACTTGAAGGAGAGCTCCTCGATATCTCAGGTACGCATAGGTCTGATGTCGTCGCTGTGCAATTTGGACTCGCGCACAATGGATCGCTCGTTCTGGGGCGCGAACTGGTTTGGAGCTCCGGTGGATCTCAAGCGCAAATGACGGTCGGCTGTCGGCGGCATGTCACACCAGAACAAACGGGCTGCCCAATGGGCACACTTGGTTCTTGACGCATGGGGTGGTCTGGCCGGTGCACGACGCACGGAGATCCCAGGACACCAGACGCTCTGAAATCAGCGCTCGCGGTTAGAAAATTGTATGATTGGTTAGACCGAGTGCGGAACGAAACTCACCTGCATGGCTGAGCGTGGTGAGGGGACGCCGGCGTGTTCGAGGTGAGACCTCGAGCCTGATACCTCGAGCTCGTCGACATCTCTTCAACAGGCAAGGAGGCGAAGGTATATATCGATAATGGAGATGGTGAGATATGAGTATTTGAAATTCTACGATTATTGTCTCGTCCTTCAAGGATGAGACTTGCGCTTGTGCATGGCCGTCTTGCCGGCATGTAAGGTAGGGGCCGGGCCTGCGGCCGCAGCGGTGTAATGGTGGGAGGGATAGGGGCGAGGATGATGATACGGGGAAGTTGCGAGGAGGGAATAGGATTGAGAGCAACGTCAAAGTGCTTACTGCCAAAGCATACCTGTTACTTGAGCCTTCGAACCCGCAACCCCAACAGATAGTGTGAGAGCGCCGCCACGTGGAGGGTCCGCAGAAGAGAGAGAGAGGACCAGATCGTACGATGTGCCAACAACGATACACCTGGTGTTCTCATTCTGCTGCAAGAGCCTAAGCAGAGAGAGCCTAGATGAGACTTCGACGCTCAGTGCCGAAGCCGCAGACGGGCACCAGACCTGACAACGAGGTTAGCTGAGAAGCGAAAAAGCAACGGGGCACGACAGAGACAGAGGGAGAGCATCTCGCACTAGACAGGCCCAGGATACGCCGTCAACGGCTGTCCGAGAGGGAGAGATGCGGGAGATGGAGGTAGGAGAACAAGGAGTTTTCGGCGAAGTTCAAAATGCTCGGCGCATATATAAGCTGCTCTCTCCTGCGCAGGGGTCGTCCAAGGACCCCGGAAAGCTCACCAAGAGCTCATATGCCGCGGCACATTGAAAATGAGCCTCGGCAGGACCATTTGGAAGGCGCAACTACCACATGTAGTCGGAATTCCCATGGATAAAAACTGCACAAGGGCGTTTTCCAGGATTTTCGGTATGTGAGCTCATGGTAAGCTCTCCGGGGTCCTAGCCGTCATATCGAGCGCATTGTCATGTGAAGAATGTGGCTAAAGCCGGCGCTAAACACCATTCGCCTCTCAATCATGCAATGCTCACTCGAATCTCTCGGCTCTGGACGGCTTTCAGACATATCCTGGACGGCCTAGGGAGTTGGAGGGTCCCTCAGACACACGATGCCACCATCTGCGAGACCCATCGCCAGCGAAGACGACTGGGTTTAGCAGATCCTGACGTCGTGGCACCGAACAACAGCTGTACGTCTGTCTCTCATGCATATCGTTGGTCTGTTCTGGGAAAAGGTACGACGAGGAGATACGTCTTTGAATTTGCCGCACTCTAAAGCCACGTATGCTCCAGAGAGCCCACTCTGCGGTCCGCACAAAGACACGCGTCGTGGGCGTCTATGAACCCAACGCGACGGGCGCCTCGCGGCCTATCCGTGCACAGACGCCGCGCTGGTACAAGGGCTGGCCACACGTCGGGAGAAGTCGCATAGCTGAGGGAACTCACTAAGAAGTTGCTGTAGCGTCGTGTACGTGCAACGCTTCCGGGATGACGTGCTGTCCGCGAAGCTTTGATTGAGCCATGCGACGGACTCCCTCGGCGTCCTTGGTTCACGGTTTGGCCTGGCTTCGAGGAGCGTCTTCCTTGTCCCACAAGGAGTTATGCATTGGCGGAGATTGACCTGCGCGGTGGTTTGATCGTAAATGCGCAGATGTATAGCCGCTTTTGGCGTCCTCTCGGAACATGCGTCTTTCCGGGACGATGTTCGAAATCTCTTCTGTGGGGTAAGGCTGATGAGTGTCATCGCTGTTGCACAGATTCGTCAAAGACACTCGCCTCGTGTACGACGTCATCGCAGCGCTCTATGTATACTCCCCATAGGGTCGCGATTATAGGAGCAGGCAGCCTTTGGCGGCTCGTGCGCGAGGAACAGCCGATTGCAGCTGGGATTGCTCTAAGCCATCGTGACTCTTTTGACAATCCAAGCGATGAAAGCATCAGCCTTGAAGGAGGAACAAAGAAAGGTAAGTGAGACCGGACCATGTTCGTAAAGTGAAACCTGAGAGTTGAAGTTTGGTCTCGAGTCTAGCGCCCTCGATGTTCGACGTCGTCCGCATCGGCGACAATGGACGCCACAGTGTCGCGGCATTGTTGTCGTCAGGATCCAGGCATCTTGTTTTGAAGAAATGAGGTTATTGCGGTGGGTCCTTGACGATCCTGAAGGAAGTATAAAAGGATCTGCTCGACTCGACTTCGACGAACTTGCTCACCGAGCCTTCCAGCTATACGCCGAATTATTGACGACTGGATCAGTTTCTCTGCTGCACACCGACGCTCGTACTATCTTGCGCCTTGGGTCTGACTGTTTGTGTGGCTCACGCGAGCGACGGCATCTGCACGGCGACGAGTTCAGCCCAAATCGTCGAGCAAAGTCCAGCCACAACCCTACCTCCGCGGCCTGAGCATTCGCCGCCGCGCGTTCGCGTTCGCGTCCGCCACGGTCATGTTCTGCGTGGACCCTGGCGAGAGTAGATACGCGAGATGGGTGGCTGCGCATCTGGGCGCGATCTATTGGCGGGCGGCATCGCATTTAGCGGGGAGAATCCGGGGTAGCAGGGAATGGGTCGTACCTCGCGTCGGAGGAGTGCTCTGGTGCGTCAAATACTCCTCGGAATGACCGATATGCTGACCTAAAACCAAGGAATGCGCCACGGCGTGGTTGCAGAAGGCGTCTATGTGGCTGAAGTGGGGGTCGAGAGTGTCGAAAGTTCATGTCGGGCGCCAACGCGTTTGACGCGGGCTCGCGGAGCCACAACTTGCTGAGTGTTGATCTGTTTGTACACCACATTTCTCTCTTCTCTTTCCCTCCAACCACACAACGTCTCGTCCACTTCCCCTGCTCTCCACACACATTAAAGCTCGCCCTTTACAACTCTACCCCTCCCACATATTCTACTATGGCATTCAACAGTCAATACGACGGTCTTAACCTCACGCCGGCCTTCACCTTCCCGGAGGATCATTCGTACGGGAACGACCACTCTTTCATGACCTCTGAAGACCCGCTCGCTCAGCCGCGCCAGCCGGTAATTCTTCCAAACTTCTACCGCATGGGTGTGGTGGGGACGTGCTCATTACCCGCTGCAGAATCTATGGACGCCGCAGGACATGATTGCTTTTGTCCAGGCTGGCCCATCGCGTGCGCCAGTTGAACACGAAGAAGGTCCGGTTGCTGAGTACGCGTCAAGATCCCTCTTCCCCTCTTTCGACATCTGGGCCGATATGCCGGCGCCATACACGACGTCGCAAGGGCCTCTGAACGAGATGTCCGAGGGCTTGGGAACGGGATTGGAGGTATGTGGCTAGTGAGATCTCAACATCTTCCCGACTAAGTAATCGCAACTCGACCGAACAGTCCTTTCAGTTCGAATTCTCGGCGGAAGGCGGCCTCGCAGCGTCGCCATTTGACGCCACGTATATTCCTTCCAACTTATCGGCGCCAGGAGGTACGCACGACCAGACATACTATACTTCAGATCTCGTACTGACTTCACCCGATCAAGGAGGCTATGCGATGTCCTCAACATCCCAGGCGACTGGCAAGGACGCCCTGTGCGGGCCCCTTCCTCTTTTCTCCAACGGTCATTCCCAGGAGTGGCCTGTAGCGTCATCCGTCTCGCTTGGGAATGGGGGACATCTTCAAGATACACAGATCGTTTCATCGTCGACTGGATTACCCCATGTACCTCCCCCCGACCTCACCGCCCCTTCGTCGTCCGTAGCTCGTCACCTGCCTACCGCCGTCGCCACCGCAAGCAGATCATCCGTAGCTCAGCGATCGCACACACAGGCCCCCAACGCCGTCGCAGGCCCCTCCCGATCAGTTCAAATCGCCCCGAGGGAGACGACGGTCGAGGCTGAGGCCTCTACGGCGACACAGCTTCGGAGGAGCGGCAGGAAGCGGACTGCCCCGACCACCAACTCCGCTGAGGGCGCGGTGCACTCTCTGCCCCGCACGAAGAAGCGGAAGGTCTCGGGTAGACAGACAGTGGAGCCTTCTCCAGCGCCGAGTACTGCGTCGACGTCGGCGTCAGCTTCAGGGCAGCAGGCAGTGAAGCACAAGCGTAAGCCTCATCGGCCTCGCGGGGAAATCGACGCGTTGCTCGTCCCGGACTTGCAAGACAACGAATGCCCGGGAGAGGGTTGCACTGAGGTGCTGAACGCCTCGCGCCGCACCCAGAATTTGGCGCATCTAGAGACGCACTACTCCGAGGGTGCCCTTCACAGACCGGTCAAAGTACGGTGTCTCTGGTGCTCGGTCGACATGAATCTCGTTCCTGGGAACGTCATGGTGGACCACGTTGCGCAGGAGCATCTCCAGGCGAGATACCGCTGCGCATACTGGAACAAGGAGGGCGTACTTTGCCCAAAGACATTCAAGAAGCCGGGGTACACAAACACCCATATGGTGAAAGTCCACAAAGCGCCTCACTGGAGCTCGTGAGTACAGGCTTTACATTTCCCGCGCGTTCTGTTGATAAACCCCTCGCATTGCCAGCGAGTTCCGCTCCACTCTTGCGGGGTCAACACAATCATGAGCACGGTAGATACTGGGTCGCCCGCGTATGCGTGCAAGCAAGTCGATGCCAAAACCGTCACTCGAACCTTTCCAAAGCCGCAACCTGCCTTATGCGCACTCACCCTCGTCCCCTTGCCAGCCAAGGCCGTTTTACAACACTGCAGTCCCCGAGACCTACCCGCCGCACAGGAATCTACAGAAAGGCGACGAGCAGCTAAACCAGTTTCACAGAGAAGACGACTCTGCTGCAGGCGTTAACTCTGTGTCCGATGTGTCAAGCTTCTCGCAGACGACATCGCAGGACCCGCGGTGAACGACGATCTGCGCGGGAAACGACGCTTGTATTTGACACGTCCGGAAGCCCAGGCTCGACAACAGCATGTCTAGATGAAGCTGAAGATAAAGCCATAACGGGGGCGACGCGGCCGGAGCAGTCGGCAGGATATGCGGAGCCGCCGCACGACAGGAGAACCGATGCACTGATCTTCAACACGACACTGTGCATACCAGCATGCTCCACGAGTGTACGGACTCGAGATTAATCCGGATGATCGCGCCGACACCCAGGCTCATCCCCGAATGTATACTACCTCATGGAGGCAACGGGATAGGACGACCAGGGACTCTCGCAGGCATGCTGGGGGCAAAGATATCCTCTCTCTTGAGATGTGTTGTTAAATCGGAAGTCATGGGATAGTCGAGCGCCCATACGTGTGCCCACTCGGCTGCGAATGGGCGACGACGAGGTTGGGAAGGCCCATTATTTCGTCGCATCGCTGTAATATTCAAAATTATGGGATCTGTAAATAACGAAGGACAATGTACTGTAATGTTACGTCCAGGCTGTAATACAGTGTGCGAAGGGATTCTCTATCTAGTGGACCCCTTCGAAGACCCCTGCACAAACTCGTCTCTCTTGTGGTAAGCGTTGTCGTCGCAGTCCCCGCCACTGTGTCGCTCGCTGTAGTCCTCATCCAACGCCTCGTATATCTGATCTTCACACAGGCCGTCCGGCGCCGGGCCGAAAAATCCCCTCTCTTCCATCTCCTTGTAGACTGCGTTCACATAGTCCCTTTGGTCAAGAAGCTTCTGGTATTGAACCAAAGAGATGGCTCGGCGTCGTTCCGCATCCTTGGCTTCTTCTTCCTTCCGTTTTCGACGCAGCACTCTTTCATCCAGGACGGGAGCGGAGGCGTCCAATCTGGGACCACGCTCGCTACGTAGTCGAGCGTACTCGCGCGCGACTTCTTTGACGAATCCCATAGGCTCGTTGGTCTGATCCTCCATTGGCGCAGAGACGTCGGGAAGCTCGGACTGAGCGAGTTCGGCGGGAGAAGGGCTCTGGGAGCGGCTCTCCGGTGGGGATCGTTGGATCGAATCCCGGTGAGTAGTAGAACGCTTTATTGCGCCTGGCAGCATATTTATGGAGGCTATTCGCGAATCAGAACTATCAGTAGGCTTCAAACAATCGCTCAAGGAGGGAAAACGTACGAGGTCATTGAGCAACTGTCGAAGGCTAGTTTGAAAACTTGGAGGTGCTTCAACGACGACGAGAGACGGTGTAGAAAGTGGCCTGGCCAGCGAAGACCTTTATGTACTTTTCACATCGACCTAGATTTGACCACCGCCAGTGCGCTTTGTGCAACAAATTAGGCCCAAGTGCCACTCAGCTTTGTTCGACATGCAAGTGCACGCCGGATGAACGTGAGAGGAAGACGGGCGCCTATTGCAATCATCGCGAGTGGCACACAACTGCCAAATAGAGCCAAAGAATGCGAACACGTCGTGCCGTGGGAATTGGCGCGCGACGCGACTTGACAACAACGCTATCGTCCAGTGCTGAAGAACGCGTCTTTCGCATCGCGGCTCGCTGCAATGGATTCCGCAACTACCAAGAAGACATCCGAGCAGGAGAAGCAGGCAGAAATCCGACGACAGATCGCTCTTCTCCAAGCACAGTTGGACACGAGGTCGTCGAGCGTGCACACCCCTCCCTCCTCTCCCAAACGCAAGAGGTCAAATTCGCATCTCTTGGCACCAGCGACGCCTTCGCCGAGTAAGTGGACTTCACGCATAGGCATCCATAGATACTGACAGCTCGCTCTAGAGAAGAAGAAACCTGTAGACAAAGCGCACCATCTGGAGCGCGGCGTCCGCCGTTCCGTACCCAGGGTATCGTCCCTCTCGCGACCCATCGCAGGACCTTCCTTTCCATTGAAGCCAAGCAAACCAGTCCCGTCTCCTGCACCATCTGCTGTATTACAGAAGCTCGCACAAGCGCACAAGGCGAGAGAAAAGGCTCCGGAAACGGACACAGTGACACGGTCAACCGCTTTTACTGCCAAAGCCGCAGCTATCCCTGCCCACACAGATACAGATGGAGGAACCAGTCATGCGCGCGACGAGGACCTGGCTCTCATCGAAGACCTCACGCTTGGGCCGTCTGAGCACAAACCTCCGTTCGACGACCCACACTTCGAGAAGCTTGAGCCCAACTCTGGCATTCGACTGTCGTGCGTACATTTCAGAATTTTCCTTTCCCTTTTGCTCACCAGCGCACATTAGGTCACGCGTAATACCCCACGACGACTTCCAGAACTACCTCGAAGGACGATACTACATCTCTCCCTCGCAGCTGTACTCAGTCGTCCGCCTCCTACCCAGCAAGCAGGGGTACGACGTGCCCGTATCTGGTGACTGGCTCACGATTGCCGTCATCGCGGAGCGTGGTCCAATGAAGTACACCCAAGCTCCGGTGGGCGTCACTCGCGATGACAAGCTGCTGAATGAGGGCGAGGATCAGATGGATGCGCTCCCCTCGCTCGACGGTGCTGCTCAGTCGGGGCCTTCGGCACGTCCTCCTCCGTTTCGGAAGAAACCGAAGGAAGAAGCACCTAAAGCAAGCGGGAAGAAGTACGTCAACCTGAAGCTGATCGACTTCGGCTGCCGGTCGCACGGGGGCTCCGCGGACAGCGGCAAGGCAAAGATCCGTGGCGATGCGTTTCTTTCGCTCCTTCTCTTTGAATCAGACACATGCGACGTCGTGATGAAGGAGGGTGGTAAGAAGGAGAAGGTGTATCGTGGAGGCAGTCGCGGCGCGTTTGAGCGAATGTCAAAACTGCGGGAAGGCGCCGTAGTCGCGTTCCTCAACCCGAAGATCCTCAAGCCGTTCCAGGTACGTCCCGCCCTTCAGCATCCCGCATCCCCCAAAACTCATGATTCCCTCACGATAGCGATCCTCCGACAGACCCCATCCCACCGACAACATCCTTGCCCTGACGCCGGAATCCGACGCATCCATCGCAGTGATCGGTTACGCACAAGACCTTGGCACATGCAGAGCGACGAAGCGAGACGGCTCTCGGTGCTCGGGGTGGTGCGACAAGCGTGTCAGCGATGTTTGCGACTACCACATCCAACACGCCGTGGAGAGGAAGCGCGCCGCGCGGCCGGAGTTCTCGATAGGGTACGTCGTGTTCTTCTCGTCTCTCAATGTGATTCTGACCCCATTCGTCATAGAACGAGCGGGATGTCGCAGGCGGCGAAGAAGAAGGTTGCATACGATCCCGCGCGCCAGTGGGGACTCAAGCCCGAACGCGAAGCCGCAGGCGCGACGTACGTTGTACAGGGTCACGTCATTTCCGGGGCGGACTCGCGCTCGATGTACGTGGGGGAGAATGTCGGGCGCGATGCGCAAGCCAAGGCTGCGCGCAAGCTCTCCGCGGTGGACTCGGAGAAGGCGCTACAGCGGCTCCTCAAGCGCGATCGCGAGGGTACGAAGATACTGGCCTCTGCGCGCGAGTTCTCCAAGAAGCAGGCAGCGGAGCTGAATCTGCAAGACGGCTCGTCGAAGAAGAAGCTGAAGCGGAAGGCGGGCAAGCACCCCGAGAGTGACGAGGAGAGTGAGGACGGCGCTGCGAGCGATCAGGACGACCCGAAGCCACGGGGAAACGCGTACTCGGCAACGCTCATCAAGCAGCTGGGGTTCGACCCCACAGCGAAGAACGGCCAGAAGGTGAAGGACGACAACGTCCAAAGCAAGGTTAGTCCCGATGTCTTCGCCGTCGCCTCCTCTCCATTGATCAAGCCACCTTCGCTAGCTCGACGCCCTCGCATCCCTGCACGCAAGTCGCAAGATTGAGCTCGGACCACGGCCTGGAAAGAGGAATACGTGCGTGTGGAAACCGAAGCCATCCGACGTTCCTGGAACATCTGCCTCGGGGTCGTCTACACCCGCCACCCATGACGATATAGAGTACGCTGATGAGCTGGACTCGCCGCTCCGTATTCCTGATAGCGATGACGACGAGTTGGCGAAGGACGAGGTCGCCGCGTTCGGACGCCCCATAGGACTGTCTGCGGAGAAGCTGGTTGACCTCGACGACAGCGATGAGGAGGCTAGGCCTAGCAAGTCCAAGTGAGGCTTACGGATACAGATGGGGCGAGGCGACGGGTTCTTGCGCTATCTATCCCACTTGTATTATATGACCCTATCATTATGGATCGATACCGTTCAGTGGTCTTCGACCTTGTGGAGCGCTACCTATCTGACGTGTGCGAAGTCTGCAACCGGAGATAATTTTGTTACATTTTGCGCGATACCTCCGAGAAAACGTCGTGTTGCGACGAAACTTCGTGGTCGACCGTCGAGACAGCGGCTGTAGGGGCAAGGGAGTTCTCGTAAATGAAGTTATTGGCGCAAGATACGATTCCCATAAGACTGTACAATAAGGTGCTATGTTAATACATCGTCATGTAAGGCTACGCGATCACAGTCCGAGACAACAAATACAACATGGGACAGAAGAGAAGAGGTTACTATGCTACAGTCGTCCGTCCCTCGAAGCCGTGCCTGCTACCTGTTGAACGAGACACAGTTATCACCCGTCGCGGCTTCGAGAAACAGAGGCTGCTTACCAGATCACTGTCACATGGGCCTGTACTTGCAGTCCCTTTGCATGTGTTGGGTCTGCCACTGCGACTTCGTGGACCCCCAGGTGCACCTATCGTCGAGCAAACATATGTACGGAAACCCAATGTGAACGTCCGTGATGTGGTGGATCATAAGGTTCTGCGAGTCCCGCGTGTCCTCGCACACCGGCCAAGGGCATTCAATCACGGCCGCCCGTTCGAGGTGCGTCACGATATGCTTTCGGTTCCCCACGTGGTCATATGGGTTGAAGGCTGGTTTGGTGCAGCCCTGAACGGGGCATGGGACTCCCCTTGGCAGGCGGCGGGTCGTCTTGAGAACCTCGTCTTTGGTCCTCCGGGACCGCTTCGTGCGTGGTGTGGGCTCCTCCTCTTCCTCAGTAGCCTCCTCATCCTCATCCTCCGCCTCCGAGATTTGCTCCTCTGACTCGGCCTCCGAATCTTCGGCCTCGGAAACGACGTCCTCCTCAGGCTCCTCGTTCTGAAAGTCCTCGTCTTCCGCGACGTCCGCGAGTGCGCCTACGGAGAGGTCAGCCCCAGACGTGCTACCCTCCTCTACGGCCATCTGTGACTCTACGGTATCGTGTCCCGCCAACCGACTCCTCTTCGAGGCAGGAGCATCGTCTACGATGTCGTCCTCGTCCTCGCGGAAAAGACGCTTGACCGTCCCTTCGTGTGAGAGACTCGCGGGCGCATAATGGGATGGCGGAAACGAGAGCTCCGGTGCCTGCCACACGGGAATATGGGTTGCACCAAGCAGGATAGAAGACGTGGATGGTACGAACGGGTATCGTTTCTCGAAGGGCGATGGGGCGTGCAGGTCAGGCGTGGTGTACAAATCGGGCGCCGCGGCTCCCTGCGTGTTCGATAGAAACGCTTCACTCCTAGGGTACGCAGCGGTGTGGTAATGGCCGTAATAATGGGGGAAGTCTGGGTCATAGGTGGACAGTGGAATGTTCTCGTCCGGCGCGTAGTGGCTTGAGAGTCTTTCGATGTCCGAGTACCAGGGCTTGACCATCGTCTCGTCGCTGGATGAGCCACATGAGGCCGGGCACTGGTGTTGCTGATGTCGAACAGGAGATCGGAAATATGTGAGCCTCGCAAAAAAGGTGCACGGCGAGTCCAAACATACCTGCGTCGCAGCCAGAGCCCTCATCCCTTCCTCGCCAGTCGAACCCATGCTCGACGTGTGGCTAAGAATCGCCGCGCGTGTGGTCTACCACCCAGCGTGGTCAACATGCGTGCACACCAACGGATATGTGAACGATATATACGTACAGGGGAGTGGAGGGGTTTGTCCACGAGAGTCGTCGAGAATACATTGCCCAAGAACGTGAAGTCTGCGGTGGGGGCGGTGGAAGGGCCGGCAGTGGTGGGAGTGTAGGAAGACATTGTTCGAGTGTGGATGTACGGGGTTGAAAATAGATACCCAAGGATTGTGGATTGTGAAGAGCGGGTACGGGACCGGAGGAGGGAGTTGGTGGATGTGGTGTGGGGAAGAGAGTGGTTGAGCAAGAGACGCGCCACGCCGCAGGTTTAAAAAGCCCTCGGGTAACGACCCCGATACCATAACAGGACCATCGGCGCATTCGACGCAAAATATACCACGGCGTGCAGCATCGTCCTCCGCGCCCTTGACATAGACCAGAACGCGCCCAGGCCGAGTTCGCGAGGGTCACTGGAACGAACGATCGACGCGCCAATACAACAACTCTCGTCGCGTCTTGCTACTGCTCCCAAGGGTGTGAATATTGTAGTCCTACCTATCCAAGATGAGTCTGGGGAGAAGATGGGGCCGTAGGTCAGCTTGTGACTAACAAGACGCGCAGAGTATGCCGACGAGGTTTCCGAGGGCGTAGCAGAGCACAGGATAATGAACAGAATGAGCCGAGTGGTGGGTATGTCGCACCTCTCACTTCGTACTACTCATGATGTGGACTCCTTCGCCAAGCCCGGGGTAGGACGTGCGTTTGCCGACAATTGGACAAAGCAAATAACGTGTGGAAGGCTTTCACAGGTTCATTATGTACGCAAGCAGCTCGCAGCGTACGTGTGAACATGCAAACCGATCCAGAAATGCATCTTAGCTACGAATTGAGTGCCGCCGCTCTTCGTTAGAGCAAAGCAACGACACTCAAGTAGCTCGTTACCACGGAGGACCAATGATTGTTTGGCCAATATCCAAAGCCCTACGAACACCCCAAACTGCACGCATGTCAATGCATGGAATGCCAAAGCATGCGGGCATCCCGCAAAGAAGCAGGACATCTGCGGCTCGGTGGACCCGCCGCAAAAGCCAGGCGCAAGTTCGCGCTCGCGACTCGGAGCTGACGAAAGCTGCATACAACACCTGCGCTGTGCATTGTACTCTTATGGAGCGCAGTTCCTTCAGAGAAAGATAGCATTTTGTGAGTGAGTTCGTGATTTGTTCTTTTCCCAATCGTGTTTCTGCGTGCTGCAGCACTACGGTGGGCGGCGCGGCCAAGGTGGTAAGACTCATGAGCGTCTCGACTGTGTGCACTGTGGGCATCATAGACGTCCGCAGACCTGGGTCTTTACCAGGTCATTAGCACAAAATGCTCGCGAAATGGACTACCACGTTCGCTACGGCTTCGTGGTCGCGATGTGGCGATCTATGGACGCGGGCTGGAATGAGTTTCGCTGGCGTCTACGAATAATGCATGAAGATCGTACTTTCGTGTGCTTGGCAGTCGCATTCGAGAAGGTCAAGGGCCTGCAGATGGCGGATGAAAGAAGAGCGCAGTCAGTCGCTCCTTGGGGACATTGCCCACAGCTTCGAATTCTGGGCGAGCCGATCAGTGGATGACGTTAGAGCGGCGCTCTAGCGCCCGTCTCCGGACGACTTGTTCCTCTACCGCTGTCACTGACGCGTTCAACTCATCTCTCTCGGTTTTCCCTGGGAGGTGTCGTGTTCTCATATATAAATCTGCAGCGTCATCACGTATGGAACTAGAAGGACAGCATGAGTCGCTTCGGCGTCGATCGGCAAGGACCATCACCCCGCGCAGGCATCTAGAGGTCCTCAACACGCAATATGTAGTCTTCCGTCAAGTGTCAGTGTATGCTGGACATGGCGAAGAATTTTAGAAATGGCTCATGGCTTCAGGGTGTAAGGGCCGAAGCCGTACTTACTCCCAGGACCTGTGACGCACATGGATGGTCAAAGTATGCCGAGTACGCTATTCGAGTACTGATAAGCGTACATGTTGTTGATGAGGCGGACGCATATTGATAGTTGAGAAACAGTGGTATATACTACATCAATTTTATGAAGTAGAAACACCATATAATGGGTTCGTTGACAAGCACCTCAGGGTTCGAAGTCGGAAGGCGATTCCAAGCAACGCGCTGGAGGCCCATTCACAGCATTGAATACTGCGACGGCTTTGCGAGAGTAAAGACGAACTCGCTGTCAAAGCCAAGGGTCGATCAGCAGAATGTATGGGATGTGATACACATGTACTCACGAGCTCCAGTTAGGCGCTTTGTGGACTTTCAGCATGTGCTTGTTTGTGTAGCCCGTCTTCTTGAACGTCTTCGTGCAAAGCACGCCCTCCTTGTAACAGTATGGGGAGCGGTACCTCGCCCGAAGATTCTCCTGCGCAACGTGGTCGACCATCATGTTCCCCGGAACGAGCTTGTTCTGCTCGGGGCACCGGAGGCACTTGACTGCCGTCGCCGAATGAAGAGCACCTTGGACGTAGTGCGTGCTCAGGTGCGCCAAATTGCTTGCTTGCGCGACGGGACGCGTTCAACATCTCGGTGCAGTCCTCTGCAGGGCACGCAACGTCCGGGGAATCCGGGACGAGTAACGCGTCGACCTCCTCGCGAGGCCGACGAGAGTCACGATTGTGCTTTACTGCCTTCTGCCCTGAAGCTGACCCCGACGTCGACGCGGTACTCGGCGCTGGAGAAGGCTGCGCTGTCTTTCCACCAGAGACCTTCCGCTTCTTCGCAGGGGGCGGAGCATGCACGGCGTCCTCAGCGTAGCTGGTGGTGGTGGTGTGCCGCTTCCTGCCGCTCCTTCGAAGCTGCGTCACCGTAGAGGCCTCGACCTCGAATGTCGTCTCTCTCGGAACGACGGGGACGGATCGCGAGGGACCGGCAACAGCGTTGGGAGCCTGCGTGTGCGATCGCTGAGCTACGGATGATCTGCTTGCGGTGGCGACGGCGGTAGGCAGGTGACGAGCTACGGACGACGAAGGGGCGGTGAGGTCGGAGGGAGGTACATGGGGTAATCCAGTCGACGATGAAACGATCTGTGTATCTTGAAGATGTCCCCCATCCCCAAGCGAGACGGATGACGCTACAGGCCACTCCTGGGAATCACCGTTGGAGAAAAGAGGAAGGTTCCCGCCCAGGACGTCCTCGCCAGTCGCCTGGAATGTTGAGGACATCGCATAGCCTCCTTGATCAGGTAAAGTCAGCACGAGATCTGAAGTATAGTATGTCCGGCTGTGCGTACCTCCTGGCGTCGGTAAGTCGGAAGGAATATACATGGGATCCCATGGCGACGCTGCGAGGCCGCCTTCCGCCGCGAAACTGAACTGGAAAGACCGGCGTGGGGGAGACCTTTCAGAGGCTTGGGGAGAAAGGTAGGATCGACTACGTCTGAGGCAAATGAGGAGTAGTTTGCGGATGACATGTGGAGACCGAGCGTGGATAGGCTTAGAGCTTTGGGTTGTGGAGAAGGGATTGCCGAAGAGGACGATGTTGAACATCGACGCACTGGACACGTTCTCGACACATCGCCGGTAAAAAGAGCTTGGTGGCACCCACTATCTCCTGGGAGACAGTCAATATACAGGTAGACATCGGAAGAAACGCAGCCTACTGAGATGAACTAACCGCTCAGGCATCTTGGGGTTCCTTTCGCAGACATATGGATTCGACTGAGAGTACGTCGAAGTCAGGGTGAGTGAATTCGACGTTCCTGCAATCCGTCCCCTCTTATAGGTAACTCGAGGACATTCATATAAACCATCCTTACTCGATGAAAGCTTGTGCCAAATCGGAGGCACGACCTTGGTTTCTCCTTGGTCCCCACTTAGAGCATCGGCTTTGATGTCAAGGGGCCCACCGCCTTTGGGCCTACAACACCGCATAAACGGCTTTTGATGAAAAAGGGCTCCAAATCACTACTAACTGCCGCCCTGTATTTTTTGCCAATAGCCCTAGAGATGCGCTGTCGTTCAGAGGAGATAAAGCCCTCAATACGGCACACTGACGACGTGCATGGAATCAGCGAGGGCCCTCTGAGAAGCTCCGAAAGCCCCATGCAGCCTCGCACAAACAAAATCTGCAACAACATAACGCATACGGGGAACTTCATCCGCGGATGTTTCGTATTCTCCAAACCCTTTCAAACACTTTTCTTCACACATGGTGGTGTTCGCTACCTGCTACCAAGCGTCGAAACTGAATATATGGACGTTCATGATTGTATTCGAGTCGAGCTACGCAGTGCCAGTACAGAATATACAAGAGGGTCCGATATACAAATGCGAGTCCGAGTGGAGTCCATCTTTACTATTTACAGTACAATATACATTGTTTGGAAATATCGCACATCGAAAGCATAGAACATGGATGGGGCTACTTCGCTCTAAACTAAAATGTTAACAACAAAGTACGACGTGATGGCGCCAAGACACTCACAAATTAACGTTTCCAGTTCGTGACATTATGGTTCTTACGCATATGCTGCCCCTGATATCCCGAACGAGAACTCCTCCAGCCGCACCGTACAGGGCACAGGTATGGCAGAGTGAGGTGATCCGCCTCGACATGGCCGAGCAGCGTCTTTCCAGTAGGGGTATTTGGGCACCCCGGGAAGAAGCACGCCAATTTCGCATCGCTCTGCAATTGAGCGCTGCTGAAGTGTTTGGCGAGATGCGTGCGGTTGTCCTTGTGCTGGTAAGGATTCCACTCGAGTTAGCAACTGACGACTGGGCACGCGTGATTTCGCAGATTGAGAACCATGTCTTCCTTGACCTCCTCGCAGGTTCGACGGGGCCGCTGAGTGTGTGCCTCGGCGGCGTCCTCCACTTCCACGAGTGCAATCTCTGCTTCAGGTTCATCTGGAATCGCTGGTGCTGCGACTGCAGTCGAGGCCCGACGAGACGGCCCCGCGATCGCTGCCTTGTGGGATCCGCCATGGTTCATAGCCTGGACCTTGGTGCCTTTGGAAGTCTTCCGCTGACGCTTCGACGCAGCGCCTTTGACAATCTTCTGCTTTTTCGCGAGCGAAGGGGCGACATCGGCGTACGTTGGTGTCGCAGTCCGCTTGCGACTGCTCCTCCGCAATGTCGGCTCCGAGTCGATGACGGCCGGCGTCACGTTGGTGTCGGTGGAGCTGTCGGGAATGGCCAACCCGGGGGCCGAGGGAGCCAACTCTATAGCAGCGGAACTGGACGACGACGATGCATACGATGATTCGGAATCCTTTGGGCAGTACTCTGGGACGTCACCGAGTAGTTCCAACTGCTCGCTTATCAATGCAGACAAGCGAGCAGAACGATTCGGAGAGCGTGACGGCGACGAGCTCTCCAGAACGGTCTGTAGCGTTGCGCTGCATCGACGCGCGGGAGAGGGTGTGCTCGGACGCTCCAACCGGAGGTTGCGACCAGGGCTTGCAGGTTTCCCTTCACCGGGGTGGGAAGCTATGGCATCAGGCGTCTGAGGCGCCTCAATGTTCTCTTTTCCGTGCCGTGTAGGAGTACCTGGTGGGTGGCCGGAGCACTTCGCTTCACGAATCGTAGGAGACTTGGGGGCGAAATCGTAGTTTGGGAGCAAGTCGTCCAACGAGGGTCCCGAATCGCCCACCCCCAGGAAGTCCACGAGCTACTCAGTCCAGTCGAAGTCAGCGAAGTCGCACGCGTACCAAGCCTCGTTATCCACACACCTTCAATCGTTGCCTCTCGTCGCTGCCGGCGAAGCTTGAAAACCCGGCCCGCGTACTTGTGGACTGGGGAGGGATGGGGACGCCGATGAACGCCAAATAAGAAGGGGGGAAATTCGCAGGAGGGTCGTCGTACTCCGAGAGGTCGTCAAAGCACGTCTCAGACGACTTAAACTCGTCCTGCAATGAGCGATTAGCACACTGCCCTTACGTGCAAGCCCGGGAGTCCTTACTGTCGACGCAGTCATCGGGGAGCTAGGCTGCCAGAGGAAGGGAAGCTCCTCGTCGGACGCAGCGGAAGACTGGAAATCCATGGAGGTGTCCAGCGTGGAGTGGAGGTTGTAGTAGTTGCCGTTAAACGTCATGTTGTGATATGGGGATGCGAGTGGGGATTGTGAAATACGGGGTGCAGGTGAGTGCGAGGGTGGAAGGGACGGCTTGTGGATGAAGGTAAGAGGAGAGTATGTTGCGGTGTGCAAACAAACAAACACTCCGCCTTTTATGGGCAACGGCACATGGCTTAGCGCCGTACATGACCTTTGACACTCTCGACTCTTCCATCCACATTGACGCTTCTGCGAACACCGTCTGTTGGCATGCCCTGGGCGTAGGTCAGTATATAAAACTTTTGTAGAAGTAGCTGATGCACCAGAACGAGCCGTGGACCATGGCCCGCTACCCCGGCGTCCCGCGACCCGGGATACAGGGCGCTGAAGAATCGCGCGCAAGCGTGCAGCCGACATCCGCGCATACTGTTTTCTCCTGCTCTAAGAAATGTGGTGAGCAGTCGTTGTGGACGCGAGGTCGATGTGGACATACGAACAGCGGTCGCGTCGGTAGGCTGGTGGCTAGAACGTCAGTCGCTGAACACGATGCTGACAGGCTTTTGGTTGCAGTTCGATGGCGGCCTGCTCTAGCCACGCACAGCGAGCCAACCACAGAGTATAGGACTTCAAGCGCGTGGATATTGAGGGAGAGGCTCCTTCGGTTCGCGAACAGGATTTCGTGGATTTCGTGAGTATGTCTTTTGATGTCGCGTCGGGATCCTTACCTCTTATACCTCCGACAGCAACACAGACACTATACCAGTCCCTTTGGAACAGAACGTATAACGGGCATGTGCACGAATACCGATGAGGCTTCGGGTTTGCCATTGTCGACTTCGGGTGGCCTTCGTCGAGAGCCCCAAACCAGAAACCCACCTTCGGCTTCCACACGATGGTGACAATCCTGGTGCTAGGTGCTAGGTTCGTTCTATCCCCCGTTGCACGCGGCTGACGATTATCTGTCTTCGCAGATAACGTCAGCGCAGTCGTCTAGCGGGTGAGTACGTCGAAAGATTCACGTACAGTTCACCGTAAAATACCCTTGTAAGTTGAGGAGCAGTCGTAGCTATAAGGAGCAATAATGACGCTCATCAAACTCTTTACCCTAGGCGAAATCCACACAAGGCTCGGTTTGGAAACGTCGCCAATGTTATGGAAATGTCATTCGTCAGCCTCCACGCCGAGACATGCATCAGAGCATTGTAGAAAGTTCGGGCCCCTCTCAGACTAGATGCCGCAAGATACGAAAGCCACAAAGGGAGATACTGTCCGACGGTTGGATGCGGCCAATGCTGACGACGCCGCCACAGTCCATGGCACCTTTCTCGCAAAAAGCACGCTACCCAGAGGAACCTGCAGAAAAGACACGAGGGCGGATTTTTCTGTAAGTTTCCCCACAGTCTTACCCCTGCCGAAAGGCCGGTTGCCCATGCAGCGATATCGTCGTGCGATATATAGACGCTCATCGTACCACCTGTCTTTGCACAAATCGCGAAATGGCACTTTGCGGTTTGTGCAGAAATACACAGGATCGCGCTGCCAATCGCGTTTTCTGCGTATACGAGACATCCGCGACAATGAAGAGGAGACTTACCGCCGTGTTTGTGTGCCACGTGTCCAGCATAAGCAAGCTTGAGTTGGCTGCTCCGGATAGTCACTGTCTCATGTCCAAGTTGGTGGCGGACCTCCGCGCACATGGTCTCAAATTTCTTTATATTCGTTGTTGCATTGATCTAGACCTGGTAGTGGACGGAAACCGAGAGCCCAGAGTGCTGAGTGAGGAGAAGCATATCGTCAGGCGCCCAACGTGGGCCGCGCGGACAGCCGGGCGTACCTGCCCTATATATAGTGGATGGCTCGCCGCGGTCCTCGAGCTGAGCTTGCTCCTCCACTGCACCGTCTCAAGTTGCATACCCTTCTTCTCGATAGATGGCTGACGGAGCGTTTTGAAGGGCGAGGAGGCCAAGACCCGACGCTTGGTCCATAGGACCACATAAGACCACAACACGCTGCGCCCGCCGCCAGCGGCGGGGCGAGCGCTCTCTGGTGTGGCGGCTCCTCCCGAGCACCTTCAAACTTCATCCACGCGTCGACCACAGAGGAAGCAAGAAGGGTAAGCTTACATATGCAGGCTCTTCTTGTCTGGATTACGCCTCACAATCGTTAGGAAAACCCGCAGGAGAACGACGTTTACAAGGCCGAGGAGCCTAGGCTCGGGAGCAATTGACATCGCGCCCCAGAAGACATAACTCGACTCCAACGGGATGCTTTTGAGAGATCGTCGTCGCCCGCACCCACAGCATGGCGCACCATATGATACTTGGATTGTTGATTATCTCGCTCACCATCGTGGAAGGCGGCGACCGCCAGTTGTGTTTCTTCCGCTCTACCAGACCGTCGGCGTTGCGCAGGAAGACTCTAAGGCGCGACACAGGTCGCCATCGATGCGCCCATTTGAAACCAAGTACGCGGAAAAAGAGGTACGTTGCGCACATGCTGTCGGATTGAGCGAAGCTTTTGTGGAACTCCACGCGCATGGGCGCGATTTCCGTTACCCCTCAAAACAGATATAAGGAAACCTAATCACCCATTGTCTCTTTCCCCAGAGCTTTCACGGTCCACACTCGCCAGATAAAGTTTCTTCGAGATCTTCAGACAGCGCGCGTCGTCCCAGTGCACGCGCCGCCTTCATGAGAGCTTCGACGGTACGCTGTGTCGTGTCTTGCAATGGTAGCGTAGTCGCTCATCTCTGTCCAATGTCCTCTTTCAGAACGTCTTGGTCATCACGCGTCACGCTCGACACGATGTTAACCAATCAGTTGAGCAGTTCCTCCCCATGGATAGTGCAACCCTCATCGTGGCCCCTAAGACTAGTACTCGCTGCCTCACGGTGGCGGGGAAGACAACTGCGCTCATGTCGACGTCCATCGACATCCTGCAGGCGAGTTTCTTCGCTTCTGCAGGCAGCGGCTGCAAATTCTGGCGCGTATATCTTCTTATGGCAATGTTCTGAACGCACGCGGTGTCAGGGCCATATGTACGTCTTCTAGGCTCATCGCGCGAGATGGTTGCGTTACTAACACTCCCACGACAGGTTCCTCCGGCGAGTGCGCTCGCCGCCCTTAGATCGTCGTAAGCCGGGCCAATGTGCCCCGTCGCGGGAGTGACGACACCGCGCTGCATACGACCGCCTCGGGGTGCAGCTGCAAATCGCAGCATACGACCGAGGCGACCTCGCGCCGCCTGCGTACATCACTTTACCTCACTGTACGTCGCGCGCTTGCACATGTCTTGTCGCTGATGCATGATGATACTCGTCCTGCTAGGTCGCTACATGTGTGCCTCAAAATTCTCGGGGTACAGGTCGGGCAGGCACGAGGCGGAGGGGTGTGGCCCACCCGCGCCTGGTCCTGGCGCAGGCCTTTCCGTGGCCCCCTAGATAAGTACTCGGCGGTCTCTTGTCGGTGTGCGACGCTTCCGAGGAAACCAACGTGCGCCAAAGTAGGTATCTCGTAGAATACGATCAAACATGTAGCTTTACAAACTCGACGTTTGTCACGAAAGATTCGCTGTTTGGACTGTTAGCGGAACGTGCGTGTCCCGCTAGGTTGAGGTTCGATACGGTACCATTCTGTCTTGTAACGCAACAATAACGCAACATTGTGATGAAGTACTATGCGCATTCCGCCAGCTGGTCGTGAACCAGCTGTGCCGTATGCCCAGATCTCGGACCGATGACGCAAGGGAACGGTGTCGATAACCTGGGTGGAGTACCCATGCGAGTTAGGTTACGTTGACGAGACACTCGTGTGAATATCAGGTACGTACCTGAACGAGGCATCGAGGCACTCGAGCTGTTGCTCGACAGCATTCATTGGCGTCCGTGGCTTTAGCGAAGTCGAAGGTTGCGAGAATTCACGCGATGGCGAGCCAGAGGTACGACTCGACGAGGGGTGTTCCTGTGCATTTCCTACAGTACGGACACGCGAACATTAGCTCACTCGGGGGACGATAATAAGGCACCTCCTCCCGAATCCGAAGATGTAGTTCCGCGGGTCGCAGAGACGCGCAGTTGCTCCGTCGACGTCTTCGAGGTATCGTTCATGAATAAACGCCTCCGGCCTTACTCCGTCTGATGACACGACTCGCCACCCGAACCAGAGTTACGACGTTTTCTGGAGAGGTCAACGGGGGTAGCCGGTAAGAGACCGCGGGGATTCTCGAAGAATTCAAGTCGCACGAGATGGACGTTGGATTCGGCGCAGCTCGCAAGGCGTGGCTCCTTAGAAAGGTCGCGTGTGCCCACGAGCTTCATGCTCGTGAGACGTTGACGTTGGCAATATGCAATCGAGCTGATACAACAGAAATCTTGATATCCTATACACGGGTGCGGGTCCGAGCCATGTCCAGCTTTGATATCTACAGTACAGTATACATTGTTGAAGTACATCTTACTAGATACATATGTTCGCGAGGTAGCACTGGACAGAAGTATTAGCACAAAGCCTGATGAGAACGCCGGAAGCAACTCACCAATCATTAGACCCAAGGGACTCCCTCATGCATGTCGTCCATGTGTTGCTTCTGGTAGCTCGAGCGACACGACTTCCAGCCGCACCGGATCGGACAGAGGTACGGGAGGCCGATGTGGTGAATCTCCATATGCTGGAGCAGGTCCTTCCCTGGAACGGGCGTTTGGCACACATCGAAGACGCACACCAGATTCGCGTCGCCCTCCAGATCTGCCGCGTGGAAGTGTTTTTCGAGATGCTTCTTGTTGTCCTTGTGTGTGTACGGGTTCCAGGACCCCGAGCAACCGTCAACGTCGCAAGCGTGCGACGGCATTTCCGCAACCTTGTGCATATCGACCTCGGCGCGGGTACGTCGCGATCGCTTGGCCTTTGTGTCCTTGGAGGCTGCGTTGACCGAACGCGCCCTTCTCCCCGAAGGCTTCGGGACCGTCAATGTGGCCTGGCGAGACGGTCCCGCGACCGGTCCCTCCTGTTCCGCGTGGGTAGAGGCAGATGCAGCACCTGGTCGTCCCGTCTTCGAAGCGGCCCCCTTGTCAGCCTTCCGCTTCTTCTGAGAAGGTGCGGGCAAGGGAGCGGCCTCGGCGCAGCCGTTAGTAGGTGCGGTCCTCTTCCGGCTGCTCCTCCGTAGCTCCTTGACCGTGGGAGCCTCGACCTGAACCCCCGTCTCCCGCGGCGCGACTGGTACGAGCCGCGAGGGGCCAGCGACAGCGTCAGAGACGATCCCGCGCGATCGTGTGGCCGAGGAGCTGCTGGCGGAGGGGATAGCTGGCCCGCGACTGGCCGGAGAAGACGACTGGCCGGCGTGGTCAGAGGCATGCGCGAGGGAGACTCCGGATGGCGACGCGATTGTCTGCGTGTCTAGCAAACGTTCTGCGTCTCCAGACGTGAGCGAAGATGCTCCCGGCGATTCTGAAGCGTCTTCGTTGTATGCGAGAGCAAGGTGCCCTTCCATGGCGCCCTCGTCAGTCGTCTCGCATGCTGCACATAATCTAGTCAGTATGGATCCCGAGTAGAGCATACTTGTTTGCGCGTACCTCCGGTAGGTGGTAGATCTAAGCCCGATGAAAGAGGCTCATACTCCCATGCAAACGCTGAGAAGCCGTCTTGCGTGGAGAACGTGAATTGGTAGTTCTACGCAGTCGAATACCAGTCAGTCGGACAACTGTCGGAAGTCATGGTAGCCACATACCTCCAATTCCATTTCCGCGTCCCAGGCCGCCTCATCTGACGGCCCACTCGAGACCGCGTGCGTCGCTGGATAATCGCCTCCGGAAATGTCGACGGCTAGGGACAAGAAACTTGACATGTGCTCGTCACCAAGTGGGTTTCGCCGATCCGGGACAGGCAGCTGTGATGGACCAGCCTGGTCGAAAGCGAGCATATCGAGCGACGTCCACTCGTTCTGCCGCGAGCGTTGAGCACGCCCCCACACATCTATGCGGAAGCTCCGAACACTTACCAGTTGCCGTGGCAGGGCTTGTACGTCTTCGGACGTCCTCGGAGTGTCGGCGGAGGTTTCGTACACTTGCTGAGCCGGGAACGTGAAGGTGGGCGCGAGGTTGAGCGTATCGAAGTGGTTGTTGAACGACATGATCGTGTTGGTAGGGAGGGTAAGAGTGAGCGTGGAGGTGAGGTTGGGGGTGGGGGTGGGGGTGGGGGTGGGGTAAGAGGGAGAGATGTCGACGGGACGTCGTGTGGCTGATTTTATGTGCAGCGCTAGCAGCGGAAAACAAACAAACCAACACCTGGCCTATTATGGCCTTCGCGGAGTTCTGACCAGCGTCAAACGTCTTGGCGCCCTAATTGACCTTTCAACGCACTCGACTCTACTTCCAACCACAGTCTTGACGCTTTCGCCAACCACTCCGCGTCTAATACCCTGGTCATAGGTTAGCGTGTGCAAGAAATGAGAAGGGATCCTACGCACGAGAACGATCCTCCGAGGGGAAGCGCGTCCCATTGCCCGGTACCCCGGACTCTCACCGCTAACCGGGACGCGGCCCACGGACGGAACACGCCCAAATAGGCAGCCACCAGCACCGCGTATCTGCTCTCCACGGGGCCCTCGTTGAAGTATGCCATGGCGGACGCGAACGCGCCGTGTCGAGGGGCGAAAGCGAAGACCGGGGCGGTAGGTTGTGGCTAGGTCTTGTTCACTGATTCGTGCTGAACCCCGTNTACTTCCAGATGCTGTCGCGCGCGTTG